ATCGTTTCTGATGGGGTAGTGGTCGTTGTAGTGGTCTGGGAAATGGGGCTTGGGCTGGGGGTTGTTGTGGTAGAGGTAGTCCAATCTAGCCACATTGTTTCTGATGGGGTTGTTGTTGTTGTGGTGGTGGTTTGGGAGATTGGGCTTGGGGAAGGGGTGGTGGTGGTGGTAGTGGTAGTCCAGTCACCCCATCCTGCATGGATGGGATCTGGGATAGCAGAAGATGATGCGGGCAGAGGGCTAGGAGTTGGTGTTTCTTCGCTGGTAGGCAACTGACCATTTCCTCCATTCCAGTCTCCCCAGTTACCACCATTACCTCCCGGGCCTCCGCCTTGAGGGCCTTGTCCGTGGCCTCCGAATCCTCCTTGGCCTTGGCCCCCCCATCCTCCTGGGCCGCCAGGAGCAGCAGCAGCAACAGCTGCAAGACCAACAATGACAGCCGACTTCATTTTGTTGGATTGTTGTGATATTAAGTCTAGTTGGATAAGTCAAACGGATGGGACGAGTTGGTCTTTTGTATGAACGAAGGACTCTCTTGCTGTAGTAGAGTAAAGTGAATGGATTTGTTGCAACGGTGGATGGACAAAAGAATGGTCGACAAACAGCGTGGGAGCTGGGTTCTAAATACCCCTCGAGGACGATCCACGCACGTCATGCGGTGGCAGAGTGGTTGACATGTTCGGCTGTGCGACTGGACCGTGATTGGGGTCTCGGACCACCACTAGTCCTGTACTCAGGGGTGGCAGGCAGTTCAGTGAATTGAAAATTCGCGAGTGACATGCGTGGCAGGCATTGATCTGCTGAGGCGCCCAGGTATAGAAAAAAAAGGGGGACAGACAGACCAGGCTGGACTAGGGCACCTGTATAGAATGGTGGACCCCCGGTCGTGCAGGGAATCGAAAGGCTGGCCACGGGAGCAAAACCGCAGTTCCTGCTGCGACCGACCGGGAAAAGAGTTGGCTGGGGAGCACTAGGGAGCTGGTTGTCGTCCGTGATGACCCAATGGGAGGCGGGTATTGATGTGAAACAGCACCAACCTCCGCCAAGCATGTTTTGACAAGCCGAATCAGGCTCGGTTGGCGGCGTGATGCAGGGGACGGCAAACGCTCTACCTCGCGACTCCGCTGAGTTCGGGCCTCGATTACGCCAGTCGTCTGTCAGCGCTTGTGGCTTTTTTTGCCCACGGTCCAGGAGGCTGGCCAAGGAGCTTTGTTCACCCTCACAATAGGCTCTCCCCAGCCCTGCACTTGAAACCAAAGATCTTCTCCTGATCTTTGCGAGGGATCGAAGCGTGAGACGGGCATGCGTTCTGGTTCGATAGGCGATAGATTGGAGGACTCAAGCATCGGCTCCTGCGTGCTGATCCCCTCCCACTGGCGAGCACACGCAATTGTGGCTTTTTGCTGCAGCAACCTCATGCGGAGCGGGTTCAATAATCCAGCACACACAGCTGGTCACTCAACGTCCGTTTGTATGTAGACCGGTCACTTAAGTAAGTACTGTGTAGCTGAATAAGACCATCCACGCACGACCAAACCAACAGTCGACCAATCGAGGTCATGGGTCGGTGTTCTTCCAGCGGGGAAATCAGGCGAGGCGAAAACATTAGTGATCCGGATGTCCGTGGTCGACGTTGAAATTACAAGCACATCCCACCTGCAGATCGCCATTTTGGCCTCGACTGCATAGTGGTTGCAACGACAGGAAAACGTGGTCAAGCTTTCAATTACACTCGCCCTGTTCGCCGTGCCGCCTTGATTTTGCCCGACACCGTGGTGCAAAGTGAAACGGAAACTTGCAGAAATTGGACCAAGGCTCACAGAATGACGTACGAATCCCAGGTGTCGTTCACCTTGGATACCATCTGTCCGTGGTAAGACATCCGTCGACCTTGATCCTGGGAAAGTTGGCCGCATTTGAAATCTGCCAGTTGTGTCGGTTCGTATTTGCGCTGATTGTCAATCTTCAGGACGTATTTGGCAAAGAAAAGGTTTGGTTTTGGTCTAGGAACACAACATCTTCGAGGATGTCGCTGAACAGCTGACCCGCTTGTATCGCATTCTAGACTGGATGAAGGTCTGTTACATCCGTCATGATGATCTGCATTAACGCACAATCTCCTCTCTTTGATCAACACCCGACGATTGCCATGGGACTGTCAGACTGACGAACAGGACAGCTCTCCGTCGATTCGGACAAAGTGAAGATGCGAAAAGTACCACCTTCGTAGTCAAGTACTTCCCTTACCAGTTGAGTCCAGATGCTCCCAAGGAAGACATGAATAAACGCGAATGGTATGGAAAGACTCGCTATGGTGACTCAGAGGAGAAGATGAAGATGGTGGGTAATGGCATTTCCAACACCCTCATCGCTTTTGACAGGCAGGACTGAAACATGTCATCGTCTAAGCCGGGACCTTTTCTTAATCTTAGATGAGTTGTCCATGATGATGCAGGGTCCGGGGAAAGCTGATCTCCCTTGAACCCATCGTCCTTTCGCTGTCCTTTCAGAAGCCAGTGAGCTGACATGCGCGCCGGGACAGTATACCACGTTGATGACTGCCTACGGTGACAGTGCTGGCATCAAGTTCAAATTTGGCGGCACAATCTCCAACACTCTGGAGGCACACCGTGTCATTCAATATTTCCAAGAGAAAAAGGGACTCGAGACGGCCGACAAAATCATAAACTGTGGGTGACTTTTTTTTCCCCTGCCCTGGGTCCGTTCGCCATACTCACGCTTCTTGTAGCGTTATATTATCAATTCTTCGAGGACGAGAAAAGCCCTGCATCTGATGAAACATTGTTGAAGGCTACCGCCGATGCTGGTATTCCTGGAGACGAAGCCAGAGCGGTTATTGAGGACAAAAGCGAGGGTCTAATGGATGTAAAGGCGCTGATCCGCGAACAGGCGTCAAACGGCATAGACAGCATCCCAAACGTCCTTTTCGAAGGTAAGAAGAGAGATTTTACACTGGTCGGGGCCAAGGATGTCGAAGAATATGAGAAGGTGCTGCATCAGATTGCAAAAGAAAGTAATTAGATCAACAAGGTCGAAGGTTGAAATAAGGCAGAGAACGTTGATGAGGTTGGAATGTGGTTAGATTGCTTGGTTCATCCTCATATAACAACAAAATACCTCTTCTCTGCAGCCACGGCATCGACCAGGTACCGAGAAGTTCACCTAGCCAACATTCTGTGTTTCTCGCTGGTCTTCGTTTCTTCATAGCTCTCTCATGATTCCTCTCTACACATCAAAGATTTCTCCAAACCCAACTCCAGCACCGGCCCGTCTGGCATCTACGAGATCCAACCTCCAGCCAGTCCATTGCTTCAGTCCTCTCTTCACTTCCCTGACATGCTCGACCATCTTCCGTTGCTCTTCTTCTCGCTGTGCCCTTGCAAAAGCACTTTCATCAAACGCGTCATCGTCGAATTCCTCCAACAGAGAGTCATTCCTGGGTCTCGTCGACCCTCGATGTTGCGCATCTGGCGATGTCGTGCTCGCTCTGAATGCCGCCAACCCTGAGTTCAAGACCTGTGTGAAGCCTGAATGCTTTGTCTGTCCCTGACGTAGACCATTCGCAGAGCTCCTTCGTCTGCTAGCATTCCCAGACCCAGATAGGTCGACCTCGTCAAACTCTTCAGCCTGGTCCATCGATGTCCTTGAAGCATCATCTCCTCTGGGCTGCATCTGTACCCGTTTGTCTCTCCATACACCTCGCTGGAGATCAAAGACCTGTCCTTCAAGTTCCCTGATCTTCCTCTCGAGCTTCTGCCTCTCTTCGTCTTCAAGCTCATCCAATCCTTCACCGCCTCCGTCACCACTCATGACGCGTTTGTGCTTCTCTCTCAACCTCGTATTTTCACTCTCTGCTTTTGCGATCTTCTCTCGTAGCGCAGGTAACTCTCTCGCGCTCGCTTCTGCGCTCGCAAATTTGGCCGCATTCCTCGATTCTGCCTCCCGGTGTAATTTGTTCATTGCCTCAATTTTCTTGTCCAGTTGCTCGACTTTCTTCGTAAGCTCATCTTTTTGGGTGACAGCCTCGGTTAATTCTCTCTCTAGTCCACGAATCTTCGTGTCCTTACTTGTCCTCTCCGTACCATCTATGACGGCCTTTTCGCTGGCTTTACTGAGCGCCTTTTTCGTGTCACCAAGCTCGGTCTCGAGGCTTTTTATTTTTGCCTCTGCGCTCGAGAGGTTTGCCTGCAGCGCCGCAATCTGCTCTCCATGCGTCTCGCAACCTGCAGTCTGGCTGGACAACTGTCCTCGTAACCGGGAGATCTCAAGCTGCATATCGGCAATTGTAGCATCCTTACTCTCGAGTTCTGCACGTAAAGAACCGCCGTCATTGGCACCCACACTCTCGCGCCGACTCGACGTACTCAACCTGCGCCTTAATGTCTCAATTTCAGCACGGAGTCTGCTGACGGCCGTGCCACTCTCCTCGTTACCGTTGGAGTCGGCCAATTTCTCGGCATTCTGCTCGCGCAGTTCCTCCAATTCCTCCTCGACACGTCGCCATCTCTTCTCATGTTCCTCTGCCTCCTTAGCCAGGCGTTTGTTCTCTCGCTCAAGCTCTTCAATACGGGCCAAGCTTCCCGGCGCCGCAGCTGGGCTCAACGGTCCATTGTCCCTAAAGCTCGTGCTGCGGATCTTACTCTGTATACTGACGCTGGGTTGACGGCTGGAATGTCGCGGGCCCTTGGTAGGAGAGACCGACTCAGGTTCGGCCGAAGGGGCAGAGGAGGGATCGGGAGATTGTTGGGCTTCCGCATCCTTGGGACCTTCTTCGTCTGCGTCGGTAGCCGTCTGCGCAGCTGGGCTTGCATCGTCGGTATCGGCTGGCTTCGCATTGTCATCTGGAATTTCTACAACTTCTTCCTGCTCGGCCTCAGCTCCATCTACTTCATCGTCTTTGGCTTTGTCGGCTTTCTTCGCTTTGCTTTTCGAACCCGACTTCTCGCCTGCGTTGGTTGAACCTGAAGTTGCTTTCTTCTTCTTTTGTAGTTGAGCGACCTATTCAAAACAGGGTTAGTTATTTTTTTCAAAATACATCAAACAAGTATTGCATATTGGCATGCAACATAAGACACTCTTGGTCCATGCAGTTTTGTCAGGATCGGACGGGAGAATATACCCTTTTTTTCGCCGCTGCCAATTTCTCAGCCTTTTCTTTGTCTTCTTTCTCTCCCATGGCTCAAATTGTCATCAAGGATCGATTAACGACTTGACGAGTGTAGGTTGTCAGCAATTTGGTAGTATTGTTCGGTATTTGTATGGAGTGAGCGTTGCGAATCTAGGGAATCTGAGGAGACGTGGTATGAACGCGACGTCAGTCACCAATAAGGTCAAGCATGTGCTCCGCATCAACCAAAATATATTTACGCCTTCAACACAGTGACACAATATACACCTTAAGTGATGAGGACAAGTAGTCAGAAACATATGTCCATTGATATACTTCATGGCTAGATTGAACAAGCTAAATAATATTACGGATATCACGCTTTCCTCAGCCCCAAACAATGCGCCCTGTTGAACTCCAGAATCCAACACAGCCATTCGTATGCTTCCGAACAAATAGCCTAAACACTCATAACACCTTGACCGTTACAAAACACTCTGCCAGAGTTTTTGTTGCATATCCAGACGGGTCCTCTGAAGCCGCTCCCACCGGCCGCGTAAATACCGTCAAAAGCCTGGGTATCAAGAGTACAAATACAAACTCCCACAATTCAAAGCTCACACTAGACACCCATAGGAAAAGAAGGTTGCGATAATTAAACCTCCATAGGTCCGACCACCTCTTCACTGACCCCTCTTGCAGTGCTCTTGCTAGCACTCCTAGCACTCCTGACATCTTCGTCACTCAACACATAGTTATCGTGCTCGTCGACGACAGGTCGCGCTGGCGGTGAGAATTGTTCCTCCTCATCTTTCGACTCAGGGCTGTACCCGTAAAGTGGCCTCTCGATGGAGGGCATTTCGAGATCTTGGTTATGACCGTCGTCCGTCTCAGCCACTTGTCGATCTCCAAGCCAATATGTTGCTCGCTTATGAGCACCCAGATCTGGTGTTGCCCATCCTTCAGACTCAGTGTCCGTATGATACTTGGCCTTGACTGGTGTTCGAAGGCCGTCAATTGCAGACATGGCCAGGATATTAACGCCTCGAAGGTATAGATAGCACACGCGCTTTCTCTGTTTGTTGAAGAAGAAATAATTCATTGACCACAAAGATCCTTCTTCGTCGTCCTCGAATGGATCAAAGTCCTCTGGTGCATATCGATAGATGGTGCAGTCGCGCAAACTCATACTTTGATCGATCAATCTCCACATTGCGGGTCCCCATTGCGTTTGGGTCGAAGGTGTAACGGTGGTTTCGGGAGGCATGCCTGGTATACGGAGCGAGGTAGTTTGTGGACGTGGACGAAGATTATAGAGAGCTGTGTCCAGAGTGTTCATTACATGCCGTAAGCTCCTCTCTCTTTTGAAATCTGTTGGTTTCAGCGTGGCCGAGAAGTCGTAATCCGGATGGCTGGCATTTAAGGTGGCTATCAGATAAGCGTATGTTCTCCTCGAACTGATCATGCCGAGGTTTCCAAATGGGCTGCTGCGGCTCAGGTTGAGGCTAGAGGCCATGAGATGCGCTTGAGGCGGTGATAGTGAATGGGAGAATTGTAGATTCGACTTGTACTGCGCTTCAAGATCATGTTCAATATTTTTATAGAGCTTTTTGTCTCCTCCCGCCGCCTTCGTGGTGTACAGGTCGCAACCACCTATCACCTGCAGATCAGGCGTGGTGAAATTTAGGGCCGAGGTGACGATATCGAGGTCTCGACTAGGTACGAACTAAACAACTGTCAGTCGCTGAACATTTCCAACACCGGATCCTTTGTAATGCGCACCTTCATCTTGATCTCGTTGCCCGCAGGTCAGCTCAATCGCATTCAAGAGCAGGTGCCTTCGGAGCCCAGAACAGTCTCAATTATCGCGCTGATCAGTCGTGGCAGGTTTCTGATGATGGAGTCTCGCGCCGTCGGCGTGGTCGATGTCTTAAGGCGTACTGAGTTGTTTGGCCTGAATCAGCAATTCAATCGCTGACAGAGAGATATCAAGGCTGGCTGCAGAGACAGCTCTTGGGCGACGTGAAAAGCCAGACGGTAGACGTCTAGCAGGTCAATGATGATTGATAGAAAGCCATATCAGAGTGTGGTGATTGATGCGATGAGGACGTAGTTGGGAACGTGTTTGCGGAGGTGGTTGAGGTTGAACTTGACTGCGACCATTGCCGCGGGAAATCACGTGACTGAATACGCATTGACCACCAATAAGCGAAGCAAGCGTCGTCCACATGTTCGAAGCGAGCGACGACAATGGACTTGGGCTCAGAACATCATCCTGACCATGTCCAGTTCGGATAAATGTGACAGCAGCTTGGACATGCAGAGTGATGGTTTTGTCCAAGGGAAAAGGGCCCGAGCGGAACCCACCAGAAATTGACTCCCAGCCGACATCTCGCCCCGTGTCCTTGTTAGACCACCTCGATGTTGCAAGGTCACAGATGGGCGGGCAAATCCATCATATTGCAATTGCGTGAAGTCCAGTAAATGAAATAACTTGACTCAGTGGTTTGCCCTTCCAATTTAGGAGGCCGCTGCAGGAGGATAATATCCCGAACAACACCAGCCGTCGATATTGAGCACAATTTGGAACATGATGCGCAGGACGGCTCGACGAAACAACTGACGCCGCTGGCTCAGTTAGCATTTCCGAAAATTGTGACGGCTTAACATGCTTGTTTATATCATGACTTTCATACACTGTACATGACGTTCCTGCAGCATAGCGCTTGCAGGGAAGGAGTCCTTGTTTGCAAAGACCATGTATCATAAGGGTATCATTGAATTCACCATACCACGCCAGAACCCCCAACCCATAATTCTCGATGGAGTCGTTGTAGCAAGTCATATCAGACCGCCATTTCTGAGGGCCGTTTCTGTAACCTGCAAAACAGTAAACCCGTCAACCATTGCATCACCTCATGATCTTGCATAATTAGAAAAGTCTTGCTCGAGCTCGTAATGTCCGAACATCCCGTCCTCGGTCGAAGCTATATTGTAGCAACCATAGCGTCCTGGCGAAATTCGCCCAAGACTTCCATAGTCATGTTCTACATGAGTTTGGTGACCTCTTCTTCAACCTGAATTTATGGAGCGCCGCAGTCAGTCACAGTGTACGCAAAGGCATCGGGTGGAGGCGTACGGCAACAAAATCTTGAATCGACGGCTTGAAAACTTGGCGTGACGCTCATAGGAATGGATGTTCGCACGAACAGAGCGCTCAAAGCTGGGAGACGGAAGCGAGTCAACTTACCTCCATATCTTCGAGTTGGTCTTCCTGGCTTATGCATCTTAAAACATTTTTCTTGCTGCTTTCTTGCAATTCGCCAGCAAGGAGGAGCTCATCAAGTATAAAGTATGCCTTTTGGAAGTTGAAAATAATGTCCAACTCGCAGACGTTGCCATAGTATTTGTCCATTTGCTCAACGTATCGATGGACGATCTCTAGGGTGATCAGTTCATTGTCGGTGGAAGCACAACCGGCAATGAAGAACAGGGAAGCGTAGCGACGATAGACAACTTTCGTGTCTGGTAGAAGTCAAGCAGTGTCAGCCTAATGCATGCAAAAATGGAAGAGCAACGTGGATGGGAATAACACTGGCAGTGTCAAAACATGAACGTCCGCACCCTTGTACTCAAGAAAATTGCACATTCGTGTGCGGCGGGAGAGAACGAGTTGAGAAACATCTTTGATAATTTTGGCCTTTTCTTTGGGAGAAAGGGTTGTGAACCATTTTGCAAGTCTCTATTTGTACAGGTCTGAGGTCAGTCAAAATTCGAGGGTGGGCGACCTGAGAGAAAGGATAGTCGTACCACTTTGCCCTGTCGAGACAGCAAGATGAGATAGCTGGACGATGTTAGTCTCTCAACAGTAGCAAATAGCAGAGTCCCCCCTTACTTGATAGCCATCTTGCTTCCCAGGCCACGAATGCAACGGAAAGGAAGACAGGTGGAATCAGGAAAAGTGTTAAGGCCATAGAAAAGCGGGAGCGGATCACAGGATGAAATCGCAGCCAAGCCAAGAGACGCGGTTAATTTACGGCCAGATCGATGTCACGTTTATTCGACACCAGCCACAGCCAAAGCCACAGCCCTATGCGCTATTGATTGACGCCACAATAGCTCCTCTACACAGTTCTCGTTACTGGCTTCATGTATCCATTCATCATGCGAAAACCCCAATGGCGCCTGTTGTAATGTATTTCTTCTGGCGTGTTCTACCCGTTGACTATTGTCACATCGCATCGTCAAAAATCCAGAGACGTGGATATGTGTCATGATCTGAGAGTTTGGAATGGTTGACTCATGCTTCGTGATTCGCTTATATCTATTCTCAGCGTGAGAGATACCACTACTAGCAAGATGCGCGACAACTTGTACAACATTGGGAGTCGAAACAGTACTCGACTTGGAAGCTCTGCTGACTCTCAGTCACTTGACGGTAGTTCCGCCAATGGGGCATCTCGTCTACTCTGCTTAAGGTCCTCGATCTGCCAAAAGCCCGCGCGGCAAGCATGGGCACCCAACCAAGTACGGGACATTTGCAATTGTATCTATATTGTACTTAAAGTGGGAGGTGCCTAATGGTTCTCTGCTTTCCCTTTCTCCCTTCCTCTCACTTGCTCGTGTGGAAGCTATCTATAGAGCGCTGGTATTTCCTCCCAACTGAAGCATGGCAGTAAAGACCCGCAAGATGTACAGGAATGCAGACATGGCCACAACATCAGACCGAGTTTCTCGCAATCCCATTCCTGTGACACTTTTGTCTGGCTTCCTAGGCAGCGGGAAGACAACACTCCTAAAGCATGTCCTGACATCCGATCAACACGCCGTACGCATCGCTGTTATCGTCAATGACATGGCTGCCCTCAACATCGATGCATCCTTGATCAAACGTCACGTCGTATCACAGACGCAGGAACGCTTAATCCAGATGGAGAATGGCTGTATCTGCTGCACACTACGCGGTGATCTCCTTGAAGAGCTCGCAAGGCTCGCACGCAATGGGATGTGCGAATACATACTGATTGAGAGTACCGGGATCAGCGAACCTATGCAGGTTGCGGAGACATTTACCGAGGAATTTGCTCAGGCCATGATTGATGCCGCCAACGAGGGCTTGATGCTGGACCAGCAGGAAGACGAGAGACTCTTGAAGGAAATGTATGTTCCTGACTCGACCCTGAGTCCCGAGGCCTTCCGCCTCGGCGAAGAGTCACCTAACACAGACTGACGGGATGAATTTAGAGCACAACTTGGAGGTCTGCAAAGTATCGTCAAACTGGACACCCTGATCACTGTAGTTGACGCTTTCAACTTCTTCGACAACTTCTCTACGACCGACTTCATCACGGACCGGTGGGGGAAGGACGGCGTTGACCCTGAGGATGAACGCACCGTAACTGATTTGATGGTGGACCAAATGTAAGCGACCTATTCTATGCAACAGATTCTTACCTGTGAGAGAAGGCACTGGTAACATCAGCCCGCTCCCTACAGAGAATTCTCCAATACCATCATCATCAACAAAGCCAACAGCGTCAACGAGGCAGCAAGGTCTCGCATCCGAAGCATAATTCAACAGCTCAACCCTGCAGCCAAAGTTTTAGAAGCCAACTATGCGAAAGTCAATGTGCAAGATATTATCGGCACCAAGAAGTTCTCTTTTGAGAAGGCTGCCACTAGCATGGGCTGGCTCCAGAGCCTGCACGACCTCGCCAAACGAGAGGTTAATGGCCAGATCAAGATCGGTCCGAAGCCAGAGACAGAAGAGTGAGCAAAATAAAGAACTGTCGTAAACAATTTGGTGTTCTAATAATAGCCTGGCAGATACGGCATATCGAGCTTTATATACCGAGCCCGGCGGCCGTTCAGTCCAAGGCGCCTGTACAAATTGATCCACGATAAGTTTGTCATCATGGAGGGGCAGATACAAGATCAAGAAGAGGACGATGCCAAAGATGGTATGGGCGTAGAAGGCGATGACAGCGAGGATTCTCCCGGGAGCGGTGGTGGCAATGATGCGTCCACCAACAGCGAGGCTGAGGACGAAGACATGCTCTCCGATGTCAGTGACCAGGTGGAGGAAGAGGATGATTTCTCCCAGTCCATTGAACCGGAGGTAAGTGCTTTAACTTTCCGATTCTCAGCTATCAACCAGCGGTTCTTGGTCGTGCTTGTGCAATACAAAACCAGGAGACTGGACTTCTTTGAGAGTTCGGAACAAAGTCAGTGCATTCCCGACTAACCTATTGGTCAATCCTTGCAGGTGGTCGCCCAGAACAAGAAGACAAATCCTATCTTCTCCGGTCTCCTGCGTTCGAAAGGTTTCTTCTGGCTTGCCACTCGCCCAAGTTTACATGGTGAATGGAGTCAGGCTGGTACCATGCTGACCTTGCAAGGTGGAGGCCCGTGGTTTTGTATGATTGACGAAGGTACAGCTCCTTGCGCTCCCAAGATACGGTGTATCCAAATTGACGTTCACTCAAGCTGAATGGCCTCTCGATGCGGACACACGCGCTAGCATCGAAGCTGACTTCGAGGAACCATGGGGCGACCGAAGGCAAGAAATTGTCTTCATCGGCGAGAAACTCGATCATAACGGTCTCAAGAGCGAGTTCGATCGCTGCCTGCTAACGGATCGTGAGATGAAAAAATGGGAGAAGATCATGAGATCGTCCAAGGATATGGAAACAGCAAACGAGAGACTGGCGCAGTTGTTTGACGGTGAGTAGAGTTGTTGATCCGATCCGTTAGCACAGATACTCTGGTGTTACTTTTGCGAACATTCTTCTGATACAAGCATCACCTCAATAGATGGATTCGAAGATTGGCCTGAGTATGTACATGCTGAGGACGAGCAAGAAGGGCATGTACATCAGCATCCTCATCAATCCGGTCGGCAGCACCAGCATTGATTTCGATGGGGAAGGAAGTCTGGCCGTGACATCGCCGTGATATGTCGCAGGGTTTGTAGATCATCTTGCTTTGCTTGAATCAACCCCAGCCCCAAGTCAATAGTGGTTACGAAATTGAGTGATACTGACTGCCGCGTTATCCTTCGTACAAGCTGTAATTGGATCGGTAGACTCGGTACCTTCGGCATATCTGAATGTGAACCTCGACTTGGACATCCGAGTCTTCCCTGCAAGATCTGTTCCTGCGGATTGTATTGCGCAGCATGTCTTTGGTTCTCCGATGGCTCTGGACTATTCGTATACGCGTTATCGAAGGCGAAGGATCGAGCAGAGAAGATCCCTTGCTTCCTTCTCAGAGACTGTCATCTCTTTCCGCTGCGTTTGCGGAGTTTGGAGGGCTCCGGTCCATTTTTTGTACAGCGAGGATGTCCATAGCCATGGTTTGGAGATTTTAATGCAGTTCCGATGCAAATGTTAATGCTGCTTCGATGAATGCCTCATAACACTATCATCTTCCCCCTTGGTGGATACTAGCCAGTATTTACGGAGTAATAATCTTCCATTCCGGCCCCGCGGGGAACTTCTTGACAAACTCGAACAACGTCAAATGAACAATTCCTACAGCATGGTCCGCTTCGCTCTCGGTCTCACTTGAATCCTCGCGACGATCTATCGAGCGACGCTGCATCCCCCGATACGGAGATTGTGGCACTTGCTGCCAATATGCCGAGACTGAAGCCGTCGGCCCGTGAGCGCGCAAGGCTGGTTTGCATGCATTGCCATTCTAGAAAGGTAGATATGCCTTTGAATTTTAACAGGGGCGACGGCGATATTGACGACGTAACAGGTCAAATGCGACTTGATGACCTCGTCAGACGGTGTTTGTCACCAGTGTCGTGTATATGGAGTCTTATGCGAGTATGAAACAGCTACCTCTTGTCACATGCGAGAGTCACATTCCGACCTGGAAAACTAACTTATGGCCAGACCCCGACCTCGTCAAGCACCACGAGCCGCAGCTAGACGGAATCCTGAACATCTTGCAAACCACCAACGTCTACCCACGCCGTCTCATGTATCACCCATATCGTTAGCTGGCGTCTCCGATACCCGTCAACCCACCGACTCTCAGCCATCGAGACGTAATGGTGACCCTGTCACAAGTCCGGAGCACCTGTCTCAAACGGGACCTTCCGCACGAAGCGAAGTGGTAATTGGCGATTCATCTTTCTTGACCGGCTTATGGTCCTCAGCCGACGAGTTATCTGGCGCCAGTTTCTCTGACCAGGTTGGTCAAAGAGTGCTCGAAGTGAGTGGCGCGAACAAGCTTCCGTCCAGTTTCATGCTCGAGGCGTCGATTGAGTACTATGAGAATCGCGCCTCCCTTTATTTGCCAGTCCTTGACCCAGGCGACCTATCCGGGGCAGAGCAGTCGTCGTTACTGCTGAAGTATGGAATCTGTCTCGTTGGAGCTGTCATAAGACAACCCCGCGAACCACTTGAGCTGTCCGACGCCGACCAGTACTACACCAGAGTCAAAGGCCTCCTCTTCGCCAATCACGAACAAAACTTCCTCACTGTTCTTAAAGTCCTGTGCCTCATGCTGATCTGGAATATCAAAGGCCCCACTGGTCTCACGCTGGATGGCACCTGGCATTGGTTGTCCGTTGCTGCAAACCTCATGTTCCAGATGGGTTTGCATAAGGATTCCACTTACGCCCAGAAACCACAATCCGGTATTGCACGTCGTATAGCGTGGACTATCTTCGTAAGCATCGCCCATCCCCCTGACTTCTGGTCGAAGCGAGGCGCAGTTTCATTAACGAGCGTAGATGGTGGACAAGATGATGGCCTGCGCCTTCGTTCGGCCCTGTCTCGTTAAACCACAAGACTTCACAGTCAGCCCGTTGTCGTTGGCTGACTATCCTAACACCGATATGAAGTGTGTCATCAACATGTCTTTGGTAAAGCTTTCATTGATTCTTCACAAAACTCACGACTTGGCGAGTTTGACTCCCGAGGCTCTCCCACTCGAGGTACGCGTGTAAATCATCGATTGTCCCTCTCCTCAATCCCGTCCCTTCCTAAGACCCCTTTTCTTCCGTCGCCTCGTCGACCAAACTTCACTCACAGTCCAACACGTCTTGGGGACCAAAATCTGCCGTATGTGAGCATTCGAGGCTGACGAAAGTCTGAAATTGCCAGAGTCAAAGCATTCTCGAATCCCTCCAGGATTTTATTCAGAGCCTGCCTTCCCAGATCCGTTTGTACTCGCCAGAGGGACGCAAAAAGTACCGCTGGGAAATTTTCGAAGTTCACATTCTGTATTTTGTGGCCATCATCAACTATTGCCATCAATACGAGAGGGTTTCACTGACTTCCACGGGCTCCTTTCACGCACTGGTAGCGTCGTCTTGTATTGCGCGGTTGTACGAGGAGATGAACTGCCGCGACGACGTCAACCATCTCTGGGCTTTCCACAATTGGTACGTGATGGTTGCTTCGGCGCCGTTGCTGGGTTCCAGCTGTGAGACTGAAGAAGAACGTGACATCTCCCGGCAGGAGCTCGACATCCTGGAAATCACTTTGAGTATACTGCGGAAAAAGTGGCACGGCGCTGGTGTGGTCCAAAATACCATCATGCGGCTGCGGCGAAAGGACTCCGGAGATTGTGTCCCTCCGACTTCGCGTCATTCAGCCTCCGCGGTTCCAGTGCATATGGTCCATGACCTGTTCCCATTTCCCCAGTCACTTGCCCCACGGTTGAAGATGTTGGGACAGCAATACACCCACTCAGCATTCGTCCTGGATGAAGTGGAATATCAACACCATCTAGATGTCGACATTAGCTGGGTGTTTGATGAATTCGCCGACTCGAATAATCCCTCAATTTTTGACACGAACGATATATTCAACCCTGAGCCCTCGATGAACTTGGAATTGTTATCGTAGCAGTTTCATTACGATGTTTGGCAGACCCGGACGCATACTCCTGCTTCTTCATCTACCTGGAAACATAACCTATCACCAGGCTCAGACAATGTGCTGGCCACATCCAGGTATCAACCCGGACAGTTAACCGATGGATTTCGATCTCTGGTCGGAGGCTTGGAGGCTTGGAGGCTTGCAGGCTTGCAGAATGCCGTTCAATGTCTTCTCGTTAGATGACGGCCTCATATCGCGAAACGCGATGTCATACTGCAGCTCCATTCCCCACGGCGAGGTCACTTGAAGATGGTCCTTCAAAGTAGAACAAAATGTCAAGTCTAGGTTGACAGCGGCCTCTCAACAAACCGGCTACCGAGCCTTGCATTCCCTCTGCTGGCGTGATACGCACTTGCCGTTGCTCAGCCTTGGCCAACGCATCCTCACAGCAGGTCCTGCACTCAGTGATATCTTTTTGACTTGTGAGAATCCGTCAACCGTCCGAAGACTCACGGTCGGAGTCCTCATTGGTATCCGGCTGGTCCTGATCGGATGGATAATCTGGTTCTCGCCATTATCTGGGACCAGAGGCAAAAGGATATGGTTAAGGGAGAGCTCAACCATGGAATCCTGTTCTTTCCTGCAGAGCCGGCAGTATTCCAAATACGTGTTCGAAAAGAGCGTTGTTGGCGCTCCAAGGGCTGGCAGGTGGGAGGGCTTCGCATTGACTAGTCGAATGGTCTCCCTCTCGTTGCAAGGGACTTCATGTCCCGCGAGCGAGTTGTCGGCGTGGCCAGCATGGCTCTTGGCTAGACATCGCAAAGGTCGATTGTTGACGGTTTACGGCATTCCAAACTCTGGAACGTCGCCCAGCAGAAGCATGGCTTTTGGTGGAGCTTGGAATTTAACAGGTTCGGATCCCCGGCGCCGACTTTTGCAACGGGGCGATTTATTCCCACGAATAAGTAAAATTTTGGCGAAAGTGTCGGGAGATGTCCTTGCTCTCCTGCTGAGGCGAGGTTGAGCTCCTTGGGGCGCCAGTCTCAGTCTCCTGGCCTTAGTTGGAGAGATTGTGCTCTTTCCATGAACGTCTACTGATGCTCCACGTGCTATTTTGAGGATCAGCTATTGTAGGATCGATAGTAGAGGTCACGAGACTTTTCTTTCTTCTTGGTTAGATTTCCACACTCTCTTTCTAGAACCGTGGTACTAGTAAACAGCAAACTGTTGTGCTGGAGGATTTGTTGTCCAACTTTCTCACCATGGCTTGGGAGATACCCAAGAAATGCGGTTTCAGCAATTGCAGATCCGGAGTTGAACCTCGCTTCACTTGACCTACCGAGACCGCATAAACGCATGATCTGCGTCTGTGGCTCGCCCTCCAGAATATTAAACTTGGCTGATACAGGATCTGTTCCCTCTCTCTTTCTCTCTAGCTAGGCTCACGGCACGTCGGCATATGCTGGCAAATTGTTCTTCTGCCTTGCCAAATCCGACAAGAATTCTGCCGCGTTCGAACGCAGCCTCGTGCCGCGATACCAGATTCATATGTATATGATTGTATTAAGCGATATCATGGATGCATGACTCCATACTGAGAAAAACTAGGGGAATCGGGTCTCTCGATGGGTCGCCCATCTCTATTATCCCGACAATCTATTGAAGATACGTGCGAGCTACGGAGACTTTTGGTATCCATAGGGAATTCCCAAAGGGAAATATACAGCAACACTGGACAGACACATGGTGAGATTTTTGCAGATGTCTTTTTTATCATAACCCACCCTTGAAGTCTGAACGCACCCCATCGTCCGGGATATGTACAGTCCGTCCGCCGCTGCTAGCCATCTATTTGTACGTGGTAATAGTCTTCACATTGCAGTATGCCAGCACACCCAGGGTGCCAAACTCGGTGCCGATCCCAGACTGCTTTACACCACCGAACTGGGCTTCTGGCTTCGCCTCGGGAGGCCCATTGATCCACACCATGCCACTCTCGAGTTGGCTGGCCACCTGGCTCAGCACTCGAGGGTCGGAGCCGAACACGGTGGCCCCCAAACCGGCCTCAGACGCATTCGCCCGGCGGACGACCTCGTCCACCGTCTCGTATCGTTGAACCGGCACTATAGGTCCGAAGGGCTCCTCGGACACAATCTTACTGTTATCGGGAGGGTTGTCGAGGATCGCAGGACGGATAATATAGCCTCCTGCACTCTCTGGAACCGCGTCGGAGCCGTAGGCGAACTTGTACGACTTTTCCTTGGAGTCTTCAAAAAACGTCTTGACCTTTTCATACTGCATCGTGTTCTGCACAGGGCCGATTAGAAGGCCTTCCTCCCGGGTTGGATCGACCGTGAAAGACTTGGTCGCTTGGACCAAGGCTTCCAGAAACGGCTGGTAAATCGAGGAGTGTGCATAGATCCGTTTGCATGCGATACAAACTTGACCCGAGTTGGCGAAAGCGCCCTATTTTTGCCCATTAAATTTATGGAAGATTAGCCTTGATTCTTTTTTTCGACTTCCGGAAATAACGGGCAGAGGTCCAAACAAATTGAACAATAGCAAAAAGAATGGTTTCCATACCCTGGCGATCACAAAAGCCGCTTTCTCGATATCCGCGTCTGGCAGGACGATAGCAGGGTCATTCCCGCCCATTTCGAGGGTCACACGCTTCAGCGTCTTGGCCGCCGCAGCCATAACTTTCTTTCCTGCAGTCGTCGATCCAGTGAAACTGATTTTCTGAATGTCAGGATGCTCAACGAGAGCTGGACCCAGAGCCTCATCGCCGGCAAGACCTTGAACGAGTCCCGGTGGGAAGACCAGATTCGCAATCTCGACCATTTTTAGGGTTGTATAACTGTTACATATAGTGGACGTCTGTTAGTCAGATAGATTACCTTGTCATATGCATTTGCATAATCACCATAAAGGGGAGAATTTGTAAATCACTCACGGGGTGAATGGACTTGGCTTCACAATGATCGCATTGCCCATCAAAAGTGCCGGCAAAACCTTGCCCAGGCTGAGCAATACGGGGAAATTCCAGGGACAGATGGCCGCACACACACCGAGAGGGACACATCTGTGGATGATTTTCCGGTCGGCGAGATCATACTCGTCGCCCTTGGGCTCCGGGAGATTGATGTGCCAGTCGGCGAACATTTGACAGTTTTGGACTTCCCTCTGGGCCGCCCCTCGAGGCTTGCCGGTTTCTCTGCACAATAGGGTAATGAGATCCTCTTCGTGAGCCTTGATGGCATCTTTGAACTGGGTCAAGTACTCGGTCCTTTCTTGCCAAGGGGTCAACTTCCAATCGGTGAACGCTCGATGAGCAGCAACAACCGCATCGTCCACATCGCTGGCCGAGGCTATGGGCACTTCCCAGAGATGCTGCTTGGTCGTGGGATCAACGCCAAAAGTACTTTTGCTTGACTTTCGCGGCTGACCGTCCACTATATTTGCGAAAGTCGAGAAGGATATGGGTTTGTACCCGTTGGAAGGCATTGTCGAAACTGTGTGGCTTATGGGTCGTGTAGTTGGATTGATGATTGTTCAAGTCAGAAGGGGTCGAGGCTCGAATGATACAGGCCAAAGAATCTTCTCAAAACCAAAAGAACATTACACGAAAGGGGGCCAATAATTTATTGCTGGTGCATCCCACGTAATGGAAAGGTTATACTCGGCGAGGCTTAACCTCCTTCTTGTATCTCCCACTACTCCCTATGCTGTCCTACTTGGTCTGTCTTATCCTATCGCGTCATCTTACACTTCCGTTTTATTGAAGTAATAAGAGATTCTTCTCTATCTCTTTTCTCACATAATTATACGTACTTGTCAAGCTGCACGATGTAGGTTGTCGAAAACCATCAATCCATCCCTCCTCGTTTACCTGTTGGCCGAGGCTATACATGCTGCCGAAGCATAACGACCCGAGGATGGCCACTAATTACATTCTGCCGCTCTTATCGGGTGACTGTCTCGACACTTCCATCTGATCTGATTGCTCCAAACGAGGAAGAGGCGACGGAAATGTGAGTAGCGTCAGGATGTCCCCACTGGCACAACCCAGCCAACTCCAGACTGCAAACAGCGTCTGCCGAACATACCGAGTGCTCCAAAGATTCAACTTCCACTTCGGCAGCCTTGGGTGTAGAATTGGTCTCAACCTTATGTCACAGTCACCAGATACAATCAGAACTACAGACTTCGAGATTACATTAACTAAAACGATGCCCTGACTGGGGTAGTACAAAGACTTTGTGCTGCTTTACATACCCTCCTCTCCCCCGCAGACGTCCATCCAGTTTAGTAGTCAGCAAAGGTGAACAAGTACAAAACTTCATTGATCTTCAACCGGTCATAATTTGCTTCCTTGTCGTCTATGCTTTCGCAAAACCGTCATGTTCGAGGCACTTGACTACGACGTCGTCATCGTGGGCGCCGGTATCAGTGGCATCAATGCCGCATATCGCATCCAACACGAGCTCGGAGATTTGAGATATATCGTTCTGGAGAACCGATCAGAACTTGGAGGTACCTGGAGCTTGTTCAAATATCCTGGAATTCGATCTGACTCGGATCTTTATACCTTTGGTGAGAAGCCTGAGCCTTCACCACCGCACTACCCTCCTTACCCCTGCTGATTATGGCAATCTAGGATTTCCTTGGGAGCCGTGGACGGAGAACCATCCCATCGCGTCTGCTCCAGCCATCCTGAGCTATATGAAGCGGACCGTGGATAAACATGGCCTAATGGAACATATTCGCTTCAATCACAAAGTTGATCGATTGTCGTGGTCTTCAGAACAGCAGTCATGGACTATCGACTCCACCTGTCACGATGGTGGCCAGTCTGTCGCCGCGGCACGCAAGGTATATCGTGCGAAGTACGTGATCATGGCCACGGGGTACTATGACTACGAGCAGCCGTTGGAAACCACGATCCCTGGCCTAGAAAACTTTCAAGGCAAGGTCATCCACCCACAATTCTGGGACGAGTCCTACGACTATTCCGATCAGAACGTGGTCGTCATTGGTAGTGGTGCAACTGCAGTGACCCTGTTGCCGGCCATGTCGGAGAAGGCCAAATCCGTAACCATTCTGCAGCGATCACCTAGCTATCTGTTGGCGAACCCGATCGTGCCGCCCCTCGTCCCGACCATCAAACGCTGGCTTCCCACGTCGTGGGCGATCAAAGTCATCCGCTGGCGAGCGATTCTGAACACGTACCTTATCTACTGGTTCTGTCAGTACTTTCCAAACAAGGCGCGACGCATCCTACAGAGCCGAGTGGCCACTGAACTCCCCGCCGACGTCCCGTGTGACCCGCATTTCATACCCCGTTACTCCCCGTGGCAGCAGAGGATGTGCATCACACCCGGAGGAGACTTCTTCGCCGCCCTGCGCTCAGGAAAAGGCCACGTCGTCACTGACACGGTCAATACGGTGGAGTCGGATGGGATCCTGTTGAACTCTGGCGCTCGACTCCCGGCGGACTTGATTGTCCCCGCCACCGGACTGAGGGTCGAGATGGGCGGACACACGAAGCTAGTAGTAGATGGCAAGCAGGTCAACTTCGGCGACAAGCTGGCCTGGAAGGGCGCCCTGCTGCAAGACGTCCCCAACTTCATCTTCGTTTTCGGCTACACCAACATGAGTTGGACCCTCGGGGCGGACGCTACCGCCCAGTTGTTCGTCCGTCTTGTCAAGAAGATGCGCGGAGAAAAATGCTCGAGTGTGGTTCCACGCCTGGCCTCACAGCATCCCGGCGCCGCTCCGATGCAGCGTATCCCCCTCCTCAACCTTAACAGCAGCTACGTCAAGAAAGCCGTGGAACGGGGCACGATGCCCCAGTCCGGGGATCGCGGTCCGTGGGCGGCCAGGACCAGCTATTTCAGGGACTATTGGAATGCCAAATTCGGCGACCTGCATCAAGATTTGGCCTTTACCCGTCTGAAGGCAGAATAACCTCGCACGTGGACCTCGAAAAAAGCAACAATAGCAAGTGTTGAGGCTCAGCTAGAGAAGGACAGAAAGGCTTGGACTGAGAGGCTGGTGAAAGCGAGGGTGATCCAGAGTGACCAGTTTGTGGGTTTTGAGGCTTACACGATACCATGAGAGCGAAGTACTTCTAAGCATTATGTTTCTCATTCCTTACAATCTGGCGTAGAACGATCAGAAGCTGTTAGATGTCATTACTGTGCTGTGTATTGAAAACCTATCATAACAGTTCCTCTCGAGACCGGTCTGGGGCTTGGGTATTGCATAATTCTCTTTCATCTGATCAAGTGTTGGGTCACGTCTTGTGCGCGGAAATGGAACCGTGCTCACATGAAGTGACGTTTCGGCAAACTCGGTAGTTTGCAAGATCGCGCAGATTTGGGACGACAATTACGATATTGCTATGAAACGTGTACCGAGGAGACCCTGGGCCCCACAATACTCCGTCCCTGGCTATGGGGAAAGGTTTGGGGGAGGCGTCGGTCATTCAATCGGAGGCAAAAAAATCCACAACGACATGTATTGCAAATGTGAGTGGAGTGATAATCGAGTAAATTGGCCGTTGACCATTGACGGAGACAAAGACTATCATGAAAAAGACGTGGATGCGACGCGAAGGACCAGCTTAAAGGCAGAACCGTGTCATTTGTATCGTTGAAGATGATGATTATGATGTGCGAAACGGTGGGTGTACATTTCAGGGGGTAGCACATCAATTATCCAAAGTATATATGCAGATCCTCGATGATGCGAATCCATGGGAGGGCCACACACATGGCGATACGTTTGAAGACGTTCAGCGTGCCCGCCGTTGAACAAGTTGGGTGACAGCCTACAACCTTGCGTCTTTTGGCTCTTGCTCAAGGCTTCTGAATCGCTTGAAATATTCCACCGACTGTGGATTGGCGACGGTGGCACTTGGCTGGACGTCCTTTCCACTGATGATCTTCTTGATAATCGTTTCGACGCGTTTCCCGTTGATGGTCATTGGCACATCCGGTACCGGGAGGACAAATTTGGGAACGTGTCGTGGGGACAAATTCGCCCTAATGGCACTTTTGATTTCCTCGCGAATCTTAGAAGTGAAGGGGGTCGCAGGTTTCATGACGACGAACAAAAACACCTGTTCATCCACGTCTTGTGGACGACGCCGACCGACGCAAAGCACGTTGTTGAAATAGCTGAGCAGAGGTTCCTTTTCGACGATGGCGTAGATCTCACCACTACCGAAACGGATTCCTGAGGGATCTGCAGCATGAAAACGAAGAGTCAGCAACGAAAGAATCACGACCGCCGCAATTTGTTAAGCTGAGTGGTGGTGTATGAGGAGAATAAAACGTACTCAAGACCCCGTCACTTCGACCCAGCATAACGAAACCGCCAGTGCTTGGGTTCTTCTTCAGCCAGTCATGCTGCGCCCAGACATCCTTGTCGCTGAAACGCTCAAAATATGCTTCGCGATAGATTTTGCCACCTTTGTCACCCCAGAAAAAGGACGGCATGCTGGGATACGGCATGGTGATGACAAGCTCTCCAGGCTCCCCGGTGTCTGCGATCGACTCACCCGTCTCGGCGTCGAGAATGTCGATGCTTATGCCAAGTGACTCGGTCTGCATTTCCCCGACGCGAACTGGTCCATCGGGATCGAGAGCGATAAGTGCTGTGCCATTCTCCGTACCTCCGGCGATGTTGCAGATCTGCATGTCCGGTGGAAAGGCACGGGAAATCCATTGATACTGCTCTGCAGACAAGGGGGCACCGGTGGTGTGGAGGGTCTTCAAGCGAGACAGCTCGAATTCGAGTTTTGGTTGTGCTCCAGACATCTCCATTTCCAACAGTAACCTAGGTGACAGGCCGAGAAACGACACCTTGAACCTATCACATATCCGTAAAAGTTGTTTCGCATCCGGGTACAAGGGACTGCCGTTGTACAGTACGATGCCTGCCCCGGAGCTAAGGTGACCACACATGCCGTAGAAAACGACCCAAGACGTGCTGGCGTACTGTGTCACGATATCTTCAGGACCCAAACAATCATGGACCACGGAGATCTTCTTCAGTTGTAAGATCAAGCCGTGGCTGTGGACAATGCATTTCGGGGTCCCCGTGGTTCCAGAGGAGTAACATATGATCAACGGATGATTGAACGGTACTCGTTCGAAAGTCAGCTCGTCGGATGCCGATGCGCGACTCAAGAACTCCTCTATCCAGGGAACATCGTCATCGATAACGGAGCCTCCTTTATTGGTGACGGGGATGACATAGACCTGTGGCATGGGTTTGAGCTGGCACAAGATCTGTCGTCGCTTCTCGGCCGTGGAGGTTGCCTTTGCCTTGTAGATGGCATGGCTGTCAAAAAAGATGATGCTCGGCTGGACCTGTTGCAACCGGCTCACACAACCGCTGAGGCCGAGTTCTGGACTGATGGACGTGAAGATGGCGCCCATGGAAGCCGTCGCGTGGAATAGGACCACCGCCCATACCGAGGCACCTACTATGGCTGCGACACGGTCGCCTTTCTTGATGCCACTACGCTTTAGCGCGCTGGATGTCTCCCTCACTCGCTCGCGGAACTGTTGCCAGCTGAGAACTTCTCGAGGCTTGTTGAGGAAGTCGTCGTCGCCTTCTACGAGTCCGATGACGGCGGCGGTTTCCGGGTTCGGATTTTCTGAAAGGATGTTCTCGGCATAATTCAGCTTGTGACCCGGGAAAAAGGCAGGAATGCTGCTCATGGGAACAGTGTCGTCGTATGCCTTGGTCATGGTTGCGGGCAAAGGAGGCTGGATCTTCAAATACCCATATAAATCGAGCCAGAATTCGTGAGCATGAGCAACGGACCAACGTTGAAGCTCGTGTGTGTCACAAAAATCCCGATGAAACTTCTGATTCACATGTAGTCGATACTCCCTCATCCCATTTCTCCCTCGACGCTGTGACGGGCGCCATATCACCTCGGGTTCACCGCTCCTGGTCATCAGGTCAGTATAATAGTTGATAGACAAGGGGTGGTAGAAGAATACATGATCTCTCAATGCCAAATTTCACTGTTTGCTACAGAATGTTCTGTGTGCCCAACGCTCCAAAGTTTCGAAAGTCGGATTCATCCACAATCACATAGCTAAGATAGGGTCCGCTACAATGCTGTTTAAAGAAACTTGGTATGAAGTTGGACTATAAGTCGATCGGCTAACTCAGCCATTGCCGACGTGAGAGCCCAAGCCGAGCAAAGTGGATCATGCCGATGCCGATACCGATGCGGAGGTGAATGTGGAGGAGTGAGCATGACCACCATCGTACTCGTTATTTCATACACTCAAGTCCACTGTATATAATTGTATGAGCCTGGCGAACGTCGGAGGCCCCAGCTAAGTACATCTTCCCCCGTGAGTCTTTTGTCGACCGGACCATCACCATGGGACATCAAAGCCAACCATCCCTTCGGGAGTTGAAGACCCGTCAAGATGCGCTCAACTTTATCTACATGGTATATCTTACCTGAAATGTCCATGTATCTTTTTGGGGCCGATTTCACTCACTGACATTCCTCTCAGTATGGGTATCCTCTGCTCGAGTTTGGAAAGTTCGTGGCTTCATCTCCCCGTGCTTCCGTCAACACGCTCTACCATGACCGACGCCTTTCGACGGACGCCGACCTGAAAGTCATTCGCCCCAATGGCGATACTTTGTACAGTACTGTACTCCTAGATTTGTCGGCGCAGATGTTGGAATTTTCTATCCCTTCCATACCAGACCGCTACTGGTGCTGGTCATTCTACGACTGGTGAGCAGACTTTCTCCTCGTTTTTTGTTCATCTTTGGGGTTTCTTCGTGATGAAAGCCAATCATAATACTTATACTCCAATTGTAGCTACGGAAATGATCTCGCAAATGTCAATAGTCTGCAGAATCACAAACCAGGCAAGTTCTTGGTGCGCTGCTCAGAGGACGAGGAACCTGGTCTAAGTCTTGATTGTTCACGCGGCGATATCGACGGTTATGCAGGCTGTATCACCATGTCCAGTATGTACGGTATCTGCCTGGTACGAATTGCCACAACGCCATCAATTGCCGATCAAAGCCTCGCAAACAGATATCAAGATCAATCTCGAGTCGTGGTTATCGAAAGAGGCGTGCCACCCGTTGCTGGTCCTCCCTTCGATCTGTCTCTGTTCACGCAACCCGGCTACCGTCCAAGCAAGGACATCTCGATCGTAGAAAGTGTCCTCCGCCTCACTGCAGCTCTCGCGCCAATTCTTCCATCTCCAGTTCGTCGAGACCGGCCGTTTATTTCCAAAGCTTTGTCGATGAGCGGGATTCAGGACGGCATCTTGACAAGGGATTCAAGTGGTGAAGCTGATCTCTCCATCCTCCCGCGTCAGGCTGAAAGCGAAGCCAGGGCTGCCCGCCGGGAGCCGGGGGGTAAGCTGGACCATGGCAATGGATGGGTGTCTTGGTTCCCTGAAAGCATGGGTAACTTTGGTTCGGACTATGCCGCCAGGTTTGCCATCGCAAAGTACGGATACCTTGGTCTGACACCGGATCAGGCGACCTATCCTTCTCTGGAGGGGTCCATCTACCTTGCTCCGGGAAAGGCACTTGTCATCCGATTCTCACGTCGGCCAGTTCTCAACCCGGGAGGCTTTTGGAGTCTGACGGCGTACAACGCCCAGCAGTACTTCATCCCCAACCGACTAAACAGATTCTGCCTGGGAGACAGGGACAACCTGAGGTTTGTGGATGGAACGCCTCTGGCGGACAAGGGAAAAGATGGGCCTTTTGAAGTCCTTGTCCAGCCTGCCAATAGCCCACCGCCCAAAGAATGGACTGACAATTGGCTACCGGCTCCTGCTGGGGGTGGGAAGATGTCGGTGACTTTGAGATGGTATGGCGCAGCGCCGGAAATGATGACGGAAGCGTACGAGTATCCCCGCCTTCGCTACGTCGAAATGATAGCGAAGTCCCAAAAAGCCATCTTGTGAGAGAAATGTCTTGCTGGAAATCATGATTTGCGCCTACCTTGAACGCCGGCTGTAAGAACTGCAGTAGTCGCCTTTATCTTCTTCCAGTGAGACAGCAAAATTTTCTCTAAGCAGTTGAGTGAGTCAAAATGAAATGAGTTCAATGGGTTACAAGCAAATATTGTGAGCCCTATTAACTTGATCCCACCAATATCACCAGTCATTTAGTTTATATCCTTGCTGATCTGACGATTTTGCCTAGCCCAGCCAGTGAAAGAAGTCTCTCCAAACAAACTATGTCGCCCGTGAGAATCTGAAGTCTGTTCGGGTCTCCCTTGCCCGTTAAAATCTCTCTCAGCTTGCTCATCTCGATTTCGAGAACGAGGTCATGTCCGGGAACCTGGGTCAGAGGTGATGTTCCAGTCACGTTTCGATAAGTGAGCGCACCATTGCTCAAGATCAAGACCCAGCTCTCCTTTTTATCGACGACATCTACACCAATCTGCATCGTTTGTCCTTCCTCTCCGGCCTTTGCGCCGTCAATACTGACGGAGAGACCTTCGAACCACTGTTCTACCGACATCTGGGGTGGGAACGACGCCTGGAGTGGAGAGAATTGGCTGCGCTGATGGTCCCCGTGCCGCAACTCCTTCGACTGGGTGAGGTAAAAATTCCTCCAAAGGGTGTTTTCACATCCGAATCCCAGGCTCTCAAAGACTTGTGCGAGCATCTCCCGGCTCTGACTTCGGACATTCTGGGGATACTCTTCCCTGGCTGCCACCAGGTTACCTAGAAGGGTTGCTGCGAATCTCAAATCCCCGTCGGCCTGAAATTGACTGGCTTTTCGTAGGGTCTCTTGGGGTCCGCCCATACAAGTCACGTACCTAGAGCCCTCTTCCTTTGGGGGCCATCTCCACAAGTTCTCGGCCCTGCCGTCGAACCAGGTCATGTAGCGTTGATAGATCCCTTTTACGTTGTGATTAATGCTCCCATAAAAGCCCTGCGTATGCCAACGACGCCTCAAGTTGGGAGGCAGGACGAAGGTTTCGGCGATTTCGGTCCCATTCAGTCCGCGGTTCATCTGGCGGATGGTCTGATCGTGTAGATAGGCATAAAGATCTCTCTGCTCTCCCAGGTAGCGTCTGATGTTGTTCGATCCCCACGTGGGCCAGGAGTGACTCCCGAAGAGCACGTCGGTTGTTTCAATTTCACAGAAAAGCACCAGGGACTCGTCGAGATACCGGGCCCATGCTTTGGCGTCTCTCACCAGAGCCCCGCGGAGGGTGGTGATGTTGTGAAGAGCATGACCGGCGCATTCCGGGATCAGAAGGGCCTTGTTGTCCGGGAAATAGATGTTGAACTCCGACGGAGCCTCTGTGTCGGGCACCATCTGAAAAACCATGGTCACCCCGTCAATCGTCAGTCGCTCGCCGGTCTGTTTGATGATCGCGGTCGGGGGGATCAGGCTGGTCCTCCCCGTCGACGACGCCATGCCCAGACCGACTCCGACCTGGCCGCAGGGAGACCTTTCAAGGCGTGAGCCGTACATGTGCGCCGCGCGGTGACGCATGATGGGGCCGGCAATGACATTCTCCGACAAGGCCTCCTCCATGAATCCTTCCGGTGCCACCACCGCCACGCCTTCTGGGACGGCGTCATTCTCCAGACCAGGGAACAACCCGGCAGCGCCGCCGTAGTGGTCGATATGGCTGTGAGTGTATACGACCCCCCTCACCGGACGGCTACCTCGGTGGTTTTCATAGAACTTCAGAGCGGCCGAGGCACATTCGCATGAGATCAAGGGGTCGACGATGACTACGCCGGACCTGCCCTCGACAAAGGTCACGTGCGATATGTCGAAGCCACGGATTTGATAGATGGTCTGGCTGATCTGGTACAGCCCCTGCTTGGACAGCAACTGCGCCTGTCTCCAGAGGCCGGCATTCACGGTGGGTGGACATTTTTGCTGATACACAAAGTCGTAGACATCATTATCCCAGATGGTCTTCCCACGAGCATTTCGGATGATGCATGGCTTCAATGAACCAATGAAACCTCGATCGGCGTCGGTAAAGTCCTGAGTATCCTCGAAAGATGGTCCAGATGAACTCGGGGTCAGATACTGTGATGCTGCCATGACTCGCACTTTCGAATCTTGAGGGTTATGGCGAGAAGGATTTTCCGCACATATCCAGCAAGAGCACAAGAGGTGGTCAAGATCAGCGCGTAGGGATTCCTGTTGGAGCTCGAGTTGCGAGCAGTGTTGAAGCGAGCCGGCACACCTCGCCAAAAAGCTACATGTTCTTAGGTTGAGATGGTTCGGCAGACGGGAGACGGCACATGGATGACTCGGCAGGACAACCAAGGGGCCGAGAACCTTGTAGATCCACACCCGGATTCGAGTCAATCCCCGCAATCTACCTTCCACAGACTCGCCTCAGACGGGGATTCCCCATTCCCCACCCGAAAGACCCCATGAGAGGACAGTTACAGTAGGGCTGTCAAGAGAGAACCCAATCCTCTTCCACGTACACACTACTCGGTAACTTCGGTTGTTCAACATTCGCATCCTCGTCGCTAACATCAGAGCCGATGAAATCCTTTAAAAAAAGCATGATAACTTCCCCAGGTTTTAGTCTCCTAGCCAATGTACCTCACCCCCAGACGTTCACCTTTCGTCAAGCATCCGGAACTTGGACCACGTGCGCGCATCGTGGTGATTTATTTTTTCGGATCAACCTTGGCGCTGATCTTCCACATCCATAATGGCGCCAGAACTCTCAATCGATACCGAAAAGAGGCCATCATCGAGCCACGAGCTCGAAGATAGCCCAGACAACGAGTCGGAGATCCAGGTATCTCCGGATGAGGAGCGACGCATAGTCCACAAAATCGACCGGCGACTGATCCTGGCCACGGGTTTCATGTTCGCCGTGTCCTTGATGGACAGAGTCAACTTGGGCTACGCCGCAAATGCAGGCATGGCCAAGGAATTGAAACTGACCGTGGGCAACCGCTACGTGAGCCCCCCACCCCCATCATCATTCATCCCCCGGTTCTTGGGATCTACTACATACCGCGCATGTATTAACACTATAGCTGAGAGACAGTCCACGGTCGCCATTGCATTCTTTCCCACTTATGTGGTCTTTGAGTGGCCCGGCGCCCTTCTAGCCAAGAAGATCGGTCCCAGGTACTTCCTACCGGCGTCAGTTCTGCTCTGGGGGGTCGTCATGCTGTGTGCTGGCTTCGTCCAGACTTGGGGTCAACTTGTCGCCATTAGAGCCATCATCGGAACGCTCGAAGCAGGTCTCTTCCCTGGATCCCTGTTTCTGCTCCAGAGTTGGTATCGTCGCTGTACGTCTTCAAGAAGCACCCCTTTCATCCCCCCTCGATGAATGAAATGTTTGGAGGATGACGTGATTTCTGATAGCTTTTCTTTTTCAACAGATGATGTCCACAAACGTTACGCGACCTTCTACCTCATCAGTCTCGTCGGAGGATCATTGTCCGGAGTCCTCGCATCAGGGTTCATGCAAATGCAGGGCGTCGGAGGCTATCTTGGATGGAGGTATATCTTCATTTGGGAAGGTGTGCTGACCATCCTGGTTGGGTTTCTGGGCGCGTACCTGATCGTGGACTTCCCGAACAAGGCCAAAAATAGTCGAAGCTTCTTGTCCACTCGGGAATTGCAAATAGTGGTCCAGATGCTGGAGAAGGATCGCGGCGAGGTTGACAATGACAAGTTCAACCTGCGCGAGTACCTGAGCACCGCGTTGGACTGGAAAGTGTGGGCCATGGGAATGATGTTTTTGTGAGTTTTCTTCTTTGCTGGTCACATTTCGACCTTATGCTGACCACATACGTGAAAGGTCGAGTACAGTGGTGTCCTACTCGATTTCCTTCTTCCTGCCGCTCATCTTGAGGAACAAAATGGGCTACAGTATCCTCGCGGCCAACGCCCTGAGTACACCTCCATACATCTTCACCGCTTTCTACATGTACGCCCAAGGCTGGGTGGCCGACAGGTATCGCTTTCGCGCCCCTCATCTTGTCTGGAACTCGCTACAATCCATATGTGGTCTGTGTCTTCTGGCTTGGACCAAGTCGGCGGGCTCTCAATACTTTGGCGTCTTCCTCGTCACTGCCGGATGCAACGCCTCAATCCCCACTGTCATGGCCTATCAGTCCAACAACATCCGTGGAACCTGGAGGCGTGCCTTTTGCAGTGCCAGCTTGATCACCATGGGTGGGACTGGTGGCATCGTGGGAGCACTGGTGTTCAGAGCTAAGGATGCGCCCCAGTATCTGCCGGGGATCTACGCTTCAATCGGGTGAGTCAAAGAGGACCCATCAAAGTCCGGTTTTGTGATTTTCGATGCCGTTTTTTAATCCGTCTGAAACCTTAGGTTTTGCATACTGACAATCGTCTTGGTCGCCGTCTTGGATCTTCACTTTTTCAGAATGAACAAAAAGGCCGAACGTGATGGAACTCCGCTGCAAGGTCTGGTCGGTTTCAGATACACTCTGTAGACGGACCGATATTTTGCACACCTTTCACCTTAACAAAGTCAAGAGATGAAACAGAGCAGTGAATGAACTAGGTGGTATCATTTGGTAGCCCATAGCCACCATCATGATACCAGAGGGTGATCTGAAGGAAAGGCTATTGGTTATCTATAGGAACATACAGATGTGATTTTTCCGAACAACTTTTCAATCAACAGATTATTCTCGCTAGACAAATAACGCAGCTAATACTTTCTAGTACTGTTTGAAGTGAGTGGGGGCTAACTTGATCTGATACTTGTTATTGAACCCATACAGTACAAATACACAAGCTCAAGTCACTTTATTGTGCCTGATCTGGTCAATCTTGTTCTATCATCGTATTCTCTCTCTCTACCAAGACGACCGACCCTGTCCTGTAGGTTTAGTGCAACAGTTTATGTGCTTCATCGAATATTAACCTTCTAGGCTGATGACTGCGCGACCTTGTAGCTGCTGTGCATGCATCTTCTGAAACACCGTGGTCAACTGTTCCATCCCAAAGATCTCCACATGAGTCTTGACGATCCCTCTGTATCAACACGAGTGGTTTGTCAGTATAGTCACGATCGTCACTTGAGAAGCGTTTCAAGGGAAGGGCTTGTCGGTGGAGATATGGTCTTACCTTGACGCGAGCTCCATCACGTCGATGGCATCCTTCCGGGTGCCGACGGCACTGCCCACTATGCGCAGCTCCCGTCCGGCGATGGAACCGGGGTCGGCCGACTCGATGGGTACCCTCTCGCCTTCGGGCACGCCGACACACACAAGAGTGCCCCTGAACTTGAGCATCCGGAGACCCTGGGCGTAGGCGGCGTTGCTGGCGGCGCACACGATCACGGCTTTGGCCCCTGGCCCTCCGGTCATGAGCTTGACGTCCTCGATCATCTTCATCGCACCTCCGTCGTCGCCGTCGTTGTTGTTGTAGTCACCAAGATCGACGAAACCCTCGGCGCCACATTCATCCTTCACCAGCGATTTCTTGGTTCCCGAGTCGATGCCGATCATCCTGAACCCCATGGCGCGTCCCATCTGTACACAAAGATGACCCAACCCGCCGCCGGCTCCCGGCACAACGACCCAATCTCCCGGGTGCGCACCCGACTTCCGCAGGGCGCTGTAGACGGTGAGTCCGCCGCACAGCAGAGGCGCCGCCTGCTCGCTCGCCAGGCCATCGGGAATGGGCGTGACGTATTGAGCCGGGGCGAGGGCGTACTGTTGGAAAGTACCGGGGACGTGGTAGCCACTGATCTTTTTGGCGGTGCAGCACGAGTCGGCGCCCGACAGGCATGCCTCGCAGTTTCCGCAGACCGAGGCCAACCATTTGATTCCCACTCTCTGTCCGACCTCGAGACCTGGGGAGTCGGCGTCGGAGCCCAGAGCAACGACCACACCGACACCCTCGTGGCCGCCAACCTGGCCTTTAGGTGTCGGTCTGACCAGATGTTTCCAACCCATGGTCATGACGGCCATGTCGCTGGCACACACCCCGGAGTGAGTCAAACGGACAAGGACCTCTCCCACATTCGGTCGGGGAGTTTCGACCGTTTCGAGCTTCGTCGAAATCTTGCCCGGTTCATCATACACCGCCGCCTCATGGTGTGAAGGAATGTCAAGTGGAACCATCCTTCCTGATCGTGAACCCGAAGAAGTGAACCCGGACGTTGATGGTCGATGTCGTCGTCCTATATGCCTAAAGAGCCCACGAAATCACCTGAATGATCCTCGACATCCGGTAAAAGTGCAGGGTGGTAGGGTTAAATTCAACCTCCAGTTCAAAATATTGCCGATTGAGGGAGTGGAGGTCAGTCAGCCTTGTCTGCGGAAGTGAGAACATGGCCGAGCTTTACCGAAGCGGTCAACCCCCCCTTCCTTGCACTCAGGGCACTGCCGAACTCCTCCCTTGTATTTTCTGACTCTTGTCCAGTACTGATTTCATTACTACCTACTTACTAGCCCCCTCAATTCTTAATTAGAATCTTCACGTCTACAAATCTCTGTTGACCGCGTGGAGAAAGTGAACAAACAATTATCCATACGGACTTGTATGAGTTTTGCTGACAATATATAGTCATGTATTCATTTTTCAACTTTCGTAACTCGGCCCATCCACACGTGCTGGAACATTTATTTTGTAACGGAAGAGAAGACTTCATGCCCACAATCGAAATACTTTGTCCCATTCACCAAGCGCCCGGATTATCAAAGGACTCGGCTCGTGGCTTTGTATCATTAACCCAACCGATTACGGACCAGCTTGTTGTATCTTTTCATGAGATCACAGTCTCTGAAGTCATCGACGTCAAGATCAATGTAACCGCTAGGTGCGTCTGTCTTTGGGACAATGGCGAAAGCTCGTCCTGGTAATAGTCACATTTTAGTTAAACAGGCCCGGAAGTAGGAACAATCTGACAGCCAAGACCACCCACTCACCTGAGACATCTCGGCTTGATACAATCCTCATTAGCGCTTCGGCTGCGCTCTCTAGAGATGCGAATTCAATCCCATTGGCTTTCATAAGTTCTGCCCGACCGGGAGGCAAGATGTCGGTGGCGATGAACCTGTGGGTTTTGTTTTTGGCCATGTCAGTTTTCTCCCCCGGAAAACCCGCCAGATCCTTGGGACGTACCAGGGAGCAATCATGTTGACGCGAACGACATTGGTGTCCTCCGCCGATCGGATATTCCGCATGGCAGAGCGCATGCCAAACTTGGAAGCTCCATACTCCAACATCCCCGGAAAATCGATATAGCCAGCTACGCTCCCTTGAAGAACCAGACAATGATCGCGACCGGAATCAGAGTTGGCAGCTTGTCTCCGAAAGTAATAAAGACCCAGCTTGATCGTGTACAAAGCTGCGGTGAGATTTATGTCCAACGTACGGAGTTGCGGCTTTTGGGGTTCGTCATCCTCGGCTGGAAAATTCGGTACTCAACCGTCAACCCAAGCCCTCGACCTGTGTATCTATGCAGAGCATCGCGAACGAGAAAAGAATGAGGATGAAAACAGTGGTGGGCAAACGTACGGGTCGTATTGAAGACGGAGTCGACACCACCAATGCCGGCGTTAACGACGACTATGTCAATTGCGCCGCTGGACGAAAACTTGATGGCCTCCTTGAAAAGTGACACTTGATCTTCCCAGCATGACACGTCACACTTGACAAACTTGGTCGAACTTTGGACACGGTGAGTGAATCACCTCGTCAGGGGGCTTCGATAGAAAGTAGAGAGACTCACGGATGCAATTCCGATTGCAGCTTGGATCCTTGTTGCTCGTCTATATCGCCAATGACAACGCGCGCGCTGTACATGTGTGTTTTAGCGTCCAAAGACTTCTTCATCTTTTCAAGTAGAGAAAAATATTCCGGCAAAATCTAGCTGTAGGGCAGGATCGTCTGGGGCATCACCCACCCTGACTGATAGAGGGCTCGCACATAAGCCTGACCTGTGCCTTTCGCTCCTATACGAGTTTCAGCATGCTGGTACTGTCAATTTCCAACAAACCGCCACAAGCCATGCTCACCTCCAGTAATTATGGCAGTTTTGTCCTTCAGATCACCCCTTTCGAATGTACTGTTACAATCCACTGCGCCGGTGTAGCGATACATTAGGCCCGATTTTCGTGAACTCGTGAGCCTAAGGTAGCTGGTCAGCTAGGATAGGTTGTGAAAGATCTGTACTTATACCGAACGTTTTGCTTGTGCGCAGAATGCCTTTCGCACACTGGACAGAATAGAAAAGAAGGCCCGAGGGAGTGCCAACGCTAAGTGCGGACACTGGGACGTTGGAAAGACAGGCAAAGCACTGCTTATATCAATAACCATGGAGATCTGAATGGATCACAGAAATAAAGAATCCCCTTCCAAACTTTTATTTCCTGAAGGTAACGTGTGTCGTCGCTCGGTCACCCCACCAGGTTGTCTGGGGATCGCTTTTACGAACCAATCGGCAAAAGTTGCTCGCAGCCTCGTTACCGAACTTGCCGAATGGCGGACCCCTATTACCCCCCCGCCCCGGGGGGCTGATACCCGATGTCTAATCTCTGTACCGACCACCTCAGGATATGAGATTTCTGGGAGGTCGGTACGCGAAAACCCACGTCCTCCCCACACTACCAGTATGCCTTCCAACATCCAAAGACAAAACTAACCAATAGGTAGTCATCCGTACTATGATACGAGAATCTTTCTCTTGCAGGAAATGAATGCATCTTAACACATGCTCGTCGATTATAGGCTGAAATCGGTAGACTGAACCTGAGGTGTATCTTAGGTTTCGTGTTACGCGCTCCCTTGTTCCCTCATCCGTCCATCTCTGTTGTAACCTGACAATTCGCTCTCAAACAACATGTCTTCCGATGAAAAGACCCAAAAAATGAGAGCATGGCGGAAGGTCTTCCCGGAAAAGAAAGTGGTAAGGAGAGAACCAGCTTGGATTAGCGGGCTAATACTGTGTACTCACTGAATCGTCCCAGGCTTTGATCGAGGTCGGACGGCCCCCAGTATCAGCCGACGGGCTACTTCTCAAAGTGCTCGCTGCAGGCGGTATGATTGTGACACACTCTTTTTTAGGAGCCGGTCTTTAACGAGACTGCAGTGTGCCACAGTGACATAACAATTCTCGACATGGAGAAGCCAACCCCTTGGCAGCAAGATGCATTTACAATGGTGAGGCTTCTCCAGAGAATTGTGAAGATCCGTTTCAGGATGAATCCTAATCGCTGTTCATGAAGGGCCACGAATGCTGCGGCGAAGTGGTTTCTGTAGGGCGCAAAGTTACCAAATTCAGGCCTGGTGATATGGTATCGGTGGTATGCGTTGCTGGTTGCGACAAGCCTGCATGTTCAGAGTGTATGCATGGCTCGAGTCACATCTGCACATCTCCGGGAGTTCAACGATACGGTCTGGGACAAGACGGAGCTTTCGCGCCGTATATCGCGGTCAGGGAATCCGCCGCTGTCAGAGTGCCACATGGCATTGATGCGCCTATGGCGGCGGTCGCAACGGACGCGGTCTTGACTGCCTATCAAGCAGTCGTTGGACGGGGCAAGGTCAGCGCGGACGAGACTGTTCTCCTTCTGGGCCTGGGGGGTTTGGGGTTCAATGCATTGCAGATTTTGCTTCATATTGGCGCCAGGTGCATCGCGTTCGACAAAAGGCAGCTTGTTCTGGACGAAGCAGTCAAGTTCGGAATCGCTCTAGACGACGTCATTCCTGCAGAAACGCAGGACATCCCACAATGGCTCAAGGATCGCAATGTCAGGATTGATAAAGCGATAGACTTTGTCGGATCCCCAGCGACATTTTCGGCATCTGTTGAAGCCGGTAAGAATTGATTCTCCTTGCCACGACGAAGTGGTAGGTTGAAAAGAATCTGGTGCTGATCATTACTAGTACGACCAGGAGGTACAATCGTCCTCGTCGGTCTCATAGGGCCGTCTCCGACTTTGAATTCCCTGTTGGCGATCCGGAAGCAACTAAGCATCCTTTGCAGCTTTGCAGGCTCAACTGAAGTATTACAGGAGGTCTTGGATCTAATAGCCCAGGGGGCGATCAAGCCACAAGTGATCACGAGGCCTTTGTCAGAGCTGGCGCAAGTGCTAGATGATCTCCATGCAGGCAAGATCAAAAGTAGAGTGGCTTTGATCCCGGGAGGTTGATAGTTGTTAGCCTTACGAGCCAGGGGGAGTGTTGCGATGGCGCTCCTCGCTCTTGAAGTGATGGCTCTCAGTTATACAAAACTAGACAACGTAACCCATTATAGTAAAGGAGAATGGAGGAGAGCCAATGTAGGTTTACAACGTGACATAGCTCGCGAACGATTATATAGCGAGGAATCGATGGGCCATGCAAGGACTAAAGCAAGTAGAGTTGGGAAGGCTCTAGATCGTCCCTGTATCCGAAGTGAGTAACAGCGAAGTTTGGGCCATGAGACAGAGGGGTCCCTTGCTCAAGCTCGGTATTAAGAGGAGGGTCAAAGGGGGAGTCATTCATAGAAGAAGTATTCAGCCTTGCGTCTAGGTGTCACAATGGTCCGTCGTAGCTTACTGATACGGTGCAACATTTTCGACGTCTCCGCCTGCGGGATTCCGCTTTGACACTTTGCGGGCGTTGGCAATCTTGAAGATAGTCTGTGTCTTGTGCGCCCACGTCGTGTTGATACAGCAAGGCTGATTGATTCTGTTGATGCGATCCTAGAGAACGCGGGGAGATACTTTGTTCATATCCTATCGAACTCAATCCTACGCCCGGCGCACGCAAGCCTCGCGTGAGTCCCCAGCTGGACGACCTCTCATTTCTAGTCCAACGACCAAGCAAGTCCATACAACCTATACCTGAGTCGGCACAGCAGATCGAACGACTATTCAAAGTCAAGAAGAGCAGTGCCTCAAACTACATATACGGACCAGGCGACAAAACACAGCGCCTCGCCAAAATGAAGTTGATTCTTTCTACATCGTATGACTCCACCAAGAGACCGATATCCTGTGGTTTTCTGGAGACTAATTCTTTTCGTTTGCGTAGTAACATAATGTCCTCTGGGCAGTCCATTGTCCGGCGACCATTATTCTCCAAGTCCAACATCGAACTGATCAATTCGCTGAGATCGAACTTTGCCTCGTTCCAGCACCACCCCTCTGCTTCTTCCGAAAACGCCGACTCAACCCCGGATTACAAACAATGGACCACCGAGGAAGATGACACACTATACGTTCCCTCATGGCGACCTACGCCGCTCAAAGAACCGCGAGAGTCCTACGACGTGACCGTCAAGCTTTTCTTCCTTCCGGGCATCCCGAGTACAAGACGGTGTAAACACACGCGGGAAGCGATCGATCTGGTCCTGAAAGAGCTGGACATTGAGAATATAGATCTTTTGATCGCCAGCTATCCGGGCGTGACATTCGATGCCGACGACGAGGAGGAAGTGTCGGCAGATGAAGACGATGAAAGCGCACGCAGCGACGAGTCGGAAGGACTGGACGCCCAGATCAAGACGTGGCAGGTCCTGGAGTCATTACACGAAAAAGGTGTGATATCTCAACTTGGCGTCTCGGAGTTCAGTTCTGAGCGCCTTGATAAGTTCCTGCCAGAGGTCAAAGTGCGACCGACTGTCGACCAGATCAATGTCAAGGACTGCTGCGTTGTACCTAAACCGCTGATCGTGTATGCCAAGGAGAACAAGATCGAACTGCTGACTCACGCCGACTGCATGGACATCTTGCCACCCGGGACGACGAGAGAGTTGTTGGGACCCAGCAAAGATGGAGCAGGCATCCTTGCCGCATGTCCCAATGCTGGGGCGGACGAACCTGGCTTGAAAGGCGACATTGAACCCCAGTGGGTTGTCAAATATACGGCCGTCGTGAAGAACCGTGGAGTGGTTGAGAACAAAGGGTACTTTGCTGTCGCCCAGCTTGGTAGCTGCATCGAGGAGAAGCCTGATGAAGAAGGCTTATAGCCTCGGCCGATGCGGTGCAAGGTATCTCGTCTTATTTAGCATGGCGTTTTTGTGCGAGATTCTCAAAGTACTTTTTGGCTTCTAGCCGAGCATACTTCTCTTTCGGCCTCTCATTCGAACATCTTCTAAACGTTTGAGAACGACCTTTGAGCCCTTGTAACTCCCCCTATATCCTTCTTGACTCTGAATAACTTCGGCATCGAACCAGTCTTCTTGTCGAGGGTGGGTTGACCCAAAGGCTCGCTCGAGGACATACAAGTCCACAGCACGATCCTCCTCTTGTATCGACTGCGTAGCCAATCCGAAATCGATCAGGACAATATCACCTGTGAGGTCCGGCGGGGGAGAAGCTATAGATTGCGATTCTTGTGTGGTGCTCCAGTCTCCGTTGGTCATCAGCGACCCGTTCACTTGATTTTGGTCTTGCTCTGGCAGGTTTTTCGGGCGGACGATGATATTGCTGCTCGTCAGATCTCCATGCACCACTCCGCCCTTGTTGTGCATGTTCCCGATCGCCTTCCCGAGTCTCCTGAGGAGGATCTTGACTTGCTCTTCTTGGGCGGCTAGCTCTTCGCTGGTGGCGGTACCGTGGGCCTTTGCAGAACGGTACCATGTGTCCCATCTGCGCAGAAGTTCTTTCGCACTGTGTCCTTCGATCCACTCCATGAGGAGCCACGCGCCGGCACCTGCATTTGCACCTGTACCCGCGCCACGTGCACCTCTCTGCTCCTGACTCAAACCCTTGACTTTACGTGCGGCGTCCCACTCCAGACTCAGCACGGCGGGGACGTGGATCTCGGTCGTCTCGTCACCCGCCAGTGAGGCCAACTTGGCGAGGATGCGAGCCTCGGCGAGCACGCGCTGTTTCGTGAGGCGGGCGTCGAGCGTCGGGTGTCTCCAGGCTTTGCTTGGTCTGGCTTTCAAAGCGGCGGGCGTCTCGGGACTGAGGAAGTGTGTGCGGTATAGTAAGGCTTCGGCGCCTTGCGCAATGAGTTCCGGCCGAGGAGTTATCGTGTTGAAAGGTGCAGGGAGGAACGGTTCATCTCGTCTCTGTGCATCTGCCACGGCGGCCGTGGTGGGAGTTGAAGTGACATCCATTGCGACAAGAGGCAGATGGCAGAGCCCAATTAATCAAAGGATGGACTTCGTGACAGTCTAGCAATTCAATCCGATAAAGGCCTCAAAGTGATTCCTTTTGTGTTGTTCTGTGGATCAGTTATATGCTGTAGAGACACAAGGATCTACAGTCTGCGAGAAGTGCAGACGAGTCAGGTAGGTAAAAACATCCCCCACCCATGACTCGAGTTTCATCATATCGATGTCTCCGCTTCACGCTCGATAACTAAACCAGATTGCTAGGTCTGTACGCTGTGCTGCCTGCGCTCAATAGTCTTGGAAGCTCAACATATGGATGGCAATTCTGATCGGAAAACAATCATCATTTTAAATTAGCAAGACCAAGTTACCCTCCTCTGTGTATGCTCTGGGGCGCCAGCCAAGTCAAATACAAATATTCCACCAAATGGATTCGCAAACATGTTACACTTTTTGAGGCCCGGGCTTTGCAAAATCAAACGTCCGAAGTGCTTGCCGAAAGCTCTGGCTATAAGACACAAGGGATCGAGGCTTCGTTCATCCTGCCCTGACCAATATCAGTAACTGCCGCCAGAATGCCAGCCAATTTTCTAGTCAAGTACATTCATTGGCTCCCTGGCTCAACACTCATGGCTCTCACCATATCCCTGAGCTCCTTGACCTGCTCCTTTAGTTCCCTGATCTCGACCACGTCGGCATCGACATCGACGATCGGCTTCGAACTCTCCACCTTCTTAGCCCAGCCCTCGCTCTCAAAATCAAGTTCCCCTTCCATCTCTTCCCACTCCTCAATTGTGTCGTCATCCTCTTCACCTCGTTTCCGATTGTCTCGAACAGATCTCGCATCTCTTGCTTCCAGCGCGGCTGTGACTAGGAGCAACGGGCTGTAGACAATACCCATAACATAATCATTGAGCCGCTGGTAATGGGCTTTGTCCATCCACCATTCGAAGGGCAGAATCAGGCAGAACATCTCAATGAGGTTGAGTGGTGCAATGAAAACATTTTCATCCGGTGCTCGGACGAATTGCAAAGTCTTCTGGGCAAACATGGCCATGTACTCGTCGATCGCATTCTCGGTGATATCCTCGTATGCTGAATTGTATAGTGCGATGAGAATATTCAACAGGATGACCATCACCACGAATGTGAAGATATAGTACAATATCAGCCCGAAGGGGTGAGCGTAGTTGTCAAACCCGTCAAAGTCAGGAGATTGCATCACCGAATTCGCCATGCTGGTGATGATGAAGGTGGTAATGCTCGCGTTTCCTTCGACCTGGTTCAGCCCGATAAACGCCTGAAGGAAACCAACGCATACCACCACGAGTAGCAAGAAGAAAATCAATGACTCGCGCATCATAACCTTGAGGACGACCAACATGGCGCCGAAGAAGCGGAACGTGTCCAGGTAAAGCAGTAGACGCATCCAGAACATAGGGGCGCTGAAGCAGAAGATATGGTAACCGAGCTTGTTCAGATCGCGCCGACGCTCGTCATCGTGATTAGGGCTGTGTGCAAGTGCTGTGATACGGATCACGAAAGAGGCCGTTAGTAATGCGTACAGACAGTTGTTGAACACATTCCAAAAGCCGATATAGTAACGGCCGACTTTCCACAGCTTAGCGAGTTCGTCGCATATGAAACCTGCCGTCATCACATAAAGAATCCCTTCGACAACGTCAAGATCTCCCTCTTCATTGATGGTGTTTACCGCTTGTGTATAGAGGATCAGATAAAGAATTGACACCGAGACCTGCACTACATTCTGGTATAATGGCGTGCGCATCCGGTCGGGGTCATAGTGAACCCAGTAGTTGGTGTTGTCGCGATTTTCATACCAACGGTAATTGGCAGCATCTTCATCATCCTGTTGAATCCAGCCACGCCACAGGTACTTGATGCACTTTTGATAGCCCGAGGAGCCTATCACAGTGAGACAGTGTAGATCGACAGCACGCTCGATAACGTTGGCTGGGGCAGATTCTTCGTTTTTGCGTACAACACTATACCGTTGCAGAAGGACTTTCTGCATGAGATATTCTTGGTCTTCTTCAGCCTCGATAATGCGTTTAGCAATTATTTCGCAGGCTACAGCACGGACTTCGTGGAGATCTGCATCCCATAGTTCCAGGGTCGCCTGGTGTTTGAACCATCTCTTGCAAACAAGCAGACAGTACACAACACAGGCCGAGTAGTCTTTTCCTCCAGCTTCAAGGGCAGTCTGAACCACCTTCTTCGTGATGACGCCAGAGTTGGCAGCGGTGATCTTGTCCTCGGGGAGTTCAATAGGTATGACCTCTTCGATATGGTATTTCAAGCGGAGGGCGACTTTGGTGACTTCACGAGCAGGGTAGGCTGTAGCGGGGAGGTCATTGGTATGACTAGGAAGTACTGCAGTATATCAGAAGAGCTGCATCCAGGACACTGCAGAGGAGCTTTTGGTATCTTACACCTCCACATTTCCTCGCGCGGATGGCGAGAGTCGCGCTCTGCGCCAAAGAGGCGTGACCATTTGACCATGACGTAGGGAGTTCCTCACTTGGAGATGGGAATTTCTGCTTTTTTCCGCTATAGACGAGAGTGGTCACAAAAGTCAAGTCTGGGGATGAGAGATGTCGCGGGCTGCTATGTGAGCTCGTGAATTGAGCTGCGTGTTACCTACATAAAGCAGAAAGCGGGAGATCAGCAGGTATTGACTTGATTGACCGCCGTGGTTTTCGGCTAGCGAGATGGAAATCAGGTTCTCGAGGCAGCTGAAGCTCCCCGCAATACTACACAGGCATTGCTATTTTGTACCTATTGTAGCTAAACATTCTTGGCTAAATGCCTCTAGGTACTGATGGCGCCTCTGATAAGCGAGTCAGCCACAGCCTAGTCAATAGGTACAAGCACCACCAAAGCCTTGTTCCCTTCTTAATAGCACCAGCCTTGTTAGATTCTCGTATTATTCCGACCCTTGATTCAGCTACAAAGAAATCTAGTCTCAGGGAATTCTAGACATTGACTTGATCTACTGTCACAATTTGGAATCTCTAACATGGATATTCCGCCTGGCCACTTAAACAGTCCAGAAGACCCCAGGATTTAAGAGATCATGTCTCGACTTTTCTCCTTCCACGGTTGACATAAATTCGTTGACATCGTCCAACTCAATTGCCGATTGTGCAGAGGCAGATGCTGATGCTTATGCTTATGCGACCTCTGGACCCTCATCGCTCTCGCTGACATCTTCGTCGCCACTAACTTCCTCGTTCTCCTTGGCTCTCTTGTCCATCAATGCTTGAAGCTCAGCGTCATCGTGCTCGGTCACAGCTTTAGGAGCCATCTTAACAACACAACCACCGCCAGCTTCCTTGATACTCTCTTCAATGTCCTTGATGGCTTGTTCTAGTAGTTGGATACCCATTGTCTTGTCCAAGCACTGACTCGTCAGGACGTAATGAGGCGGTGACACCAGCTTGACCTTGACTTGCGTATCAGGAGTGTTCTTCGCCTCCGCTTTTCGAAGTGCGTCCTTGACTGCATCGATGCCATCGTACTTGAAGCATGTTACTTCCACGTCGGCACGTACTTTTGTTGGATGTGGCGTCAACTTCTTGCTGATGTATGAAATAAGTTCCTCCTTGACAACTTCGTTTGGAAATGCGACATCGTTCCACACTTCGGGATTTGTGATTGACAGCTTGAAGGCGTCGTTCGCATGTACGTACTTCTTGTTGAGCGGCCAGCCGATGTTTTCGTACAGCTTCAGAATAGGCGTCTTGGTCTTTTCTGCGACATGTCGGAAGATGGAGTGGACGGATTTGCTCTTGTTGTATCGTTCTTCGCATCGGACAATATCTTCTGCAGAAACTCTTCGCTTGGACAAATCGATATAGCCCTTCTCTTTATCCACTCTTAGGACGACCACTACTTCGTTGCGACCAATTCTGATCAGTTTCTGTATCGATCTGATACGTCTTCGGGACAGTTCTGAAAGTAGGATCATGCCGTCGATGTTGTCGTATTCTAATAGTTTGACATAAGCACCCATCTCTGCTATCTAGACACACACATATCAGAGATGTCTCTTGCCACAGTCCCGCAGACCTTTCTTACCTGCTTCACATTCACCATAACGAAACTCTCGATTTCAGGATATTTTTCCTCATAGAACCGACAGTTCGTCAAGGATTCTGGGTCCGACATGATGGCGGTATTCTTGATGTTGTACTCTCGATAAGTGTCTTTTCTCTGGGCCTCTAAATGTGTATCAGTGTAGGAGAGGAGGATTGCGCGAATAGTTGAGTGATCGCTGTGACTCGAGACCTTGGGGCGACCTAGACTGACTGCATGTGCGGCGACACTTCAACCGCCTGCCCGCCGGAACTTTTCTGCCAAGAATAAAAAGGTAGTCACGTGAATATTAGTCATATATTTGCTAATACGCGTACCTCCGCGTTGTCATTAAGCTTTTCTGCCCACGGTCGGCGACGTCACTACACATGACCAAATGTCGACGAATGATTGGAGTGTGGAACGTTCTCTCGCCCCTGTAAAATCGCTTATTGCGGACGTATTTGTACAAGTATTTTGGAGATGTCCTGCTTTGCTGTAAATCGGCCGACAATCAAGATCCCAGCTGCAGAGTGACAGGTTGGCAGCTTGTACAACATCATGGAAATACAATAACAGCAACCAAAGTCCTAACTACACCGTATGTTGTTACTCGTTGGCTGCTGTCATTATGACCAGTCGATCGCCCTCCTCCTCGAGAGGTTCTAGTCCTCCACCATCCCCCAGGCGTCCTCCGCACCCTCATCCTACCTCTCGAACTCCCTCCCAGCATGTGCCAGTGACTCCCAGCCGACTGCGGGAGGCTACAATGGCCAGGTCAAAATCGAACGAAGAGGTGGGACCTGTGCCGCCAGTACTCCGGAGTGACCAAAATATACCAACGGTGCTTGAGCCTGAATCTCTATTAGATGATGCAGAGTCCTCGGTACATGGCCGAATCGAGGAGCCCTCTGCTGCAGAACTCAATGTTAGGAGCAGACTACTGGGCAATTACAATCATAATCACATCTGCGGACTACGCAACTGTAACCATGGCACATTTTCTCCCAGAGCACCGTCGCTACGGAGTGAGGACGGCAGCCTTGACAGCACCGCTGTCCCCTTTGGTGGTGTTTATCCTGGAACGTCGGCCGACGACGGCAGCCCCCGGGACGCGGTCCAGGGTATACTGGGAGACTCCATCACCGACTCCCTTACGGGAAGTAAGAGCCTAAGCACGACCAGATGGCTCGCACAGAAGCACGGTATCAAGAGTCAGAGGTGGATGTATTTCTCCTACTACTTTCCATTTCTGAAATGGATTCGCCAATACCGGTGGCAGTGGTTGCGGGGAGATATTCTGTCTGCTTTGACAATGGCTTCCTTTTATATCCCAATATCTCTGTCTCTCTCGTCAAACTTGGCTCACGTTCCTCCGATCAACGGCCTCTACTCCTTTGTCTTCAATCCATTGATCTATGCGTTCCTCGGAAGCTGTCCTCAAATGGTGGTTGGACCCGAGGCCGCAGGCTCACTTTTGGTCGGCCAAGTTGTCAAGGCTTCTATCGATCGTGGACATTCAGGAGATGATAATTCCAGGCTCAATGCAGAGATCGCTGGGGTTGTGACAGCAATAGCGGGCTCGGTCATCTTTATCGCAGGACTATGTCGGTTGGGATTTCTCGACAGTGTGCTCAGTCGACCATTCCTTCGAGGATTCATCAGTGCCATCGGTTTTGTGATTCTTGTTGACCAGCTTATTCCTGAACTTGGTCTTTCAGGTGTCCAGCAGGACAATGAAGTTGCTCATGGAAGCAGTGCTCAGAAATTGGCTTTCTTAGTCAAGAATATTGGCCATGCTCATGGACTGACCACGGCTGTGTCAGCAACAAGTTTTGTAATTATAATGGTCTTTCGGTATGTCATATATCCGCAGTCAGGTTCTTATGCTAACTTCGCAGCACACTTAAACGTACTTTACAACCACGGTATCCGTCGGTGGCCTATTTTCCAGATCGTTTCATTGTCGTCGTTCTTTCAGCCATTTTTACGTGGGCCTTCGCTTGGCACAAAAAGGGTCTGTCGATTTTGGGCGATATAAAATCAGACGCAGGATCAGCCATCCCATTTCACTGGCCTTTCCAATTCAGCCATATGATTCATATTGATACGGCTCTGAGTACATCGTTCTTGATCGCCCTTCTGGGATTCTTCGAGTCCTCTGTGGCTGCTAAAAGTCTTGGAGAAGGGACTTCTGGCCTTAAGAACATGACTTTGAGTGCCAATAGGGAAATGGTCGCCTTGGGGGCGGCTAACATTGTTGGAGGTTGCTTCATGGCTCTACCTGCCTTTGGCGGATATGGGAGAAGTAAGGTCAATGCATCCACTGGCGGAACGACACCTATGAGTAGCATCATTTTGAGCATGCTAACACTGGTATGTGTCTTATACCTATTGCCATACTTCTACTACATTCCCAAAGCGGTGTTGTCGGGAATGGTTTCAGTAGTGGCGTACTCACTCATCGAAGAGTGTCCTCACGACATCAAGTTCTTTTTCAAGATTCGAGGATGGACTGAGTTGTTCTTGATGTTTGTTATCTTTGTGGCAACTGTTTTCTATTCTCTCTCCGTCGGCATTGCGTTGGGCATTGGACTCTCTTTACTACAACTCATCAGGCACGCCACTAAACCTCGGATACAAATTTTGGGCAAAATTCCTGGCACGACCAACCAATTCGAAAACGCTGAACTGAACCCCGAAAACATCGAGTACATCGAAGGTTGTCTAATTGTAAAGATTCCTGAACCTCTGACATTTGCAAACACCGGGGAATTGAAGACGCGTCTACGGAGGCTGGAACAATATGGTACGAACAAGGCTCATCCATCGTTACCTCGAGTCCGACTCGAGGAGAATAACAGAAACGTCATCTTTGATGTTCATGGTGTCACCAAGATTGATGGATCGGGGACGCAGGTGTTTGCAGAAATAGTGGAGGAATACGTGAAGAGAGGCATTCGAGTTATTTTCTGCCGCTTACCACACCGGAGGAGCAAGGTATTCTTAGCATTTGAGAGAGCGGGCATTGTAGACCTCTGCGGAGGAAGAGGTCATTTCGTGGGCAGTGTCGAGGAAGCTCTACGATTATCGGAAGCGGAAGACATGGAGCGATATATCGAGGAACGCGCCGATCATGATTATCGCAGAGATACACAATGGTAGTGAAGTGACTTGTTTTTTGCGTCACCTCATGTTTTTGCTCACCTGTAACCGCCGAAAGGAACCAGCTTTCATCGATACGACATTCTTCATCTATTTTCTCTCGCACCAACTGCGCCTACCTTACCTACCTGTACCTAACCGACTCTCTACTGACGTGCTTGTACGGAGCACACCACAATGACTCCTTATTTGCTCACAGCGGTGGCCCTTTTGATCATTTGCCTGGTCGAGTCAAGCCATGCAGCGGTACATTTACCATTGTACAAAAGAGGAGGAAGAATGTCTCGACACGAACCCGCCAACTTGACGCGACTTTCGGCTCTGGTGTCGGAGGTAGAATTTCGCTACGCACGCTGCTACCGCGAAGTTGACAACAACCGAGTCATTCGCAGATGGCGACCGTACGAGGGAAAGGACGAAAATGATCCCCATATCATTGATGTCGCTGGACATCGAGGTCGATGGTTGGTGTTTGAAATTCATAGTCTCTTCGTGCACGCATTGGCTGGGCGTGGCCACACCTACTGACGCACTTCGTCTTCTAGGTACACAGAACTACAAGTTGGCGACCCACCACAAAACCTCGAGGTCGAAATCGACATGTTGACTACGGACTTTTACAACATAATGACGACCAGCGGGAAGGGATCAAAATACGATACTTTCGCGTCAAAGTCATGGGAAGGTGAGAACCTGCTTGTGTTCCCTTTGCGAGGCACTGCTGTTGTTTCTGTATAGATAGTGTGTGGAGTCTGCGAATAACAGCTCAGAGACATTATCATATGTAACTAACACGTCGCCATGATTTTGCATGGTGTCGAAGATACCAATGAGGCCAACGACAGGGTTCATTCCCTCTGTCGCCGACCCAGCGATCGTTTCCACTTTCCAGAATCCAAGCAAGGTCCCGTCCGTGTCACATTTCCCATCTGCACTCCCTCCAAAGCATCGAGCGCCACACTCGCTCACTCCGGGTCCATCCTTGGTCTAGCACCAGACCGTGGCGGCCACAAGACACCCTCTCGCCTTTTGTCGTCGCCGTCTCTTCTCCAACAGCTCCTCGCACAGAAAGTCGTACACGACGCCCTCTGGTCGGTGACCCTCATCGACGCGGAGTCCGGCATTCTCAGTCTCGGCGGCACCATCGCGCAGCAGGTCGAAGAGATAAAAGTACGAGGGGACGTTGAGCTGGAACACTTTGGCGACCCGGACGCCACGACCGAGTGGGTGGACCAGGAAGTCGTCAACCGCATGGCCTTCCTCATGCCGCCTGACACTCAGTGGGATCACCACTTCAAATGGACCGAAACCCGGGGTGCGGCAGGTTGGTGGACGACGTTGATGAGCGGCGTGTGGATCGACGGGGCCAAGGTTCTCAAAAACCAACCCGTCCTCTTCGACGTCAATGTCCCCTTTATCCTCGCTCCGCCCGTCGCCGTCCAGCGGTTCTACGAGTCCATACCCGGGACGAAGCGACTCGATCCACCGTTGGATGCGTTCTTCGCGGTTCCGTGTCTCAACCGCGTCAATGTCGCTTTTGAGATCGGTGGGTGGAGGTTTCCAAGTATGAGCGGCGAAGGGACGATGGAGGATGCGCTCTACGGTCCTGACGGGGGCAAGTTCAGTTTGGGCAAATTGGGTAACGGTACGGGATATTGTGTCGGTGCTGTCGTCGAGACGACAATGGGCGTGAGGGAAGAATGGATCGCCAGTGGTGTGAGGGATTTGTGGGTGCTAGGAGAACCGTTCTTTAGAGGTCTCGGTGTGGCGTTTGACGTCGAAAAGGGAAGAGTCGGGGCAAGGATCTATTGATAACCTTTTAAGTCTTCAGGTAGTCATCCAAGGTATGTTTGTCTGAGTATGCTATGTCAGTGGCATGCGAATGAGGATCACTTTTGTCAGCCTGATCGCAAAAAATTGGATCAAGGACCAGTGATACAATGTAGACAGTTCTTGAGAGGGATGTTACTTATTTATTATGTCGTTTCGAAGTGATGGTTTCAACGTGACGTTTCCTGCTTTTCAAATCGAACGTCAAAAAAATTAAAAAGCGAAGACTCAGAAAACAAGATCCACGGACTCCCTCCGCTGAAGACTGAGAAGAGAGCATCATTTTTCAATCATGATCTGTCGCAGCAGAGGCTACTGCTATTCTCGTATCATTCCATTCTATCTATGCACTGCGCTCCTATTTGTCTTTCGCGATAGCCCGTGGATCTTGCTTAACAATCAACAGCTTCCCCTGCCATATCCTCGTCAAAGTGAACGCTAGATTGATGAAGAAGACAATCACCAAAAAAATGACGATGATGACAGTGACCACTCGAAAGAACGGAGAATCCATCTCCTGTGCCAGCAGTAACAAAGACGTGACCAATGTCCCTGTCGGGAAAATGATGGCGTTCCAAGTCGGCGACCAGATCAACTCCCTATGAAAGGCACGATCGAGCATTCCGACAAAAGCTATGATCATCCAGATCGTACCCAGTCCACTCATGAACAGCGCCAAAAGGACACAGACGACCTCGAGAACGCTCGCCGCCGTGCCGGTCAGGAACGTTCCTCGGTGATAGTCTCCAAACGCCCCGCGTGAGTTCGCCGCCGCCCCAAGTAGCTGCAGCGCCGCGGCCGACTGGCCCATTGGTCCGACGAACATGAACAAGGTGGGTGTGTTTGCCGGCGCAGGCCAACCCTTGGCGAGCAGTTGGTGAAACAGGTACGTGCACAGTTTCAAGCCCAGGAGGATACCTATCCCCACGGAGCAGAACGACATGATGATGATAGGCACGGCGAGTCTCGCGGAGAGGTTGTACGATTGATCCGCCACGACGGCGCCGACCAGCGCGAGCGTCGAAACTCCCACGGCCGGGATGATGATCAGGGCAGGCAGTTGCTGATCAGGCGATATGATGGTGTGCTGCCGAATGAGCGTGGCGAACGCAAAAAAGAGCATGCCGTACATCCACGCCGTGGCGATCCACCACATCACCACGGCGAGGAGGGTGAATGCGTGTCCGCCCCACGGTGCGTTGCTGACGGTCAAGCTGACGAAGGCGGTGAGTGTCATCCACGCGATGCACCAGCACGGCAAGAGACACAGTTCCGTCGTGCTTCCGATGAGCTCGAGGTACGCTTGTCGTCGATAAATGAGGAAGTGGAGGGTATATATGATTGAAAAAACAAAGTACAGAACCAGGTCGATGCAGAAGGCGACGGTCGAAAGAACTCTCAACCCAGAAAATTGGTATGGGAGTTGATGGAGAAGAGTACCGATTACACCGGCATTCATACACCATGTGAACCTGTCGTGTGGTCGAATTAGTTTGCTGTCATCATCAACAGATCAAAGCAGATGCATAGTGCCACGGCCAGCAGAGCCGCGACTATAGGTAGGTAGGGTGTACACGTACCATATTGGATTGAAATCCTGGACGAGAGCACGAAATGCACTCCTCCTGGATGAATCGGCCTTCTTGTCATTGCGTTCAGGATCGCGTTGGGTTCGGTCGGGAGAATCTGGGTAACCGGCGTCCCCATCTTCCACGCGCTCTTCAGTTTCTTCTTCGACTGTCATTGCTGTTGTTGCTGCTGTCGAAGATGTCGAGACGATCAACAATCTATGAGCATCATTTTATTATTATGCCACCGCCAATATCTGTATTTCGGTCATTGTTATCTTCGGCTCCTCAATTCATGTCGAATAGTTTATTTATTTTTTCATTCTCCGCAGATTCGAAATCTCGCTCTGAGGGTTTTATGGGTGTCCGGGCAATCGCCGTTTGAAATATGCGGAGTGTATGACACCAACAAGACTTTATTAGTTGAGATCCGACGAACGATTCGGTTTTCTGGCCGGTGCGTCACCACTCTTTTTTTGGGTGGTCATAGCCGCAAGCCGCTGGGTATCTTCGAAAACTACTACCCGATCTCCCTCTGTATGGTAAGGTCCTAGGGAAATAAGGCAGAGCCGCCGGTCGCTCCCCCCAAGAGCCCGGGCTGCTTTGAGCCCCTGTATTTTGGTTTGTCATTGGTGCCCGCCCTTATTGTTTGGGGTGATGCAACAGGGGGGATTGGCATTACTTACCTACATCTAGATCTACCCAATACATAGCTGGCTGATCTCGGAGGTTGGACTACAGCTCCCCGAATGCGAATACGTACAACACCTATCCATCCTACCGCGGAAATGTACGTACAGGAAGAGTGCGGATGATACTACCTAGGTAGCGATGTTCAGTGCCTCATCCAGATCATGGCTGGATTCATCGCGTACTCTCATGAATAGAGCGGGTACGTAGAAGTCCGCCCAGGCGGTACTTGTGTGGCGATGGGCATCCTTCGTTCTTATCATCTGTCCTCGGCCAGCACCAAGCACTCTGGAAATCCATCAGCTCGTCGATGTGGCACCAACAACTGCATAAGGGTTCCTTGTGATCTTTTCGACGATCGAAAAATGAGACTGTTGTGTTCCTCTTGCCAGCCTGGTTGAATGAACAGTAATCAAGGTCTAGCTCCATCAATCGATTTCATGGATGTCTCCATAGACAGCTCTCTAGCCGAGATCCTGTCACTCGGTTCGATTTCTCGAGAATTGAACAAAAGAGAGATTGGCCGACGTACAGCCATCATGGAATTGCCACGAGGTTACATGTATACCGAATTATAGGTTGTTTATGCCCCTAAAGTTACAACCCTCGGGAGGGAACCAAACGAAAGAGCGCCCACTTTCCGGATACTTGCGGCCCTTAAGCACTGAAGTGATCTCACACTTCATCCTCAGATATGCATTCGACTGATTTCATAAATGCATTGCTTTCGGGAGAGCAATCGTTCTAGCTATGTTCGAATTCCTTATGATAAGTTCCCATTTGCATCTAGTTAAAGCGATCATTATTCTCACGCTCACCATCATTGTCGTTCACAAAACAAAATGTTTCCCGATATCAGAAATCATCTCCGAATGCTAGAGATCTCGTACATCGAAGGACTCAGATACATCGGCGTTATAGTTCTTCTAACGATCACATGTGAGTTCCCGCTTATTCTTCGCAAGGCTGTAGTCATCGATTGCTAAACACCGTGCAGGGATTTGCTGGACTTACCGCAAAAGGGGTATTTGGACATCGTCCTCTGCCAATTCGAAATTGATTGCCGGTCCCAAAGGAAAACCTTTCACTGGGAGTCTCCAGGAGTTAAAGACAAACGGCGCTGCCAGCTGCGAGGCCTGGTACTCTCTGTACCAGCGGTATGGACCCGCGTATGAAATGACAATCCCCTTCTTTCGGATGCATATCATCAACCATCCCACTTATCTCGAGCATATCCAGAAACACAACAGCAAGAATTACATCCGCGGGGCGTTCACGAGGAATGTTTTTGGATCGCTCCATAGAGGCGGCATATTCGTTGCTGATGGGCCGGAATGGCACACACAGCGTAAAGCAGCTACTCGTGCATTCAGCAAACGCAACTTCGAGACCCATATCACTCAATCGGTTCACTATTGGCTGGACATCCTTATGCGTCTACTCTCGAACTTGGCTAAGCAGGAGAAGGAGTTCGACTTCCAGGAACTTATGGGCCGTTTCATGTTCTGTCTCTTTCTTCGAATCGCTTTTCACGAGGACAGGCTTGCCTTGGATATCATGTCGGACGATCCAAAAAGTCTAGAATCGAAACCAGATTACGTCGAGGCATTTGATCAAGCTGTTCATCGTAAGTGATTCTTGTTTATACCACCTCGAGGTTTCGCCCCAATGGCTAATGTACCCTTGATATAGTTTTTGACCGCAGGAGACGCGATCCACTTTGGCGAATGACAGAGATGCGCTCTGGAGAGAACAAAACCACAAAGAGAGCCGTGGAATTGTTTTACAAACAGATTGATTTCCTGATCGAAAAACGACTCGAAGCAATGAAGAACGGTTACAAGCCTAATCCAGACAACGGTGTCGACCTTTTGGACCTATTTATGCAGACGACCACCGATAAATATACTCTAGGTGGAATGGTGTTCTCAATTCTATCTGCTGGCCGTGAGTCCTACCCCGTGCAGACTGGAAGCTGTCAATAACATGCCATGAACATAGGTGACACGACGACGTTCAATACCTCGTGGTTTGTCAAGGAAATTCACCACAGAGACAACCAACATCTTGATGCTCTGAGCAAAATTCGAGCCGAGGTTGAGGACCTTGGCTTTGCTGATGGTTTCTTGAACTATGCAGATGCGCCGGTAAGTCAAGTAGTGAAATGATGATTGGACTACCGAAATCCTCAGACTGATCTTGTGTTCCATGTAGAGATTACGATTTACGAATGCCATGTGGGACGAGTGCACTCGACTCAACACGGTCTCTCCGGCCGGTCAGTTGGAAGCGGCTGAAGACGATATTCTCCCTGCTGTACCCGAGCTGAGTATTCCTCCTCGTCGGGTGAAGAAGTAAGTTGTCTCTTCTATCCTCACGGGTTGTCAAGGTGGAACTGATTGACATCGCGCAGGGGCGACGTTGTTAGTTACCAGAACTATGTCATGGCCCGTATGCCAGAGATTTGGGGTAAGGACGCGGCCATCTTCGACCCATACCGATGGTTGAATGAAAATGGAGAAAGTATCACTTACAGCCCATTTAGTAAGTACATAAGATGCACCCCTCAAAGACTACGTATCTTCTCTGGCATTGCTGACAACACTCTCTTCCAGAATATCATGCGTGGAATGCTGGGCCACGCAGCTGTCTTGGACGTCCACTAGCTACGTACGAGGGCATCACCATTACCGTAGCCATTCTCCAGCGCTTCGACATCATTCTATCGGATGACAGCAGGTTATACAAACCACTCGCTGCACTGAATATGGTACTGTTCTTGCCCTTTCTAGTGACGGTATTGGACGAACGTAGCGGCTAATCTGGTTTACAGGGCATTCAAGGTGGTCTTCCAATGCGTGTGAGAGAAAGGAAAACAACTTGAAGACTTGGAGTAAAGGAAGTAAACTCCTGAAGATCCGTTGTTGGCGAGGAACACTTGGCTACAATGACAGTGTAGTCTGCCAAATCTATAAATTATTCATCTCTCATAGATGTCACAATTTTTAAGACCAAGATCTATCGTATGGACTTTCTCGAATCTACATAGGTAGTATATCGCCACATTATCCGCTGATCGCTCACAAACAACACCAAGTGTATCGCACTACGAATAATCGGAGAGCTTGATTGCCACAGTAAAGACTTCGTGTTCCAGGACCCTGGACTGAAGGCCCTACCAAGACAAAATCTCGGCTACTAACGGCCATAACCTCTTCTTAATCCGCTATCACCAGACATGGCCGGACCATCTGCTACCGAGATTGGCAACTAAATTTCATCGTTCGACCGAGGTCAATCCCCTCATTTCGGTACTAGGTCTGGCTGTATCTGGCTGTTCTCTCATGCTCTGCTCGGAACATTCTGATCGGTCAGAATGCCCAGTAGTGTGGATGCGATGCATCACAAGCGCGGACCGAAGACTTCCCAGGATACATCGGTTGATGGTCCGACGTTCAAGCGAGTTTACCAGGCATGCGAGAGCTGTCGGCAGAAGAAACAAAAGTGCAGTTTGGGGGATCCAGCAAAGCCCAAATTACCATGTGATGCCTGCCGTAGAGCCAGTCTGATTTGTGGTAGGTCAATGAGTTCTCATACACACCCGGATGCCCGCACTTACAGTACTGCTGTCCAGTGCTACCGGAGAAGAAGCGAAAGGGCCGGCCTCCAAAGAAATCTGTGCGTAATGTAAGGACATCAAGTGAACTTGGTACGGAAACGGCCACCACAAACAGCAACAACAATTTCAATTTCTCCTACCTTGGCAACAGAGAAGCGCCATCCATCTGGCAGACGACATTTACAGAGTCTTTCGATCCTGTTACGGGAGATGATGAAGGGGCCACAACGAGAATTCCTGTCTCGGCAGAGAGGCAGAGCCATGGACCACTGCCACGGCACGATGAGCATTTGGCGAGTCAAGATCTGGCAAGGTTTCCTCTGAGGAACACATCTGATGCTATACGACTATTGGACCAGGATCGAACACCGATGCACTTGGAGCAATCCGGCACGGCGGACGGCCATGGCGATGCCTCCTCTAGACAGGAATTTTTTCTGCTTCGTGAAGGATTTATCGACGAGGCGACACTCTTCAGACTCTTCAACTTCTATCTTAACTCTCTACATCCTATTATGCCACTTATCCCGTATGAAAGGATGCCGACGACGTCAGAGCACATCCTCAACATGGCGGGGCGAGAGCCACATTTCACTGCTGCAATCCTCGTGGTCACCACCGGGCTGTTAGGGGAACATAATCTGCATCAGCTTTTGTGGCGAAGGGTGGAGCGGGTCTTCGCAGAGGTCGCAATCAAGGGAACAAATGAGTCTCTTGAGATGATTGAGGGGTTACTACTCCTCTCGGGTACAGTAATTCCCTTGTTCAATCCATTTACTTACAGTAAATGTGTTGACGTGTTTCTAGAGTATCCACCAAATATGGGCCACAGCACGGGATTGAGATTCGAAGATCGAATGTGCTGGATGACGGTCGGCACCGTGAGCTGAACACAGGAGAGATCAAAATATCTCATGATGCTAATTCCTCCTCCCAGGCCGTCCGCCTAGGCTACCTATTGGGATTAGAACAACTAGTCATGCAGCCGGATGATATCGAGGAGAAAAATTTCGAGGATCGTGCGAGAGGGAAGATTGTGTGGTCTTGTGAGCTGCCCCTCCCGTCACGCCTGATTGAATGCATAGTCAACTAACAGGCGATTCTGACATCCAGATTGCTTCTTGCTCGATCGACAAATATCGATTCGTGTCGGGAAACCATTCTGGCATCGAAGTGAGTATCATGTCTATTTCATGGCACCGGACACGAACATCCAAGCAAGGGGGATCTGCAACAATGAGATGGATTTGTTGGCAATTTTCGCAGAGGACACAACTAATGGACCGCTGTGACCAAACAGGTCCTGGGATGACTATACAGCACCTGCACTTCAACCCGGCCGATGACTTTCCTCAGATGCGCGAGATCGAAGGTCACCAAGACGATTACGCCGCATATCTGCAATGTCTCATGCACATAACCCAGGTGTTGAGTAATGCTCACGACCTCTTGTATCCATCGAGAAGCCATTCGCTCGCCATCGCCAAAGCCGAGCACTACTACAAGCACATTGATGAGTTCACGGAAGGTAAGTGGCAATATATATATCGCGACATTCGTTCGTGAGGCATTACTCAACCAACATAACGACGTATTAGCACTGTCCGCAGTCCGCAATAGATGGCAGAAGAAACCATGGCGAACGCATCCGATCAATGAATGCGTGTGGATATCATTTGTGAGTTACTTTGCGCTCTCCCAAGTTCAACCTCACAACGACTCGACTAGACGAGAAGACTGACAAGGCGCCTCTTTCCCTCTAAAGCATCACCTACGTCTTTACATCTATTCCTTCTCCTTACAAGGTCATATGCAAAGAGCAGAAAGCTGCAACGATGGTCGTCGGCCGTTGGATTACTTTCCTACGGGGCTCATGGGTAGCGTGGACGCCCGATTCATCATTGAGGCAATGAATGCTGCGGTACGATAATCAACCATGAATCACTTATCCCAAGGTCTCCAAGATGACTGACCATCTCTTCATTGTTTCATAGGCCGATATCCTACGCTTGGCTATAGGCAGGTTTCAACCTACTGGAGTAAGATTAAGCCTGTGCCGACTCTCATGTCAACAGTCATATCACTGTGCTAATCTTGATACAATTCCTAGGCTTTGGCGTGTCTTCCTCTTCGGTTCTTTCTCTTCTTCAGCCACGCAGGTGTATTCCTGCTGAAGACGGCCGTGATTGTTCCTATACCCCCATCGCAGAAAAGAGCCATTCTCCACCTGATCCGAGCCCTTATCAGGTGCATGTCAATGGCCTCGTCGGACCCCAGACATCCTGCTGTCCGCAACTCGACTGCTCTTGATGCTCTCTTGAGGCGGATATCTCGCGACAGCGACATCCAGACTCCCGGGGTCACCTGTCCGCCCTCACCGGGCATAGATCCTCCGGTGCCCAACCCCAACTCGGCTGATACTGGCGCCGGAGTCAAGCCCCGTTCGAACGATCCGGACCTGCCTACTTTTCTGGCAAGTCGCGAGTCTCCATTCATTGTGGAGCGGCCGCTACAGGATCTCGCCGCCGATTTTGATGCCGTATTTGGGCTTGAATCAGAGCAGCCGGACATCACACTACCGCCTTACACCGAAATTAACAACAACGATCTCCCTACGAGTTTGCCCACGTCGGATCTTTTGGCTTCGCTCTTCAACTATGATGATAGAGGGTTTTGGGACGGATTCACTCCGACGGCCTTGAATTGAATTGCGAGATTAGCACATCGTGAAGCCATCCACAATGGTATAATAGGAAGCAATGCCGTCCAATCTCTTGTCCAATCTCGCAAAGAGTCACAAAGACATACGCTTCGCATGTAGAAGCAAGTGGCCAATGAGAAACTCCTGAATATTCTTCCAAAGTAGAAAACTACTCGTTAGGCAAATACTTCTTTGCGCGGATAATTCCGGTTACTTTCGGCCCTTTTCAAACTTGGCTGATGAAGCGTTCTGGCAAATCATTATCATGACTCGCTATTTACACTTTGGTATGTGACCGCCTCTACCCGACGACCGTCGATGCCAATGCTCCTAAAGTGACGGATTTTGCAACGATTTCCTATTTATCGATTCGGTCAATTCAGATTTGGGACATTTCCTACCGAGCAAATGGTCACTCAATTTGCTGGGGCCCCAGATAGGAATTCCCCACGCTCGACATACAAAGACCCAGGATGGCCCATACTCATAGGCCATAGTTTCTTTTGTCAGTTGTCGAACACTTCTTTGGCTTCAACTCGAATTTCAGACCGCAGCTTGTTTGCAATAGCCCCCAAGGGCCCGCCAACAAGTTGACTACCACAGTACAACCATGTCTTCTCTTGACCAGAAACTCGACGTCCAGCATTGCGACCAGGAGCTCGCCTTGCATGGCGGCGACTCCAAAGTTGTCGAACCACCCACTTCTGGTTACGTCGAGGGTACCGAGGAAGAAAAGAAACTGGTCAGGAAGATCGACATGCATCTGATCCCGATCTTGTGGGCCATGTATGTCTTCAATTACCTCGACAGAACAAACATTGGCGTAAGTGCAGAGTCCCTTTTCCAAATGCCAGCTCCCACACACAAGCACATAAAACACCCGTGAATAAATGAACCTACGAAATTGACTCTTTCGCTGACATGAAAAAATAGAATGCCAAAGTTGGAGGAATGGAAGAGGACCTCAAGTTGAGTTCTTCCGATTACTCACTTGTTCTTTCCATTTTCTTCGTCGTGAGTGCTTTGTTTCCCTCTCTCCCGACAAAACATTTCTGACCTTTTTTGGTATCCAAGGCGTATTTGTTGTTCGAACCTCCTGCCGTTATGGTCTTGGCCAGGACGAAACCAAGCCTTTTCTTACCGAGCATCATGATTGCGTGGGTGAGTGTGTGTCATTCTTGTTTAATTCTTGACTCAATTTAACAAAGGTGTCTGTCTATATAGGGAGCAATCTCAGTCTCCGTCAAAGGTATACACAGTCTAGGGGGTTTGATTGCTTTTCGTATTGCTCTTGGCTTCCTAGAGGCTGGGTTCTTCCCAGGAGTCATGCTCGTGCTTTCTTGCTGGTATAAAGTAAGTCACTCTCCATACCAATCTATGGGAAAAAACCCCCTTTTTCACAGGGAAGATGCTGACGTTATCGTACCCTAGCCCTCAGAGTTATCAAAACGTATTGCAATCTTCTATACCGGAACTATCCTAGCTGGAGCCTTTGGTGGCCTACTTGCTGGTGGTATCATTGACGGAATGGAAGGGGTTGGAGGAGTACGTGGATGGAAATGGTGAGAATAAACCTAACCCTTGCCTTGCAAAACACTTGTACTTACTATTCTTAATCACCAGGCTATTCATTATTGAAGGTCTTGGAACCGTTATTGCCGGTTTCGTTGCATACCTCCTCTTACCTGGTATGTTTGTGGCTCCAGAACCCCAGAAGAAAAAAATGTCGGAAAGTTGGAGCTTGCTAATTGCTATTTAAAAAGACTATCCGACAAACACAAAATGGCTTTCCGAGGCAGAGAGAAAGCTGGCCACGACTCGATTGATACTCAGAGAGGATCTAGACAAGAAAATGTCCTATAAAAAGGCTATAGTATTGTCCATCAAAGATTGGAAGATGTGGGTGAGTAGCGACAAAATTCACTCTCTTAACACGCAGAGAATGACGCTGACAACCTACACAGCTGTTCATGCTCTCCTTGAATACAATCTTGGCTTCGGGCACGGTCTCATATTTCTTTCCAACCCTAATGGGTGCGTTGGGTTACAAAGGTCGCATGGTGCAGTGTAAGATCACCGCATACATTGTATCGTTGTCCGTTAATGCTGACGCTGACGCGCTCTCTCTCCACAGTCATGACCGTACCCATTTACGCCGTGACTTTGGTCATCAATTTGATCATGGGTTACTCGGCCGATTATACCGGAAAAAAGGCATACCACGTCGTGGGTTGCGCTATCCTGGCTGTGGTCTCTTTCATCATCTGCGCGGCCAGCAAAAACTTCTCCGTCCGCTACGCTTTTATCTGTTTCGGTTTCGCAGGGGTACAATGCTGTGTGCCTTTATTGATCAGTTGGGAAGTCACCATGTTCCCCGGTCGAGAGAGACGTGCTGTGTCTGTCCCCGTCATTAACGGTTTCGGTAAGAAGTTTCGATATACACCCCCTTTTATAGAGAACGGACACTAGTTTTGCTAACCCCTTTGCTCTTTGTACAAAGGCAACTTGGCTTCCGTTTACGGATCTTTCATCTGGCCTTCCCACGACGCCCCGAGGTATATAATGGGCTTTGCGGTCATGACCACCTTCATGTTCATCGCTGGCGCCACCGCCCTACTGATCAAAAGAATCTGGGATGACAAGGGTCTGGCGAGAATTGACTATGACGAACAGGAGGAGAACGAGTAGGAAGAGGACCAAAAGGAGACCAATTGAGAGTGGAAGAGGCTTTTCTTTTTGACTTTTGGAAGAAAACCATCCAAATTAGCTCCATCCAAATTAGCTCCACCGAGATACTACTCTCACTCTCCCTAGAACAATCTTGTACAGATAGCAGAAAGTCTGTGAACATACGTGTATCAACGTGCGAGGTCAGAGTATTTGCAGTACCCACATGTCGTCCAGTCGTCGATTGCTGTCGTGTAAACCTCCGTGGATCACGACTCGGTCCCCCTCCTTCTCACCTTCACCACCGGGCCAAACATCGGCGTCGAACCAACCTCGACCGGCCGGAGCGGGCTCCCCCGGCGGGCATTCCACACGGCACCACTTTCCGGTGGTCGTGTCGAACGCCCAGACGTCGGAAAACATGCGGCCGGCCCCGGCATGGCCCAGGTCACTGGGCGACCCTTCACCGAACATTGTCACCAACAGCTCACCACCGCCCGAGGCGGCGGTCCTGACGGGGACGAGGGTCGCCACGCTCCTCGGCTCGGGGCCTTCCACGCCGTCGGGTTTGTATTCGACACTGGACCAGGTCGCGTCATCGACATCGTAAACGTCGACGGCGCCGCCTTGCTCGACCTGACCGTCAAACCCGTTGACACGGTACAGCTTGCGCTTGCCCTTGGTGGAGGAATACGCGATACTCGCTCCCCCTCGACCACCACCACCACCACCAGGTGCCGATGGAAGTTGTCTCCATTTCAGCGTGGTCGTGTCGAATTCCCACAAATCGTTCAATCTACCTTGGGCAGGACATCCGGCGTGCAGATAAATCTTGTCGACATTGTCCGAGGTCATGGAGTGGTACGAGCGGTCTTCAGGACACGGGTGGTCTCCTCCTCCTCCTCCTCCTCCTCCGCCACCCCCACCACCACAATGGGAATTGGCGGGATTCATAACTGACCACGAAGAAGTGGACTTGTCGAAAACGTCGAATGATCCATTGGATTGTAGGCAAGTCATGGAAACTCCGCCTCGACCGCCGAAACAGTAAAATCTCCCACCGAGGCTGGTAGAGGCGGCGCCTACTCGAGGGCTTGGGGAGGAGCCATTTGTGCTGCTGACCGCTTCGACACCACCGTGGATAGTATTAGCAGCAGCGGCAGCAGCAGCAGTGCTGCTGTCGGTGGCGTCCGCTAGATCGATCAAGTAGACCACATTGTCCCGCGGTTTACGCGGTTCGAGTTCCCCACCAAAAACGCATGCAGTGTTGTCTCCCACGACCGACAGGCAATGGGACGATCGTTGCAGTGGCTCAATCTGTAAATGAATGCGTTTCCAGATCCCTTTCATGGCTGACATCTTGAACGACAGAATCCACGAGTTGATTGTAGTAGGTCAAACAACACAAATACTGCGATTATGGTCGTCTCTGAAGGTTTATCACAAGCAGAGGTTGTAGGCAAGGCCGGTATCGGGGCGGTCGGTAAGTTTGTTATTCCTCGATATCTTGCCAAACTACAGAGCAAGTATTGATAAATCATACAGCTATTCCATCACAGCGGCCAAGGCACAGCAATCATCGCTCTTACTGAAGATCATCCGTAACAGTATTTCAATGACATTGGTCTAGTTCTTCTATACAACCCTTCCACTCTAGATAGTAGTACTCCAGCATCTTCCTAGTTCGGCACCTACTTGCGCCCGGCGGCTGGCCCGGTGTTGTTGGCGACTCCTCGTTTTTCCTCGATTGCCGCAATCCTTTCCTGCTCGGCCTTTTCCATGAGCTCTCTTTTGCGCTTCTCATCACGAGCAACTTGATCCGGTCTCTTGATTGCGATATCCTTGGGTCTGAAGTCACTGAAGAGATTTTTGAGGATTTGCTCTACAACCCAACAGCCACAAAAGTCGACAACCATGAGAGTCGTCAAGGTCCACTTGAAGTCGCTCCTGAAGGGCACAAGTCGTAATTTCTCGTTGAGCTCTGGCAGGAATTCCGTGCTACCAGCAAAAGCCACAAACGAACAAGCCAAGAGACCCCAATACATGCCTCGATTTTCCTTGATACTCTCACGGAAGGGTCTACCCTGGTAATTGATGGCGAAAGTCGACACTTGCTGAATGAGCTGCATGAGATACACCGCACTATTGAGCAAGCTGGGTTCGAATTCACCCTCCAGATCAATCTCATCAGATGGAGGAACGATGGAATAGACAACTCTGGAGAGGTAGATCAATGTGGCACAGTGGATGGCAAATTGACCTAGGACGGATCCCAAGATGTAGGCGTTGAGAATGTTTGGCTGTGGTCGTTCTCGTGATAATGCTTCGACGGGCTTTGCTCGTGATATCGACAAGAAACACACGGACATGAGCATACCACTGATCGTGACCTGCCCGTCACCAAATTTGATGCCAGCCAGGTAGATCACGGACAAAGAGTACGCACTGATCAAGCAATTGAGGGCGAGAATTTTGTACATCTGGATGGTTGCGACCAGAGTGCATCGACCTTGGCGAATGATGTTCGGAATGGCAACGACATTAGCCAACTTGCTAGTGAACGGTGCGGCAACGGAAGCATCACCCAGCTTAATCGTAGGTGGTTCGCTATCGTCGAGTTCATTCTCCATCATGGACGAAGTGAATTTATCAGCCCAGCTGGCAGCTTTCTGTTGAGCCTCTTGCTGTTTTCGTTGCTTGGGCGTGAGATGGACATTTGATTGCTGAATGGCTTGAGCTCCAGGTGATGTAATGGTCTCGAGACCTCCGTTTTCGGCATCACCGTTCTCAAGGCTGATGCCCTTCTTCTCAGCAATAGCCTTGATCGCTTTCTCGTGATGTGGATTGCTTAGACCAGGAGGGTAGAGATGAGCAATTCCAGGTGGGACAGGTGGTGCTGGCTGGTTGAATCGCTTCATGAGCTGAACTTGCTTCTCATAGATCTCCTTCATTTTGGTGGTTCTAAAGTGCTCACTAATCTTGGTGAGGTCTTCTTGTGAACCATTGAGAAGTGCTACTCCAACATGAGCCTGTTTCAAAGCACCAACATCGTTCGTGCCGTCACCACACATGAGAGTGGTATATCCTTGATCTTTAAGACCAATCAGAATCTCCTCTTTTTGCTTTGGAGACACTCGGGCATAGACCCAAGTGTGTCTCAACAAATCCATAAAGGCTTTCTGTCCAGTAAACTTAGAAAGGGCATAACCTGTAACACACAAATCTTTCGTCTCAAGAATTTTTGGATCGATGGCCGCAGTTGGGTCGACAGGTATGATAGTTTTCTCATCGACACTGCGCCAGACTAGCTTCTTGCCTGAATCATCATGTTCCGGCGCGTCCAAGATTAGACAGTCCCGGTCAACAATCTCGACTTGTCGTGCAACATGAACCGCTGTCAGAGGATTATCCCCAGTAATCATCACGACTCGGTGACTGCTTTCGTTTAACATCTGGACAGCTCTGATGGCATCTTCCTTCAGAGGTGTTTGCAGAACCAAAAATCCGGCGAAAGTCAGTCCGGCTTCAACTTCTTCCCGCGTTAGATCGTTGATGCGTTTCTGACCAAGTTCGGCCTCGGTAGAGAGGTATTTGTATGCAAGGGCAAGAACCCTAGCTCCGTTTCTGGTGAAGTATTTGAAGGTTTCCTCGTACTTAGGAGGGACGTCCACGAGCATCTTAGCGATTGTCTCCGGAGCACCTTTGACACCAACGAAAGTACCCTTGCCTCGCCGTCCTGTCTTTGGATCCGTGATAGATACCATTGCCACAGAGCTTTGGCGTTTGAGAGCAGATGAGAATTGGAAACGTCGTTTGATTTGAACAATGTGGGATGCACCCGCTGTTGAATATGCCTTCTTTGACTTTGATGGTGGAACATTTGTCAAGGTATCATTGTTACCCAGAGTCCAGTTGAGAGCTGTCAATGTAGCCTTTTCCATGGGGTCACCAACAATGTCACCCTCGTCGAGCTTGACCAAAGCATGAGCCGTGGCTAAAACAAGAGTCGTATATACACCACAGTCGGGGACTTTCGTAACCGTAGATTGAGCTCCGTCGGGTTCAGTCAAGCGGTTTGATCTTCCCAGGCCTAAGCCAGCAATTCCGTCGACGACTAGATCTTCGCCTGTGAGTGTACCAGTCTTATCAAAGCAGGCAACGTCAACACGTCCAGCAAAAGGAATTCTGAAAGGCTCTGTACAGAAGATGGCAAACTTGCTGAGGGCTGCCAGACTAGTGTTGACAGCCAGTGACAGCTCCATAGGTAATTCTGGTGGCACAACGCTGGTCACGATCAAGATACAGTCGAGAAGTAGCTTTGATCTCTTTCGGTTGTTTCGAACACCTTCCTGCCACACATATCCTGATGCTGCCAGTGCGAAAATCAACAGGAATAAGATGAACCACAAAGCCTCCGCATTATTGGCCGAAACGCGTTCTGTGGAATAGATCATGGTCCGAACGAGGCTTCCTTGGTTGGTTTCGAAACCAGTTTTCAGCACTACACCCATGGCACCCTTGTCAGGCGGGGCGGGCACTCCTGATTTGACAATCGGGACACTGTCTGGTGCATCTTCGCTAGCGGCTGGATGCGTTATCTGCAAAACCTTTGTGCCGCCCCAAAGTAGAGCATTCTTGTCCAGCCCTTCTGGCTCGATCGGAGCATCACCAGGCCGAAGCATAACGGACTCCTTGAGAAGCGGAGTGCTTTCACCAGACAACATAGCCTCGTTCACAATAGCAGTCCCCTCGATAAGGAGCATATCACATGCCACACCAGAGTCTTCCTGGGTTCTACCAACAGACACCAGGTCACCAGGAAGCAGTTTGTCACTCTTGATTTCCACCCATTTCTTTTCTCGGTACACCCAGATGTCATATGGCTTGATGCTCATACCTCGGAACTCGTTCAAAGTTCGTTGTCTTTGCCAAACCACGGTACTCTCGAAAGCCACCAACATGAACAGCGTAAAAAGTGAATAATACCAGTAGTCATCCAGTAACCACAGACCGACACAAAACACCTGGAAAATGAAAAAAGGTGCAACAGCATGCTCTTTCCACAGCTCCATGAAGGTAGGGACAGGAATGTCGAAGGTGTTGTCTCCATAGTGTTGCTGGATTGTGTCGAGCTCGGTCGCAGACGTCAGACCTTGGGTCATTTGGAACTCTCGAAGTAAAGGCTTCTTCTGCCCATCCAGAGGATACGATAGCGGCGCGAAGGTGCCTTTCTCCGATGAGTAGTCGAAACGTCTCTTCTGGAACAGGAAGAAGATTCTCCCGTCTTTTCCCTTTTCCAACTTGCATATCGATGGCGAACCGGAATTAATGATGGGAATGACCTTGATCAGCTGAGCATTTTCAACCTTTGTCGCCTTTGTTGTAGTGAAGGTGGTATCCAAATTGACATTCCATTTTGTCGAGAGCCAGGTCAGGGACTGAAGAGTGGTGACGGTCGCTATCCATACAAAAGTCCACTCTTGACCATCTATGTACTCGTCGTAAAGATCTTCGCTGAGATAGAATGCAAGGAAGATGGGCCATAGTATAGTGAAAGGCCAGACATATGCCTTCAGATAGACAGGTAGAGGATTGTGTAGACTAGCGGACTGAATTTGGTCGTTGTCGACGAGTTTCGCCCTGCAGTTCTCTAGGTTAGAAGTGGCCACGCATTGCAAAAGTATCGAACTCACGATCTCTGCGCCATGGCGAGCGTCAGTCAAGAGCTCGCGCTCAATCAAAAATGCGCAGTGATATCTGCTCAGTGGCAGTGACTGCGATAGATCTCGGAACACAGTGTCCTAGAAAAAAAGGTTGCAGTACTAGCGACGATGGATTGTTTGACTGACGCAGTTTCTGGAGGTTTCGGCGAAATGTACGCCGCCCTCCGAACCATGCCGCTTTTAGCAGAAGACCTTGGCATTTTTATCTCAGCCTCGCCGTGACAGCGATAACACAATTCTTTTGAGTCATTTCACCAGCTTTGATATCCAAAAGATTTCACATTACATGTACGACTGAAAATTTAAAAATATCGAAATCGTTCAGATACCAAACTCAATCTCAATTCTACAAATCCACCGGCGGTGTTTCTAATAAAGCGTTTGAGGCACGATATCTGTCATATTTCTGACATTTTCACATCATCTCATCGATAGCCAGGATGGCTGAATCCGCTGAGGCCAGCAAAACCTTGCCAGAGCGGCTCAAGGAGAAAGTCGAGACCGTTGTGGCAGACAAGAAGCCCAAGAAAGAAAAGGCGCCCAAACAGCCCAAACCTCCAAAGCAGCCGAAAGCGCCAGCCGAGAAGCCTGCCAAACCAGCCAACCCAACGCCTGCAGGCCCAGCAGACCCAACTGCCATGTTCAAGGAGGGATGGCTTGCGGCAGTCCGAAAGGAACGACCACTAGACGAGCCTGTTGTTACTCGATTTCCACCAGAGCCAAATGGCTATCTTCATATTGGCCATAGCAAAGCTATTGCAATCAACTTTGGATTTGCAAAGTTTCATGGTGGCAAGTGCAACCTTAGATTCGACGACACGAATCCAGAGGCTGAGGAAGAAGTCTATTTCTCTGCTATAGAGGATATTGTGCGGTGGCTTGGCTTCGACCCTGCACTCATCACTTACTCGAGTGATTTCTTCGACCGACTCTATGAATTAGCAGAGAAGCTGATTACCCTTGACGGAGCATACGTGTGTCACTGCACCGACGAAGAGCTCAAGGACCAGCGTGGTGGAACTGATCCGAAAAACAAACACGAACGATACGCTTGTCGACATCGAGATCGACCTATCGAAGAATCGCTGGCAGAATTTCGAGCAATGAGAGATGGCAAGTACAAACCGAGAGAAGCATTTTTGCGAATGAAGCAGGACCTCACCGATGGCAATCCACAGATGTGGGATCTTGTCGCATATCGAGTGTTGGATAAGCCACATCACCGCACTGGAGACAAATGGAGAATTTACCCTACTTACGATTTCACACACTGTCTATGCGATAGCTTCGAGGGGATAACCCATTCGCTCTGCACTACGGAATTCATACTATCCAGAGTGTCATACGAGTGGTTGAACAACAAGGTGGATGTGCCGCATAAACCAATGCAGAGAGAATATGGTCGACTCAACATCACGGGAACAGTACTATCAAAACGAAAGATCAAAAAGTTAGTGGATGAGAAGATCGTGAACGGGTGGGATGACCCAAGACTGTACACCCTCGTCGCACTGAGAAGGCGAGGTATTCCGCCGGGAGCAATTCTGTCGTTCGTCAGCGAGCTTGGCGTCACAACTGCGGCTATTAATATCCAGATCAAACGGTTCGAACAGTCGATCCGCAAATACCTCGAGATGACGGTACCTCGTTTAATGCTTGTTCTGGATCCAATACCGGTCATCATCGACGACCTGCCAGACGACCATTACGAAGAGCTAGAGAATGCATTTGGACCAAAGGATGTAGACATGGGGTCTCACAAATTACCCTTTACCAAAAAGGTATACATTGAACGAGACGATTTCAGGGAAGTCGATAGCAAAGATTTCTTCAGAATGGCTCCAGGGAAACCAGTGGGCTTGCTGAAAGTGCCTTACCCGGTGGTTGCAACAAGCTTCAAGAAGGACGAGTCTACCGGTCTGGTCACAGAAATTCATGCTCGGTTCGAGAAACCTGCAGAGGGCGAAAAGGTCAAGAAGCCAAAAGCCTATATCCACTGGGTTGCCGATGCGCCTGGACATGATTCGCCAGTCTCATGCGAGGTTCGGGTTTTCAACCCTCTCTTCAAGTCAGACAACCCTGATGCAGTTGAGCCGAGTTTCATGGCAGATCTCAACCCAGACAGCCTGAAGGTCTATCCAAACGCGATGGCTGAGGTCGGTTTGAAGGAGATTCGAGCGAGAGCGCCATGGCCGGAAGAGGCTGGGGAAAAGAAGGACAAGTGTGGCCTGGAATCAGTCAGGTTCCAGGCAATGAGGACTGGGTACTTCTGTCTTGACCCTGATACCGAGGGGATAGCAGGCAAGGTGGTGCTCAATCGAATTGTCAGCTTGAAGGAGGATGCAGGAAAGACAGCATGATTGATGATGGACGCCTGGATTCTACCGAAAGAATCCGTAGGCATGTATGTTATGATATTGTCAGGAGGGAAGACCTCACATACGTCTCCGAATATGATAGATTGATCGTGAAAGAGCCGTTACAGTAATCAAGATGAAAGTCATCGATGTACTTACTCATTCTATGAACGCTGCTCTTAATCAGTACTCGTAGTACTTCCCACCTATAGCATTCTGCTTATGTAATACAGACGCTGTGTTGGATGAATGTCGTCCGAGGAGTCTCCAGACTTCCATTCCCTTAACCACCTCGATCACCAAAGTGAAAGGCATCTTGTCTGGCTTCATGGAAGCTACGTCTGAGTGCAATGTCCCGGCGCACCATAGGCGGAGGGAGGGTCTTAGGAAGTGCTAGAACTCTGGGTCCGCCTGTTCCTCCTCCAAAGCCGACCTCCCCTCTACCGTCGCACGTCCTTTCGCCTTCTGACTCGACTCTGTCATTGAATACGTCGGAGAGCGGAGCATCTTCACCTCCTTCATCGGATCCTCAAGATATCGCTGCTCGGGTCTCTCTAGACCATGGAGGGCCAGATCTTTCCGCAGCGGCTGCCGCGGCAGGCGACCGCCTAGTCTGCCCTATCTGCAATGAAGAGATGGTCACACTGTTACAGTTGAACAGACACTTGGACGATGTACACAAAGAGATAGAAGAGGAACAACAAGATGAAGTGAAAGATTGGTTCAAACAACAGATGGTCAAGGCGAAGAAGTTCCAACCGCTGGCTGTGTTGAACCAGAAACTCAAGGGTTTGGATGTGTTCGAATCCAATCACGACGTGGCTCGCAGCAGCACGCCTGTGCCTAGGATTGAATCTATCGCGAGAGATTCTGTTCCTCCTCCTACACCGCCGAAGCCGACCCCTGCAGTGATTGATCCAGACGACATCATAACGAAGCAGCATTGGCAGAAACGAACCGGATACGATGTATGCTCAGATCCCTCATGTGGGAAGAGATTAGGCGCCGGAGCTGGTATTGTCAATTGCCGACACTGCGGCAAGCTCTTTTGCGACGAGCATACAATGTATCAAATGAAACTGTCAAGGTCTGCCCAGCATGAACCCGTTCGTGGACTATGGTACAGAGTATGCGAAACGTGCTATAAGAGCCGGGAAGGCTACACGGACAGGCACGGTCTTGAACGAAATCGAATGGATGATTTTGAGAGCGTGAGGCGGAAAAAGCTCAGTCATCAAGAAATGGAAGTCTCTAGACTCGAGAAGAGACTCTCCAGGTTAACACAACTCCTTGCCAATCCACCAGAGGAAGTGGTACCGCCAATAACGAACAAGCGGTGGTCCCTGAGCTGGGGCCAGAACGATCCCCGAAAGGCCCTCGAACAGAGTATCGTTGCGTGGCAGAACGATACTGAAGTAGCTCGTTGTCCATACTGTCAGCAGGACTTTACACAGTATACATTTCGACGGCATCATTGTCGAACATGTGGGAAAGTTGTTTGTGGAGACCCAGTCACTGGCTGCTCGATAGTTATCGGTCTCAATGTTGCAACAAGTACGTTTCCATTCATTCTTCCCCTTCCTGGATTCCCTCTTTACTGATGTTTCAATGACAGCTAACCCCTGTCGCTCCATAACAGAAAAGCCCGCTCCCGACAATGCCGTCGCTCTCGACATCCGCCTGTGCAAGGAATGTAACCACACAATATTCTCACATCGGGACTTCCAATCTTCGGTGACTTCTACCGCCATTGAAACATTCTCCCGAGCATACAACAACCTCTTACAATTCGAACGGGGAATTCGCTTATTGCTGCCAAGGTTCCAAAAACTCCTTCAAGCACTACAAGATCCCGATCACCCGCCATCTTCGTCACAAATCTCGGACGCCTCACGGACGCGGAAGCGTCTCATGGACTCTTTTACACAATACGACACGGCCGCCCGCCGGATGCGTGATCTCCCAAGCCACTCGCCCACCCAACTCAAACTACAAAAAGCCATCTATCAGAACGCCACTCAGTTCTTACACCTGCACATGCTGCCGCTGAAGTCTCTACCCAAGGTTCTAAAACACGCCACACCCCACGGTAGTGGTGGCGGTAACATGCCCAAACTCGACCCCCGCGACCCTCGCTCTTCCCTCGCCATCCTCAACAACAACCACGTCCGGCACGACAGCTCCTCAAACCTGTCCGTGGCGAGCTTCGCGTCCTCGCGCGTCAGCGAGCTCGAGGCCGAGGAGAAACAGCTGCGCGAGCGACTGATTGTGCTCGAGGAGCAAAAGTTCATGGTGCAAGAGATGATTGCCGACGCGAACAAACGACGAAAATTTGACGAAGTCGCCGCCCTGGCGGGCAACGTGGAGGATCTCAGCACCGAAATCGACAGTGTGCAGAAACTCGTAGACAATTTACGGGGCGAGTTCGACAGCGTTTATACAGGCGGAGGAGGAGGGTTGGGGAGCGGCGTCAATAGCCCTGTCAGAAGAGTCAGTGACATGGGCACGAGCCCTCAATCGTCGTCGACGGGCCAGGGGAAGCTGAAGAACGTCGTCGCCGCAGGCGAATTAACCTGACCTAACCCTGCGCATGCAGCGTGAGTTTGTCCATTTTCGATAGCGAGCGGGCGTTTGGCATCTGGAGCTCACTTTCTTCCAAGCACGTGGGCGTCGTTCAAAGGGTTTAAGACCTACCGTTCCAGACATGTTGAGTCGGGCAGAATAGAATCTCCGGCCTCGGGTACGGTGCAGATATGAAAATGACATGTGAAAATGAAAAGACCCAAGAGAACCTCACGCTTCTGTGAAGCATCTGACTGTTTTTCGTACACTCATTCATTAAGGGCATCGATTCTGCCCACTCTTCGTGCCATTACTCTTCTCGTCGTAGTTTTCCATTCGGTTACCCTGCATTCAGTCACGATTCCCAACCTTTTCCCGGAAGACCAAATTACCCGCAACGCCGAGTTCCTTTCCAACATACCGAACCCACGCTTCCTTCGAACAGTCGTTCATCAATCGTCAAAATCTTATTAATACAAAAGCCTCATCTCAAAAGCCCTCCTAGGAAAGAAAATTAAAAGCCAGGCCACCGTCCACACCGCCAAAGTGTGCTGGTAGTCTCCATGAACAATATCTTCATCCAACCAGGGCCTGTCGACGCGCCTCGTCGAGCATCGCAACCAAAAGATCACGATTCGCGACACGTACGCAGTTGTCTTGTGGTTGCTGCTCTGGGTCGTCGACGGCATTGACCGCCCTTGCCACGAACTTGACGCGGTGGTCACAGGAGATAGCGTATGCGGCATTTGAAATCCTCGAAATCTTCATTGGTTCAGGCTTGTTGGCCGTCTCTTCGCCGAAGCCGTTGTTGACATGTTGCGCCACGGCGTCCCTGGTGTACTCGAGGTCAACGGGCAATTTGAGACCCGTGTGCGCCCAGATAAAGTTCGCTATCGTCTCCATGAAGTGTTTTCGGTTGTCGACGGAGCGTCCATGTTCCGGGATGGCCTTGAGAACGGCGTAAGGAGCCACGGCCACATCTAAGGATTTCAGGTGCGGTGCGACCGGGGCGGAGAATGAAATTGTGAGTCTCACACTGCTGATAACATCAATAAAGAGATCTTGCATCTTGGATTGCATCAGATCCGACGCGGACGCGGTGAGGGATGAGGAGATGGTCAAGAGGTAGTTTTGGAGTGTGCCCTGGATGAACTTGGATGGTAAGTGGAGAGAATAGATGTCAGGCAGAGCGAACTTGTCCGAGACGTAGGACATCAGTGCCTTTAGGATTGTGGGCGATGATTTGGAGAGGAGGATAGCCGTCTGGTTCTCTGGTGCCGTGGGTGCGAACGAGCCCGATGGCGCGGTCCGGCTACGTTTCGAGGCGTTGATGTGGTTGGCATAGATGATGAATTTGTAGGTCGACTTCTCATATATGAGGCTTATCACAATGCCATTAACACTCGAGGTAGCATCATCGTCTCGGTTTCTCTTTCTGCCAGCACGATAATGCATTGGGCACTCTTCTGCTGCTCCAGATGTTCCTCCCAGTAACGTCCATCTACATTGTCTCAGGAGACCGAGCTTCTCTTTTTCTTCCTCGGATTCGTAGCGTGGGCGATCGCGACCGATGAACTCTGCAAAGGCTGAGGCGTGGGTGGTGAGTATGTCTGTTTGGTGTGATCGCTCCGAGTCTGTCGAGGTTGGCGCAAATAGGGACAGTAGTGAAGGTGTGAGCTTTCGCACACTGTGGACGAGCCATGACGTGTCATAGTATGTGTCTTCCATCTCGGAATGAGCTGTTCAAGAAAGTTTGGTATGTTTCTTGATCATCTTCTAGTAATCGTGTTGAGGCTGAGGTCCTCGTCGTCAAGAATCCATTAAGACGCGGGTTCAGATGGGGCAAACGCGCTGTCACGTGCAGCTTATCGTTATCTTTGAGCTATTGTACAATGCAGTTGACCGCCCTCAGTACGGAGTAAATTCAGTAAATCTAGGACCGTGAATATTCTATTAAGGAATCATGTATGCTCAATGCTCTCGGCATCTGAATACGTGTGGTGAAATTACCAGATATCTGGATAATGTGTGATAAATGGTCCAGATGTTGGAAATGTCAACACTTCGAGGTTTCTGTATCGCCGCGTTATGGTATTACCGCGATACTGGTCTAGTCCAAATCAGGCATGGCTCTGAGATAAGAACTCGAATGAGTATTTCCTCGCATTGTTGACGGTCGATCCAGTCGAGATTACAATGTTCCCGCGGATCTTCATGATTCCAGACCATGCAATTGCCGGAGTCTGGGTCGATATTAATTGATGACATATTTGACGGTCATGGAGCGTAATTGCCTGCTTGCTTACGCTGGATATCCTGTGAGTAACTTGTCCTTCAAATGGTTCTGTTCTTTGGAGTACTTTGAATTCTTTCTACATCCCGTACGTTACCTTTTCAGGCCTTCTGTTCTTGGCATTTTGATACGTGTTACCTTTGGAATCTCCTGTGTTTGTGATATAAGTAAGATATGAGGACTATTGGAGGAGTATAAAAAGAAATGGAAGACTACAAGCTCAATTCCCAGAGCGTTCTCGACAAGATCACCAATCCACATGCTCAGCAAACGAAAGAAATCCTTCCACCATCTCCGCCATGCACAGATGACAATACCTCCGATGTTGAAGACGACCTCGTCGATATTCCCCTTCCTCCACCGACTACCATCCCTACGAAAACGTTAGACATCGACCTAAAGACTCCCGATAGCCACGTACCTCGAGATCCGAGACTGATAAGACTAACTGGTGTACACCCTTTCAATGTCGAACCGCCACTCACAGACCTGTTTAATGAAGGATTTCTCACGAGTCCTGAATTATTTTATGTCAGGAACCATGGATCGGTGCCACAGGTCGACGACGAAGACATCATTGACTGGGAGTTTACGGTAGAAGGCCTCGTCGAGAATCCCATGACGTTATCACTAAGGTCATTGATGACAGAGTTCGAGCAAGTCACATATCCAATAACACTAGTATGTGCAGGGAATCGACGCAAGGAGCAGAACGTGGTACGCAAAAGCAAAGGCTTCTCATGGGGAGCCGCCGGACTGTCAACAGCACTATTCACAGGTGTCGTCATGTCTGAAGTGATCAGGCAAGCCAGACCCAAGAGGAAGGCTAAGTACGTGTGCATGGAAGGTGCAGACAAGCTGCCCAACGGATATTACGGGACATCAGTGAAACTGAACTGGGCGATGGATCCGAATCGTGGCTTTATGCTCGCGTACAAGATGAATGGGGAAACCCTCCGGCCGGACCACGGGAAGCCTTTACGTGCCGTTATACCTGGGCAGATTGGTGGTCGTTCCGTCAAATGGCTCAAGAGGCTGATAATCACGGACGTGCCGAGCGACAATTGGTATCACATCTACGACAATCGAGTATTACCTACCATGGTCTCGCCGGAAGAATCGGCCAATAACCCGCAATGGTGGACAGATGACAGATATGCTATTTACGACCTGAGCCCCAACTCTGCCATCTGCTACCCTGAGCACGAGGAGCGATTGTGTCTTGCCGAGACAAAAAACAACTATACCGCCAGAGGATACGCCTACAGTGGCGGCGGAAGACGCATAACCAGAGTTGAGGTGACTCTCGATAAAGGCAAGACATGGCGGCTTGCCAATATTGATTACGCCGAAGACCGATATCGCCAGGTGGAGAAGAGTATGTTCGGGGGCAGACTCGACATGTCATGGCGTGAGACGTGCTTTTGTTGGTGTTTCTGGTCAATCGACCTTGCCACCTCTGATCTCGCTGCATCAAAGGATATATTTGTGCGTGCGATGGACGACAGCATGAATGTGCAGCCTCGAGACATGTACTGGTCTGTACTTGGGATGATGAACAATCCGTGGTTCAGGGTCACTATCACTCTCGATGGTGAGTATTTGAGGTTTGAGCATCCTACGCAACCCGCCCTTATGCCAGGAGGCTGGATGGAAAGAGTCAAAAGCGGAGGAGGCAATCTTGCAAATGGGTTCTGGGGTGAGAAACTCGAAGGTGAGGAGGAGGCGGCCGTGACCGCTGGCGAACAGACCAAAGAGATTCCGATGGTGAAAGAGGGTCTGAGGAACGCCATCACAATTGAAGAGTTTAGAAAGCATAATAACGCTCAATTCTCATGGTTTGTCGTCAATGGGGAGGTTTACGATGGTACAGCCTTCCTGGGCGAGCATCTTGGCGGAGCACAAAGTATCATTTCGGCAGCTGGTCTCGATAGCACGGACGAGTTCATGGCCATCCACAGCGAGACAGCGAAAGCGATGATGCCTAAATACCACATTGGGTCATTGGACGATGCAGCAAAGACGGCACTAGCAACGGCAACGGCAACGACAGAATCAGATCCCCCTGCGCCGCAAAGAGACATATTCCTCGATTCGAAGGTTTGGAAGAAGGCCATACTCCATGCCAAAAAGAATGTATCCTGGGACACCCGGATCTTTACGTACAAGCTGGAACACGCTGACCAACGTCTCGGTCTCCCAGTGGGCCAACACTTGATGGTTCGATTGCGAGATCCTGTGACTAGAGAAGCCGTGATTCGAAGTTATACACCAATATCCGAAATCAACGACAAGGGTCATGTGGACATGCTTGTCAAGGTCTATTTTGAGAACGCATCTGGCAAAGGCGGCAAGATGTCTCAGGCCATGGACTCCCTTCCGACAGGCCACTTCATCGAAATGAAAGGCCCCATTGGAAAATTTGAATATCTAGGTAGGGGTAAATGCTTGGTTCAAGGGAAGGAGAAATTTGTGCAAAGGTTCGTCATGATATGCGGTGGAAGTGGTATAACACCCATCTATCAGGTGTTTCGGGCGGTCATGAAGGATTCCAAAGACAGGACACAATGCCTCATTTTCGATGGTAATCGTCTGTCTGAGGATATTCTCTGCAGAGAGGAGCTCGATGCTTTGGCAAGCGGAAACGAAGACCGGTGCAAGATCTTGCATACTCTCACCAAGGCTACCGACGAATGGACGGGACTTCGAGGCCGCATCAATGGTCAACTGATTCAAGATAATTGTGTCAGGACAGACGAGACCTTGGTGCTGGTATGTGGTCCGGAAGCGATGGAGAAAAGTGTACATGAAGCATTGTTGGACCAAGGTTGGACAGACGAGCAGTTGATGTTTTTTTGACGTTTCATTGTTGGGAGGACATATATTGCATTTATGACGATAGACAAGATCAAGAAGACTCTTGTCCAAGCAGCATGGCGACGGCATGGAAATAGCAACCGATGAGATTGATGTTCACAACTTTACACCATGGTTCTTTAAAATACAGTAAAATACAATACAATACATGACAAGAATTCGGCAATCGGTCCATTTTGTCTTTTTGTCCTTTCGTTATCTCGACAGCCAATTTCAACCACTTACAACTCGTCTTCTCTCGTTCTTCGCTGGGCCCTTTTTCTTATCTCTATTTCCATATTTTCATTACACGTGAGGAATGTTCAATGACATGGCACCGTGGAGAAATCCCATCACCGCTTGGGTCTTCCGAGGCCTGGGGGAGTTTCTCTGCCTAGGACAGTCTCACTCAACCGCTCAATTCGTTCACATTAATGCCAAATAGTGACATGACAGTCCCGGACTTGTTCATTGGCCATGATAGGCACCATTTTCGTTACCAATACCAATCTTGGTCTTTTCCTGGTGGCCCTACGAATACGGGGTACACGTACGCATACACAAGGTACAGTAAGTGCGAGTGTGAGATCTCTTCCCGGGCACTAAGCTAAAGCTCAAGTCATCCCCGCGGATCTTTGAACCTCACTGATAAGGTGATATGGTGATGTTTCCGTTGGCTGAGATGGTCACTTTCTCTCCGCGGATATTGATCTCACATAGGTGGCGTCGTTCAAGGTATTGCTTTACAACACAAGCCTCATAGAATGTTGGTGTTTTGTACCACCTGTCCATCGATCCACCCATACATCACTTTCACAGTTAATTCAATCGTGGTCCTTATTCACTGTACATGAGTTACTATTCTATCTATTACTTCCTTTCTTCTCACTCAAGCTCATGTTAATGCTCAATGATAGTCCTGTTGTGTTGGGTTTCTCCTTGATGATCTCGCAATAATTACGTCTCGTGAAAAAGGGCGAGGTATTCAACACATCACAATCCAGCACTATTCCAACCGGCAGAAAAGAACTCGAGCGGGTTCATTGCCGTACACAGTGGCACAAATGGCTATCAGCCAAACATCACACCAGAATGAGGATGCCCCAAATGGTACGGATGGTGGTGGTCGACGGACAAGAATCGTGGTGGTAGGATTGGGCATGGTCGGGATGGCGTTCATGTATGTTCGCATACCACCACTTTCCACTAGCCTCGTTTGAGTCCCTCTCCTGACTGACCATTAATGATTTGTAGTGAAAAGTTATTAAAACTCGACGCCAAAAGACAAGAATATGACCTCGTCGTGATTGGCGAAGAGCCTCATCTAGCGTACAATCGTGTCGGGCTGACGAGTTTCTTTCAGCATCGACAAGTCGAGTCCTTGTACCTAAATCCGGAGACATGGTACAAGAGCCACCCTGCGGACTCTTTCAGCTACCATCTCAACACTCTCGTGACGGAAATTAAGCCCAACGAAAAAACTGTCATAACGGCTCAAAGTCAAACAATCTCGTATGACATTCTTGTTCTCGCCACGGGATCAGACGCTCTTCTCCCGCGCCACACACCCGGTCACGATGCCCGGGGGGTTTTCGTCTATCGGACGATCGACGATCTACAGAACCTCATCTCCTTCTCGTCAACCGTTAAAGGCACAATGGGATGTGTCGTCGGAGGTGGTCTCTTGGGCCTCGAGGCGGCCAAGGCCATGATGGACCTTGAGACCTTCCAACAAGTCAAACTCATCGAGAGAAACAGGTGGGTCTTGTCGAGACAGTTAGACGCCGATGCAGGAAATATGGTCGTCGACCTCGTACGCAATCTCGGGTTGGACGTCATGCTCGGGAAGCGTGTCGGTAGGATCTTGACGACGGACGACGACCGCAACGCCGTCAAGGGTATCGTCTTCGAAGACGGCGAGCAAATTGACTGTACCTGTGTCATGTTCGCCATTGGTATCAAACCACGAGACGAGTTGGCGCGCAAAGCAGGGTTAAAGTGTGCCGACCGAGGTGGCGGCGGTATCACGGTCGACAATGACCTGCGCACGAGCGATCCCAACATCTACGCCATCGGCGAGTGTGCCAGTTGGGAAGACCAGACCTTCGGTCTTATCGCCCCGGGTATCGAGCAGGCAGACGTGCTCTCCTTCAACCTGACACAGGCCAAAGCTCATACGCCCCGGACTTTCAAGAGACCAGACCTCAGCACCAAATTGAAACTGCTGGGTGTCGAAGTGGCGAGCTTTGGAGACTTTTTCGCCGATCGCGACGGGCCAAAGGACCTCCCGAAACGACACGTCAAGCGCGAAGAGCGGCGCAGGGCCGTCGAATCCTCGAAAGGAGTGCCGGGTGTGACAAGCAACGGTGACAAGGCCCCAGCAGCAGGAGGAGTGACACATGGCAAAGATAAAGTACGAGACCTTACGTCAGGCCCGCCACCACCGACCCTGGCCGTCAAGGCCCTGACTTACCGCGACCCCTTTGCCGCCGTTTACAAAAAGTACCTCTTCACACCGGACGGCAAGTATCTTTTGGGTGGTATGATGATAGGCGACACGAGAGACTACGTCAAGCTCGTGCCCATGATCAAGAACAGAAAGATGTTGGATGTTCCACCGTCTCAATTCATCATCGGTGCGAGTAGCGACAACAACGATGGCGGTGATGATCTCACGGACGACACCCAGATCTGTTCCTGTCACAACGTTTCCAAAGGGGACGTCATCCAGAGCGTCATCAAAGATGGCTGCAAGTCCTTGGGTGAGGTCAAGTCTTGCACGAAAGCCGGGACTGGTTGTGGAGGATGCATGCCTCTCGTGACCAGCATCTTCAACAAGGCCATGAAGGACATGGGCAACGAAGTGTCGAACCACATCTGTCCTCATTTCGCGTACAGTCGTGCGGATTTGTACAACATCATCTACGTGCGTAAATTGCAGAATTTCGGGGGTGTCATGCGCGAGGTTGGGAAAACCCCCGAAAGTTTGGGTTGTGAAGTGTGCAAGCCCGCCGTCGCCAGTATTTTGGCCAGCATGTTCAACAGACACGTCATGGACAAGCCGCTTCGGGGCCTGCAGGACACGAACGATAAATACCTGGGCAACATCCAACGCAACGGCACGTTCAGCGTCATCCCTCGCGTGGCGGGTGGTGAAATCAGCCCCGAGAAATTGATCGTGATCGGCCGAGTCGCGAAAAAGTATGGCCTCTACACAAAAATCACGGGGGGTCAGAGAATCGACATGTTCGGCGCGAAGAAACAAGACCTTTTGAGTATCTGGTCCGAGTTGGTCGCCGGAGGTCTCGAATCGGGCCACGCCTACGCCAAGTCGTTGCGTACCGTCAAATCCTGCGTGGGAACGACGTGGTGTCGGTTTGGGATTGGCGACTCGGTCGGTCTGGCGATCCGACTGGAAGAAAGGTACAAGTCGATCCGGGCACCACATAAGATCAAAGGCGGCGTTTCAGGCTGCGTTCGCGAGTGCGCCGAAGCACAAAACAAGGACTTTGGGTTGATCGCGACGGAAAAGGGGTTCAACATCTTTGTCGGCGGCAACGGCGGAGCGACGCCTCGGCATTCAGAGATCCTGGCCAAGGACGTGCCTCCGGACGACGTGATCCCCATCCTCGACCGCTACCTGATGTTTTATATCCGCACGGCCGATAAACTCCAGCGCACCGCCCGCTGGGTCGAGCAATTGCCCGGAGGCATCAGATACCTCCGCGAGGTCGTGCTGGAGGACAAGTTGGGGATCTGCGCCGAGCTGGAGAAGCAGATGCAAGAGCTCGTGGGTACGTTTTTCTGTGAATGGACCGAGACCTTGAACGATCCGGAGAAGCGCCGTGCTTTCCAACAGTTTGCCAACTCGGACGAAAACCTCGAACCGGCAGTCGAAAAGGTCGAGGAGAGGGGACAAGCCCGACCGGCGTACTGGCCCAGGGAGTCCGTCCACGACGATTTCAAGGGGACCAAGTGGACCAGCCTGATGTGGCAGCCGATCGTCGAGGCAAGCAAGTTCCAAGGAGGAGACCCAACGACGGGATCTTCGCAGACCGTCATCCGCGGAGACACCCAGCTGGCCGTTTTCAAGCTCAAGGGCAAATATTACGCGAGTCAACAGATGTGTCCTCACAAACGCACATTTGGGCTTTCGGATGGTCTGATTGGAGAGACAACGTCGCCAGACTGTAAAGGTGGCAAGCTGTACGTCAGTTGTCCTTACCACAAGAGGAACTTCCAGCTGAATGGAAAAGTCAACTTTGAGAGACCAGACGCCGGGGCGGGATCTTGCTCCACGGACACCAGCATGTCCATCGCCACGTTCGGGGCCGAAGAGCGCGATGACGGATGGGTTTACTTGAAGCTTCCGCCCGTGGAGGAAATGGACGCCGTGTTGGGAACGAGTAAATGGGTCGTCAAGTCACAAGAGGCCAAAGATCCGTTTGAGAGTCTCGACAAGAAATTAGGGTTACACAAAGGCTTGAGGCCGACGAGGACTGCCGGCGCCATACCGGGGACTGGGAACGTGATGGCAGCATCGTCACGGAGGACAGTGGGTGTCGCTGCGCAGAGGAGGATTGATTGGTAAAATACGCAAGATAGTCTCTGCGAAAAAATCGGCTGATATCCTCTCTACTTGACCTTTCCCTTGTTATCATGTCCCTCTTACGGCATTACAACTCATCATGGGCCGCAGGATGCACTGTATCGCCAGACTTGGCAAGTTCTGGCCGGATGGTAATATGACGAGCGATACAGCTAGCACCGACCGCAGTGACATAGTGTCTCCCACCTTTGGCGGCTTGTATCTTGGGCACCAGCTCGGGGACGGCACCAGCTCGGGGAGGGTAATCTCGAGGGCTCGATCTATGTTGGAAGTGTCGGCCAGGGCATCTTCGGCACTGATAATGATAGCGGCAATCTCGTTCGGCGTGGTGGTTCGGTACAGTTGTCGCCAGATGGTGGCAATCAAATCATCCTCGTGGATCAGCCAATGAACCGTCTCTGTACGACGGATCGAGGGACCGTACCGGCCAACTTCGGCGACGGAGACGCGAAGCCTGTCGTTGAAGTCCTGCTCGAACATCAAGACATAAGGGTTGTCGTCCTCGGGAGGGCCCCTTGATCCCCACTTACCCAGACAATAGTTGGGTGGGTACGTCAACATGGCACCATAATGAGACGGACGGAACCTGACTATGTGAGTCGCGGCAGGTTCGACTTCTTGAACAGCAGAAAATATGGCCTCAAAAGCCGGTGAGTACGTCATGAAGTGATGAGACATGCTGGTCGTGCCAATCCGGAGCGACCCATCATTTGTGACTTGTCGTGATTCGTGTCGAATTTGTTTCAAAGCCTCGACAAAGATGGCCCTCGCTGCTGCCTCTTGGTCTTCTTTTGATTCGTGTGCACCATCGAAGGGAACCAACATCTTGATCATATAGGCTTGGTACTGATCACTTCCCTCGATACGACTAAGGGGCATTGGTCCGCTTGCATTAAAGACGGCTGATGATCTGGTTTTCGGTCAGATAGGAGCCACTTTTGGCTTGCTGTTCAACATAAAGTGCTTATGTACATAAATGAAGACCCCAGATGTACTCCTAAAAGTGCTTGAAGAAGAAGAAGAAGTCAGAACAGCGGATGATGCTAAGTCGTTCGGAAACTCATTTACCTGATGTCGACGATGGTCCACAGATCCCAATGCTCAGAACAGTAAACACTGCCGCCATCACATGGTGACTATGGAGATTTTCTTTGATCATGTTGTCCTTCTATCCGCCAAGCGGTGACAGAGTCAAAGACCAGATGTCGAAGAGGCATAAGTAAAAGGATCGGCTTTATTTACAACCAGGCGATGATGAGAAAGACGTCTACACCGACAAGGACTGTGAATACGTTGGTTTATGCTGAGCTCTGCCAAGGTGTGGTCGAACTGCCTCGCGCCTCCACCTCCAATCGGGAAACAGCGTGATTCCGCCCTCACTCGCCCCGGGCCCCCGCGAGCCGGCAAAAGTCGTATCTGAAGTCATTAGAAGCGGAAAGGATGTCGAGATGTAAATTAAACTAACTGCGATTCGCCCGACGCAGAACGCTCGTATCAAGAGAGTTAGGGTTTCTGTACGGAGTTGCTCTACATCCGCGGGCCAGATGTTTCGGAGCCAGAAAGAAACAATGACTATCTCGGTGACTCTCGAGGTGAAGCAGCGGCTGAGAGACTACGAGTTGGGCACAGTATGTGAGGTGATCAGCCACTGCAATTTCTTAGATGTCACTTACGATCATGGTCTTTCATCAAGTCTTCTTGAACCCTCGGCTGGCCATGTTTTGCCTGTCGGATGGGGGAGGGGGCAGATCAAGCCGGGACCTCCCTGCGAGCATTCTCAACTATGTAGGGAGTGGCGATGATGAGGCACGGGAGATGCTGGGTCCATAGATTATTCTCTCCATGATGGTAGGAATCATCGTCATCATTAAACACCACCACAGCCACAACAGATGTGGGTGCGTTTGACGAGCTCCCTTTGCGCCAAAGAGCATTAGATCCCGACCTGGCGGAATCATGTGCTTGATATTGAATCGAAAATGTCTCGAGACTGTGGCAATTTCTACGAGTGAACGAAACTCAGTATAACCCCCAGGCAAAAGTACGGACCCTACTGCTCTTGAGGTCATAGAACCAATTCTTGCATTAACCTAAAGCTTTCTGCGGCCAAATCCAGGATCTAGATTCAAGAACATATACATCAGGGCACGTCTCTCGTTGGCCTCAAATCAAAATGGTGAAATCGTAGTCTTCCCGTTGCTAAGTCCAAGAGTGTGTCTCTTTGAATAATACTCTTCAGACCCTTGATGCAGTGGTACCGATGTTTGGCGCATTTTGTCGGGGCAGAGTGGGTAGGACAGTGGACTTTTGGCCGGTGGAATGTGTTTGTATTGCCCTTCAATCATATGTCTTGTCTCAACAAGGCACCATGTGAGCAGAAAGGCCACCTCCCCAGGCATGTCGTCCCGCACCAGTATGACAAAGTCTGAAAAGTCCAAGGCAGGCAACTCGTAGGTCAAGCTATCCCAGAACCCTGTAGGCAAAGCGTTGGTCCCCAGGCCGACTGAAGATTTTATGCTCTTCAAGGCCGCTGGTTCGGCGGGCAAAGGGACTAGCCTGCCAGAATCGATCAACCGACGCCACCAGACTGTCATTATCGCCTCCTGAAGAAGTCCATCGGCTTGTCCGTTCTCGACGAGCGCCATGCATTGTTCAGGCCGCTGTGCTCGTACGACAGATCCGCCCCATGATTCAATGATGGCTTGAGACATTCCATGTGCTTTCAGAAATTCGTCTGCCACGTAGCCAATGAAGTTGGTGCCGTCGTTCAAGGAGGTTGCAATTCTCAATGGCGGTTTCTGCGCGCGAATCTCCTCGAAGCTTTTGATCTTGTAAGCTGGGTCCAGGGCAAGTACCAGTCGATCGTTCTGCGGCAGTGTGCCTATGGCACGCAGATGAGGCATGGCCACGGGGAACGGGGCTTCACCCGTGAGCGCCTTACCCATCAGTCCGGCCGGGGTGCAGATCGCCAAGTCCGCGGCGCCATCATGGAGCTGTTTGAGCGCGTCGAGCCCACCATCTCGCAGACTCCGTATCGATGTCCTGCTGCCGGGTCCGGCACGATCACAGAATTCTTGCGTGAGCCAGGAACATATTCTATGAAAATTGGCACCGCCCCAATCTCCAATGAATTTTAGATCATAGGTACGAGAGAGCCTTGGCTCTCCGTTCTTATCAATGTGAACACCGTCCATAGTTGCCGGGCTTTTCGATAATGGTGACAGTTCCAATGCTCCCACTACCTCGTGCCTTAAAAACATTCGGGGCCATAGAAAGGCAAGTGCACGAGGAAAGGCATTTATATGCGGCAGTTCTCCGTACGCCATGTCCCTTTGCTCCGAACATAGCAAGGTCCCTCCGGTCGGAACAGGCTACAAGTTGTGGGGACGGGTCGGATCCAACGATCTCCCCACAGCGTCTAAAGGGAGGTATCCAGCTTGATCAGATATGATCGTATGGTTCATTATTCACGGAACTGTTTTTTGCTGGAATGCCTGCTGTCAGCTTCGTAGATATCGATCCGAAGATGGCTGCTCGGGCTATACATGTCCCAAGTCTGGTTCAGGCTCCCCTCAAGGCAAGGTCTGTTCATCATGCCCAGAACATTACTCTGGCTATTAACTTATAGGTGTAATGCAGTTCGTTGACTTTTCGGGCATTGAATGAGCTGGATTCTTTACATCCAGCAATTCAATTCACCCCTTTATTTGTTTGTTTTCTTCGCGTGATAGTGCTGTATCATCGATCATGTCAGCCAGGATTGAAGGACATACTTCAGTTCAAGATGGGGCTAAGTTCTGAACGGGGTAGATTGGATACGGGCTGTTTAGTTGGCTATTTCAGTTTCAACCACTAGGAACCAGATCCGCCAGTCCACTCGGAAGACTACCTCGGAGCTGGGGGTTTCCTGCTCGTTCCATGTCGCCTTCGGATCTCGAGCCGTATCACTAGAGCAATTTTCGACCTGAACGTTTTGAATGATGTCCATCATCCATGTGTGCATATTACACCATCGCAGCAGAGCCCTCTCTGCCAAATCCCACGGAATCCGGGGACACGACGGATACCCTAGGGTCCCACCGCCAAAGCTTTGACAACTGAGCCTACCAGGTGTTCTTGCGTATAAGAGTGCAAAAGCGTCCAAAAAGTTGATCACATCTTCCTCCAACAGAAGACATACCTCCCTGGATCCCGAAGACAACTCTCAATATGGACAAGTCAGACCTAGAACATGTCGAAGCTGGCGAGGTGAACAAATACGAGCTTTCCCCGGCAGAGCTCATAGCTACATCTGAACATCATACTGCTCGTTCACCTGTTGAGCGCCGACTCGTGTGGAAGGCCGACCTCGCTATCCTACCCATCATCAGTGCTGCATACCTTGTATCTTACCTTGTTAGTGGCTTCTCTTCCCTGTCAGATCGGCGAGTTTTAACATGCCTGCCCCCTAGGATCGAAACAGCATCGGTAACGCTCGCGTCATGGGTCTTCCCAAAGACCTTCACATGGATCCAGACCAGTTCTACAACTGCCTCACAGTTTTTTGTTGGCCTCACCATCTAAAATGAATCTCTGGTCCCAAGGTGCCCTATCTAATACTGTCATAGTTGCCGGCTACGCATTCTCGATGCTTCCTGCAAACTTGTCTGCACGCTTGCTCAAGCCAAACAGATCGCTCGGAGTGGCCGTCGTCTTTTTCGGCATCATCCTGTGCAGTATGGCGGAAGCCAAAAACTATGCAACAATATTAGCCTTGCGCGTTCTGCTGGGTTTGGGCCAAGGTTTCATACAAATGGCAATGATCTATTGCAGTGTTTGGTACCGAAGAGACGAGGTCGCATCGAGAACTGGTACGAGCCCCTATCGAAATATCAGATGTGCAAGATATTGACACATTAAAACAGCCATATTCTATGCATGTGCCACCATATCGGGTGCCTTTGGCGGCTTGATAGCATATGGAGTCCAGCACAATTTGGCATCACATGATGATCGTCGAACCTGGTCATGGTTGTTTCTCATTGAAGGTGTGCTCGCTGTCGGCATTGGCCTGATAATTATCCTCCTCCTACCCAGATTCCCGGACGATCTACACCAACGTGGGAAGAAGCATTGGCTCTTTACGAGAGAAGAGATTGAATTCGCGCACAAGCGGTTCACTGGCGAGTTTTTCCCTCCTTCACTATTGACTGTCTCTCTTAATGTCGCTAATGTGAGGAATAGAATACAACTCTGAAGGGGAGAAGTTCAAGATGAAAGATCTCCTCAGCGTCGTCAAGGATATCAAGAGTTTCTTCTTCGCATTCGTCCAAGTAGCGGCTGTTCTTGGTACTTCTGTGGTGGGGAATTTCTTACCCACTTTCATCCATGGCTTCGGTTTCAGCCCAGGTACGTAGTGCCTGTCGGAACGGCAATGGCGCAACAGCTTTAACCGGCCCTACAGTGAGAACACAATTGTTCACCATTATCCCATACGCTTTCGCCTTCGTCACTGTCATCACTCTGGGATACCTGTCCGATCGCTTCAACTCCAAAGGTCCCATCATCCTTGCGTGCTGTTGTGTGGGAGCTTTGGGGTATATTCTCCTGATGACACTGTCCTCGACTGTCGGCCTTGTTGTGGCAACGTGTCTGGTAACTTCGGCGTGCTATCCAATCGGAATTCTGCTTCCCTCTTGGCTGGCGATCAACACTCCTAATTTCACGAAGCGCGGCGGAGTCTGGGCATTTAGCGAAATTATTGCGACACCCTTTGCAATAATGGGCACGCGCATATACACCAGCCCTCCGCATTACTATGGCGGCCACGGGACTGTCCTCGGGATATATGTATTCAGTGCCATGAATGTCACGGCAGCCTATCTGTGGATGCGGCATCAGAACAACAAGAAACAACAAACCATTGCCGAGTACGATCAACGTGGTGAAATTCATCCCCATATCGCCCAGAACAAGACCTTGTACGAGCTCCAGGAAGAACATATTTCATTTCGATATGTGCTTTAACACTCTAGAATGAGACTACGAGATTCGGACTTGGTTGCTCGAAAAGCCTGATGTGAGGAACTATCAGGAACATGGGGAGCTGTCACCAGACGTGGAGGAAAACGGGGAGCTCGTAGCTATGGACTAGAACTATGTATGCCGACGTGATGGACGGAATCAAAGTGCCGTGACAAAAATCTTGCCTCACGCTGTGTCGATTTCTCCCTTGTCCTCGTCGAACATGATACTCCAACTGGGACGGAGGGACATTGACGAGGCTGGCTTGATCGGACGCATGACCAATCGGAGGCAGGACCGATCGGAAGCTTGACCAATCGTAATATGGTCCGCGAGGTTCCGATCTCGCTTAAATCCTCCAACAGTTTTAGTACATACTCCCCAGACAAGTCATGCGGGATCTACAAGAGTGCTAGCTTTACGCTCTCAGTGAAACTGACCTTTCAGTTACATGGAAGAGCACTCGATACCTTGTTGAATCTGATTAGCCTGCTTTTTGCGCACATTGTCAACGCCTCGACTGAGGGAGCACGGCGGCACAAAAGGCAAAGAATTGAAGATCCAAGGGTTGGTTGCTCAGTAACACAGCTTCTGCTTAGATCTTGGCTCTGATTTCTACCACGTTCCCAGCGGTCACCATTCAAACGTCTGTTCGCGCCAAAACCTAGCCGGCATCGCCCACCGTCTTCTCATGAACTTGGCGAGAGTGAAGAGACAAAAGGTCACTGTTGCGTGTGATCAATGTCGGAGCAAGAAAATCAAATGTGACGGGCGTCGGCCGACGTGCAATTCGTGCCAGAAAAAGGTGGGGGCGGGGGTAAGGTGCTCTTGGGAAACTGGATCGGCGAGACTATCTGGACGGCAATCCTCCGACTACCTTCGCTGGCTTGACGGGATACCTGACTCGACCTGCCGAAACAATCATGCAACAAGTTCGACTCGGGTCCAGCAATCAAGCGGCATTGGCATTTCTCAGCAGGATTCAGCGCTAGATTTCCAATCCTTGCTGCTGCGGAATGGTCCCCTCTACCCAAGGCCAGCATCAAGCACGGATCCAAACATATTCTCGCCCCCTTCCGCACCTGCCGGTGTGTCCAAGACACTTGACCTTGATGAACATGGGCCTGTACGGCATCAACAGCAGCAATGCGGCTCAGCGCAGCGACGGCGACGACGACAACAACAACCACATGAAGTATCGCCTTCCGAGCACGCGGTTCATGCCGTCATTGGTGCCACTGTTGATGAAGAAAACAGGGATGGTTTCTTCGGGAATTCTAGCGCCGGGACCTTCATGCAACACGTAAAGAAGGTGGTCTTGCAGAAAGTGGGAGCCACGCAACAACAACCGAGCCGGGCGTCTCTTGTCCACGAGGACTTTTCTCCTCCTCGGACCTTGCCTGCTTCTGGCCACACCACTAAGAGACCGGAGCCAGTCGACTATGTTCTGCCGACACGAAGAAAAGCCGACTCTTTGGTATCTGCTTATTGGAGATACGTGCACGTCCTTTACCCATACCTTGACAAATTGGAGATTGAAGGTGACTACGAAAGGCTTTGGAAGAGTGACGAAGGCAACGGCTCCATCATCGCCGACGAGCGGGCCTTCATGTGCCTCTTGAACGCCATGTTCGCACTCGCCAGTCAATTCGACGAACAGTCGCCGATCGAGGAGAGGCAGCGGTCCGGTCACGTCTTTTGCACTCGAGCACGAGAACTGTCGGACATTGTGGAAACCGGCACCATCCGCTCGGTGCAATCATTCCTGATTCTCGGACAGTACTTCCAGAGCACCAGCGAGCCACATTCGTGCTGGATTTTTGTCGGTCTCGCGGTTCGGACGGCCCAGAGCCTCGGACTGAATTGGCCCGAAACGAGTGAACGGTGCGCCGACATCAAGACTCGGGAGCTCCTCAGGAAAACCTGGCACGCGTGCGTTCTGATGGATCGGACCCTGTCCATGACCTACGGGCGGCCGTGCATGATAGGTCAAAGAGCAGCGTCGGTCGTTCCCCTTCCCCTGCCCTTTGATGAAGAGCACCTGTGCAGTGCCGGGTCTTCTCAGGTGCCCTCGCCACCAGGGCAGCGACATCAGAACACGGCGTCGGCCGAATTTTTCGTCCTGTCTCTCAGGTTATTCGAGATACTACACGACGTGATCTTTCATTTCTACTCGGTCAACCATCTGCAGGAAAAGTCTGTGGACAACGATAGGTATTTTGGCTCGTCCAGCAACAGTCAAGCTTCGGTATTCGAGATTGAACGTCGGATTTCCAAGTGGGAACGGGATCTACCACAACATCTGAGGGTCGGCGGCACCATACCGCAAAATGATGGTGCAGCGGCAGCCACCTTGCATCGTCAGGCGGTAGTTCTCCAGCAAAGGCAAGGCAGACCCTCCCTCCAACCTTCATAGTTGCTGCTGACACAAAACAACCCCCCTGCAGGCAACTTCACGTTCGCCTTCTGCTGCTGCGTCTTGCGCTTTCCCACTTCTTCACGTCCGAATCTCAGGACGGAGCATCTCGGGACATCCCCCTCGGAGATCTGCTGTCGCACAAGGTTCTTCTCCAGTGCGCCGTCATCTGTGTCAAGACGGCCCTCCAAGCCATCGACACGATCTATGAACAGAGAGGGAACGAACCGGGTGACGTCGGGTTCTGTGCCGCGTGGTGGTACAACGTTCTCTATCTCTACACCTCTGCCACGGTGCTCATTGCAGCCCGCTTGAGCTCCGACATCCTGGCCGAGTTCTCGGAGCAATTGATCCTTGAGGGTTGGCGCCGGGCTCTGGAGGCCCTCCGAGGTTACAGCCACTTCGGTGCTTCAATCCAACGGCTGGTGACCACACTGCGGCTCCTGTATGAAGCGGTGCCTCAGCAATACTCCCGGTTCAAAGAGAATCCTCGACAAACCCAACCAGACTACTCGGCTTCGACGTTTCGCGATCCGGGCGAAGGCACTACTAGAACCCCGGCCTATTATAGTCTAGATTTTTCTTCCGCGGCAGCAATTGCAAATGAAACATCCAGGGGACATCTGCCGCAAGACGAGATGATTGCCACCACCACTCTGGATGATGATACGCTCCTCGACTTTGATGCAGTCTTTGACCCCAATGATTTGTCTTGGCTGATGACGATACCGCTGGACAGTTGAAACCTTGAGGGTCTGTTATACAGGGCGTTCTTGTCTCGTCTTTTTTTCGGCCCGGACGTTGATGGTTCACAGGCGCCCAGTGTTTGGCCTGTGAGAACATGGCGATGCCGCTCTAAATGAAAAGTCCACCTCTCTCTCTCTCTCTCGCCGAGCTCTAACAACTTCACGTGCGATGTGGCAGAAGTCGTATTGTCACTTCTGTAAGACCCACCCAATCCCATAACTCCTACTACGAAGTTGGGGGACTAGTCATAACGAAGGCCGTATTACCGCCGCTCTCTTTTCACGGCGCAGTCAAAGTTGCGTTGAAATTCTTTGTGCGGACTAAAAGGGTCGTGCAGATCGAGGACGATACGATAGACTTGAGAAGTCAAGATTTCTCTTCGCCGGGGTCTTGGCCCCCTTCGGTCGTCGACGACAATATTGGAAGTCGACCTGGAACATGACGTATGAGAGGAGGACTGACTGCAGCAAGAAATCGGATCGATCGATACTAGTGAGAGCGTGGACGAGAGCGTTCGCCTTGCGGCACGCGCGAAGGACGTCGGGGTTGCCCGAGGACTCGAACCAAGGACGAGGTTTTTCCACGCAAGAGATGCGCGAAAGGGGTGGGAGGCAGACAAGAAATGAGAAAGATGACAACCAAGGCATGAAGGGCAGACTAACAAACGTTGGAAAAGGACCCCGAAGTACAGTGTAGCCGAGTGTCATGATTGAACCCTCCTAAGGTAGGCCAGGCATCCATTATTCGTCAGTCATTACAGTAAAACTCCGATCCTCGAGACACTCCCTGCCGACCAAGATGCCCAAAGACCAAAAGACCAAAAGACCAAAAGACCAAAAGACCAAACGACTGAAGAGAGAAACAGTCCCTGGGTTGTCAAGCACGATACACAACACAAACAGCACATGTGTGTCGAGTGCGTGCCTGTGGCGACAAAAGTCACAAATTCAACCAAATATCTTCATCGTCGTCACCACCACCACCACCACCCGAATTTGCCATCTCAACTACTTTCACACTAGGTTCGGGTATTCTTGTCGTCTGTCTTCTCCCGCCCTCACCGTCACCGTTACCGCCTCGAGAATCCCCATGGTCATGACTACTCGTTTTGTCGCCGACCACAGCTGCACATTGTTCAGCAATGATCTTCAACCTCGCCTTTCTTGATTCGACCACTTTGGCCCATCGAGCTCGCCAGGCCTTTTGGACGGTCATCGCGGCTCTCACACCTCTCGATGGCGTCAGCAATCTCGAACACAGAAACGCGAGCGCTGCCAGGACAAAGTCTCGATCGAAGATGTGTGTACTGCTGCTGCTGCTGCTTGCGGCATCGCTAAGCCCAGCAGAGAACAAGCTCGAAAATTGGTCACTGCATCCAAGTCGTCGTAGTCTCTCTTTCAGAGAAGATCGCGTAGTCGCCGTCGCCATTCCACCATCAGCCCCGCTCTCACTGGGGATAAGAAACGCTTCATATTCGTCCACGATCGCCTCAAATACTTTCCCATCAGCAAAGCTGGTCGTGAGATTCTTCACCACAAGTCCATGTTTCCTCGCCACGGCTTGTGCCCAGGCCTTCAACAACATCTTGTACCGCACGGGATCATGCCCATCTTCTTCTTCGATCGCGTCAAGAATGTCATCACAAAAATCATCGCCTGCTCGGCCACTCTGTGAGCTCAATCTGGATAGCCTCTTGATCTCACGTCCGAGATCGTCCCAATCCAAGAGTCCACATAACCCCCATTTACTGGTCAATCCCCAAAGAAGTTTCACCGTCTTTTCTCGGAATCCATCCACGATATCTTCTGCGCGAACATCGCGTACAAGTGGAGCCATACCCCTGACACCCTGCAACGCACTAAGCGCAATTTGGACATTATACTGCTTTGTCGCTCGACCTGGAGACGGAAACTTGAGATGTTGAGACAAAGGCCAGTCATGGCTGAGTCCGTCAGAAAGCGAGAGCGTCTCGCCTGTCGGTAACAGGATCGTTGTTGTCGATTCAAAGTCACTCGCGTGGTCCAAAACATGAGATGCCGAAGGGTAGAGAAGAAGCTCGACTAATCTGGTCAGACGTACACCGTCGCGTAGATCGACCGCAAGGTTATCGATCGTGTACGCATACTCTTCCAGGGGATATTGAGAGTGAGATACACTGTATCCAACATGGCTCAACGCCCTGATCGGGTCTCCGGCGCTTGGATTGAGCTGCTGGAAAAGAGCCTTGACGACGTCGCCCGATGACTTGTGTGGAGAAGTCGTTCGGAATAGACAACCATTGACCAAGGATGGCGCAGTGCTCTTGATGTGATCGAGAAGTCCTATAGCCATCAAGCTTCGCAAGAGTGTTCGCTGATAAGACCATGGGGAATCGTGGGTTTTCGACGATGCCTCGTCTGGCTTTCCGTCTTCGTTTCGAATGAGAAATGTCTCGATGAATCGTTGTAAAGACTGACGACCCAAAACATCCTTCTCCTTGTCCAAGCTTCGTCTACTTGCGGACAATCTGGGCGACACAGTAGTGCATTGCCTACCTACAACAACTTCGAGCACAGCACGGAGAGAGTCCGGTTCATATGTTTCGAGCCACAGGTCTGTAAAGGCCTTCCGTCTTCCCAAATCGGTGGCGAGTCGACTTGCGCCCTTGAGAACATCATTCGGCATAGCCAATGCGCCATACAGAAGTGCTCCTTGTAATCGCTTAAACAGCATCGTGGTTTCAGAATTGTTGTAGCGTTCCAGCAATTGGACTCTGAGCATGCCATCTTCCACCGGACAAGACGTCAGTGACGACGATGCGAAAAGGTTGTTGACAAGTTGGGTGATGGCGATTTCTTGATGGTTCAACCAGTTGTCTTCGTACATGGACGGCGACGCAAGATCTTCCGTGAGGATCGGATACGAGTCGACAGCCGGCTCTGCTCTGATCGCTGGCGTGACGAAGCGAGTAGGGACGGCAGGTTTCGCGGGTACAGCCTTCTCTCGCTCTGATCCTCGCGGCGGAGATGATTTCTTGACGGGTATAGGTTGGGCTGTGCGAATACGTGCACCAGAGTTCCACGATCGCTTCGGTTCTGATCCATGACCGGATTGCTTTTCAACAACCCTACTCATCGAACTAGCTGTTTGTTCGTAGAGTCTAGACGTGGTGGGTTTGAAATCGCCCTTGACCGTGTTCCTGGTTGGCGGAAACGCCATCGTCTGTCTCTTCGATCTCATCTTCTCCTTTTCGAACTTGACCCCTGCCAGCGAATTCGACTCAGCATACCCGGGCGGTACATTCTCTTTGCCCCCTCCTTGCCCAACACGATCCTCAACAACGGCGGATTCCTGAACATATCGCGAAGAGACATGAAGCGGACCACCCGCGCGTTTTGGTGACAGAGCGATCATCGAGCGACGTGTTGCACCCCTCTTTTTGGCCATCTGCGCCGCTATACCCGTCACCTCCATCGCCGTATGCGTGTCCGCTGGCTTCGAGGTCGAGTCGACATTCAAGCTCTTGATCGGACTGAAAATGCCCATGTACATGCTCGGCATCGTCGTGTCGTCGTTGGGAATATATATCGTGCCACGACGAGCGGGCTTCAGGATTGTCGGAGAAGGCATGCTCATGTTGAGATTGGCTGTAGTATCCTCAGGTAGGCTGGGCAGAAGCGTGGCGTCCCGGTTCTCTGTGTCATGTCCGATACCTTGCCCCCGCCGAGGTGCCTGGGTAAGTTTGCCTACTCCCAAGGACTTCGACGACGGACGTGTAGAGTCGTGACTTTGCATTGAGACTGATGGAGCAAAAGATACGCGCGCTGAGATTTTTGGTCGCTGAGGGGGTTGCGACAGTCCCACGGTGCTTTTCCATTTTGCTGGCTCCTTAGCAATCGATTTCTGTACGGCTTCGGCGTCTTCGTAAATCGCGAAATCGACATTCTGAGCCCCTCTCCGCGCTGTGGCTGCGTTACGCATTCGTCGGGGTTTCGTGTTTTTCAATCCCCCAAAGGCCGATGTGAATTCGATGTTTGCTGTCGAGTCTCCCTCACCATCCACCAAGCTTAGAATCGAATTGTCTGCATTGCTACCGGACGGCGGCATAGGACACGGTGTGCCTGAGACGTGTCGTGGCATCGTGGCTGATATTAATTTGCATCCCCCGATTTAGAATTCCACCGTCAATTTTATTACTTCGGTTACCACCACGTCGAAAGTCTTTTCAGCACTTAGGTACGCGGGCATTTGAATTAAACGCGTCTCACGGAGCAAGTTTGAGATGGAAAGACGAGTCGAGGCCAAAAGTGACCAAAAAGTGGTTGCGAGGGGCAACGACGAGGCCACCACTATTTATGCCCTGAATACGAAACCACCACAGTCTCAGAGGAGTCGATTATTACTTGCATACCATACGGCAATCACCAGATAATTGACTTGGATCTCTAAGAAATATCGAATTCTCAAAGAGACAAGGCCTCACCCAATGGGACTAACAAAACACACACTCATACAAGGTCCCTACGCCAACGCTATGCCATGGTATACATAATTTCACCAAACAACCCGCCGAAACTCGTCTCGTTCAATATCTCGGAGCGAAGAAATCGAAAATAATGCTACAATTCGTCTCTGGTAGGAAAATGAATCTCCCATGACCGAGGTGGCACTGGCAATCCAAGCCAATAATTCCACAGTCTGTTCATCTCCATGACAAAAATGGCGCCCATCTTGAACGGCATGTCAACCCAACTTTTCAGTACCATCTTATATGCACGCCAAACGAGATCAAGCTCAGTCCAGAAGGCTTCGGAAAGTGACTCGCCTGGTCTAGATGCGGGTTCGGGGCTGTAGGGATCATCGTCGAGATCGCCAAAGTCATCAAAGTCTGGTCTTACATTTCCACCAGGCTTCCTATCTTCTTCTTTAGAGGAGACTGGCAACGGGCCCTGGGTATTGAGTACACTGTAGTCGCCGGTGTTGACAGCCATTCGGAACTTCTGAATGGCATCGAGACTGTGGCTGACCCTTCCCAGCGTATTGACCAGAGCCACCAGCTCGGTTCGTCGAAGATGCGGATTTTCACCATTCTTGTTTTCGTCATACTCGAACAGGATCTTTAGGGCGGCACCGTAGCCTGCAGTTTGCACCTTTCCCCAAAGACGGCACTTGTCGCATCCCACGCAGTCCATTAGTCTGGACACATTGCGGAATTTGTTCCTAAAGTCCTCCTTGAGATCGATGACGGCAGGATCTTGAAACATGACAGATTCATCAAAGGTATGCGGGCCAGCTGCGGCCTGGCCAGCCAGGGCCAGCACTTTCTGTTTCGTTTCCAGATCAATCTCGGGATCTCCTGAGCAAAACGTATACGATTCGAGATGCTTCCTAGCTTTTGCTAATGCTCTTGTCAAGATGGCATAGTTGAAATACACATTCGAAATGCGCTCAGGATACTTGTGTAGTCTTTCCTTGTAGCACTCCACATTGTGGCCCCATTGACCGGTGGACTGGTTGAAGAACTCCCAGCATAAATGGGTGGATATTGAAGCGTGCATGCCGCTCACTATGCGGTAAAAGGCTCGTTGTTCGAGACATTCATCATCCAGTGGGTAAAGGTCATCACCATCGTCCACGTGTTGTCGTCCATACTCTTGAAAAACATTCTTCAAATTCTGGGCAGCTTTGAGAGGTTTCGAGTTAGAGGAAATATCGCGGAGTGGCTTTGCCGAAAAGCAATTCTCCTTGTAAATTGCGTCCCAGACCTGGCGGGCTCCCATGCCGGAGTAGCCTGTATATCTTTCTGTGTTGTTGACGAGACTGACATAGTCGCCCCGTGAGGTTGTGCCCTCATCTTCAGGTACACAGTAATCTCTGTCATCACATTCGTCATCATCTTCCAGGACACAACTTTCGTCCACGTTCTCTCCCAGTTGGTATTGCAGAGGTCTGTCCTTTGGTCTCTCCCTTTGTTGGGCCCGTCCGGGGTGCTTTGCCCTGGCGCCCTCGAGTTTGCTGAGTTCTTCCGCCCGCCATATCAGAGGGATGTCACTCTCGTCTTCGATTGTGTCGACCGCGCATGCACGGTTTCCACACATGGAATTTTCATCGCTCCAGAAGGGACAGACTTTGTTGTACAAATTAAGTCTATAGTAGGCAAAGAAGTCGGTCTTTTGGGTCAGGTCTTCGAGCGAGGGGTATAACTGGGCGTTGAGCCTTTCTAGGTCTGAATAGGAAGTGCAAGCGTCTGTAACGATCGAATTCGGGTCTATTGCGCACTGAGGTTCTGCTCGAGCGCAGTGTGGTCGGAGGAGAAGGTAGAAGGTCAGGAAGAACTGGGAAGCGCTTTGAAATCGCATGACGGTGGTGTTGCGCACATGTGGCGAAGGGATAAGTTAACAGGAAATGAAGAAGAGAAAGTAAATCATCTATGTACAAACTGAAGCAAAAGATTTAGTTGTACAGTGATAAGTTGGAATGAAGGCGAGTCGAGAACAATCTGGCCTCAAGGCAAAAATGCATTCATTATTTGGCCGCATGAATTCATCCGTCGACGGTCCGTAAGATGGAAATAATTATAATTATTAAACATCCGTCATCGGTAAAAACAAAGGGGTTTATCATCTGCCTCTTTTGACTGCTCAGGCCACTCACTCCATTTTCTCTCTAAAGACAATCTCTAGAACATCCTTGAGCATCAAACCTGTCCTCGTTCTCTAGATGGCCAGAATCTACGCTACCATGTCATGCGTATAACACACCGGGCATCAACTTCTTCCTTAGCTGCGCCCACTTCACAATCTGGATAAACACCTATCTGCGCCGCATTTGTCTCATATCAATCGACCACCAAATGCTTTCTCTTCCTCACGATGGCAAACATGTTATGTGCCTCGGCCTTGGCCATCCTGGTTGTCGGCTTCTATCGTAATCACGAGGCGCATGATACTGCCATAGTCGCATCGTGTACGGGTTATAGTCCCAGTACCACGACTGGATCCATGTCTTGCTCTTTTGAGCGCATTCTTTCTCGGCTACTCCGTTGAACAAATCCTCGAGATCACGTTCAGGGGGGTCGTTGATGTTAAAGTCGGCATTCTGGGTACCAAGACTAAAATGAGCGTCCTCTGACGCTTCTCTTTTGTCCAAGTCTCGACCTCCCAGCGACCGCCATATTTCTACTTCGATTTGGATACACTCTCTTTTGTCCTGTCGCTGTACTCCCACCCGGACTCGCAAGTCAGTGGCGCAATGTCCGCAACTCAACAAGTGATGGCAGTATGAGTCTGAACGCGCCTGATATGCATCCAAAAGTACTGCTGGTAGCGTTTGCGGAGTGTGTGCGCAGCCGATATACCTGAACCGATCGATTGAAGGTAAAAGGCCCTTGGGGATGACTCCTTTGGGACTTTCGGTGAGCACGCGCGTCTCATGCAACTCAGTTGACAAAATAACAGACGTCTTGTGGACACTATGAAGTAAAAGCTTCCCCTTGACAACCCGCGCATCAAGACTTCTACTCATAAAGATGCCCCTTTTCTCGTCGTAAGGGAATGTAGCATCACCGAGGATGCACTTGTGACTTAGTTCATCGAGCTGTGGACCATATCGCGGACCTTTCACGAACCCCCTCACGAACTCATCCACCATATTTCGATTGATGAACAACAAATGACTGGAACACCGAGATACTGTACTCCTGGCTGACGTATGACTAAGATAACTGAGACAGAAGCTTGCTATCCGAGGGTGCCGGCGGTATAGGGTGTTGCAAATACTGCATAGCATCTGCTCGGGTAAGTCATCCTCGAGGAGTTGAAGAAACCGTCTTTTTTCCGTCCGGTTGTTGCGCCATTTTGGATCGAACTGGTCAGAGAGAACTTGATGGTACCATTTTGAGGTCAGGCTCAAGCATGCGATAGAGCTTGTCGGCAAGAAGGAGGCAATGTGCAGGAGAATCTCCACCGGCAATTTGTCCAGGGTTGAGATCTGTTGGTCGTGGAATAGGAAGGGTGAGTCTTTCCATCGCAATAGCATTTGGATTTTAGGGAAGCAAATTCTGCGCATGGTGCTGACCATATGGCCAAAGGCCCTCAGTAATGTTGCCATCACGGTGGGAATTAGTCATAAGCAGATGAGCACAAGGCAGGCCAAGTGTGTCTTTTATATCTGTCCCATCGCTAATGCTAATGGGAGCTGCGGAATCATGCCTTGGTACCAACAGGTCCTCACGATAGCTACGGAGCAGATACTTCAGGCGTCAGTTGTGTCTCAAAGACTAAGCTCCTTATCCAAATATTTAATATGAGCATATTTACACCCCAGAATAATCTGAAAGCGTAGTCGCCTTGTGATCTGTGTGTTGCCCTGTCTTGTCACGATTGTATTGTATTCTGTATTTATAGCAGATAAGACCAGGTATACTCCGTATCAAAAGAGTACTCCGTACTTGGAATGAGGCCGATCAGATCGGTTCGTTTAATTGTAGATTTTTAGATAATACCCCATACATACGGAGTTACCTAGATTAAGCCATCTACTCCGCCTTGCCCCTTTTTGTAGGCACTATTTATTAGCCCCTGTTAGCCCCAACTTCGCTTACCTACATACTCCGTGCCTAGATGCCTACCTACGATAATAGGTAGTAAATAGGCGGCTCCTAACAGGTTGAGGTTGCCTGTGCGCCCAGTGTTTCTTTTCCTCCACCCCCCCTACTCGTACCGAGTTGAATCCTCAACCTCATTGCACGCCGACAGGGTGGAATGGCATCTGTATGGACAACCAGTTCTACAATGCTGCAGGCAAGTGTCGGGTCTTGAACGCTGCCAGATGGCAGACTTTGGGTCGAACGCCACTCGTACTCTTTACTCTGCTCAACAAAAAATCTCGAGACTGGATTTATTCCGCTCAAGCGATGTCGCTCTCGAACTCCAAACACCATCTCATTCTGGAGACAAGTGCTTAGGAACTTCAACGTCCGTTGGATCTAGACCAAATCCTGTACTCTCAGCCTGGAGTTCACCCTCAAAACCGTCGTCGATGGCGGACACTTCTTCGCATGCATCGTTCTCATCGCTCCCCTCCGAGATCCTCCATCAAATCCTCAACCACCTGACCATTGCCAGCATTTTGAGGTTCGGGAGAACGTCCAAGAAGCACCATTCGGCCTCGGCCCTCGCTTTACAAGAACTCGAACTGGCTGTCCTACCTAAACGTGTTCACGGCGTCTTGGCCTTCCTCCACAGCGCCGACGTCAACGACCCGAGCTACGCTTCCGGCTTCGAGGGCCAGGACTCGCTCGGTCGGAACCAGATCATCATCACGTCTCATATCCCCATCCCGGTGATGCGGCACAACAGGCACGAAATCCGGGGACCAACTCCCGCCCAGTACCGAGACGAACTGATCCAGTTGCAGAACGCTCTGGCGTATTCCGCCCTCGTCTCGTCCGCGCTGGTCAATCTGCAATCGTTGACGTTGCACATGTACGACCTCGTATCGGCCCCCTTGACGGATCTCCTGGCCACTCGATTTCTCAAGCTCCGCCATCTCCATCTGAACTTTAAACACCACTACCTCCACGACACATGTCTCCCGGCGGGGTACTGGGAGTACTCGGTCTTGTTGCGTGGGCATCCGGCGTGGAATGCGCTGGCCGGTCTGGGCCAGAGACACGAGTCAAAGCTGAAACTCCACAAGTTGGAGAGCCTAAGTCTCGAGAGAGCTGGCATCACCGACGCACAATTGAAAAAATGGATCGTGCAGAATCCAGGATTGAGAGACTTGAAGCTGGTCAACTGTCTCGGTGCGAATTCCTTGTTCGTCCAATGGCTAGGCGAGTACTACAGCGATGACGCCGACAGGAGTCCTCGTCCGACAACAAAATTGAAACACTTGGCCATCGAAGAGTGTTCGTATCTATCCTTTGGCACTGCGGAAGCATACAGTTGGCTAGATCCGCTGTTAGTCCCCAGCGTCGGTGCACAAAACGCCAAAGATACACTTAACAACGACAGCGACTCCTCCTGCGCCGCCGCGCCACCCTTGAAAACATTCTCGCTGCGCAAATGCCCGTCCATCTCGACATTCGCATTGCTGGAATATCTCAACGAGAAACGCCCGCCACTTGATCGGATCGGCCTACCCAATGGACGCGTCCTAGTTCGAGACACCGTCTCCAGGCCTTCAGAGTACCCGCCCCTCGAAAGCTGGCCTGCCTCAATGACATTAAACACCATCAAGACCACCATCGATACTATGGAACCATACTCCTCAACTGGCCCCATGTTTTCGTACTTTCGCGAAAGCTTGTCCGAGTACAAAGAGGTTGGCGGACACTGTTACGAAGGACCAATCCATATAGAACACATCGAGCCCGATCCTACGCTGTGAACCCTCACAATTTACATTTGGACACATCTGATCCTGTACTCGCATACGATGACCTTCATTTGCGAAAGCTGACTACTCTTGAATGGTTTCTTATTGAGCTACTCGAGGTGCGCCAATTGCACAATGCTGACGCCAATTTACACCTCGACAACAAGTTTTTCCAGACTCACACCACCCATCAATTCATCTAGACCTTTGTTCAGAGACTCCAATCCCTTGCCCACAATTCTCGCTTTTGGGCCAGGGATGAACTCGCCACTGAGCAGACGAGGCGCGAGCCATCCTTGGAAAGTCGCCTTGTATTGTTTGTCTCTGGCGTCTGCGTCGCTTGGGTTGATGACAAACTTGAGATCGACACCTTTTGCTTGAGGCGTGTTTTCGAGCAAAGGACCGACGGCCGATGCGATGCTGCCACCGCCCGAAGCGCTCACGATGTCCAAGAGGGGCTGGACATCTGAACCACCCCGGTCACCGGCGGCGCGGTAAATCGTATTGAGTTTGACGTCGTCCTTTTTCGCGGCGGCGAGAAGTTTCGACACCACATCGGCGTCCTTGTAATCAAACACCTCCTTCGCCCCGATTGACTTGACATAGTCGAAGTTCTTGGCGCTGGCGGTCGCGTACACCGTGAAGCCCATGGCTTTGGCACTCTGGACAGCACATACGCCCACGCTCGACGCGGCACCCCATACCACGACACCCTTTTTGTCGGCTGGGTTGAAATGGGTGGTTGTGTTGAGACCGATGATATGCCAGCCACTCCAGGCCGTACCGACGCCCATCTGTTAAAGGTGCGTTAGCGACTCAGTGTTCGGTTCGCGGGAAAAAGGTGCAACTTACAGGAAGGGTGGCTGCGTCAATGAAACTCAAAGAGTCTGGGATAGTACAAGCCGCTTCGTATTGAACGAGGACTTTGGCCTGGTAGGACGAATAGTCGTTGGCGTTGGCCTCGCCTCGACGGTAGAAGGCGGATGCGAATGCCAGCACGCGCCCGCCCACCTTGAAGGGTCCGGGAACCGAAGAGCCAACGGCTTCGATTGTTCCTGCGATGTCGGATCCCAGGATTGCCGGGTACGTGGTAAGGAAAAGGCCCATGGCCCGTTGGTAACAGTCGACCGGGTTCAGGGCAATGGCAGACACCGAGATCAAGAGGTCCTTGGGTCCTGGCTTGGGGGTCGCACGGTCTTCAACAACCAAAGGAGATCCAGCCGAATGGAGAAGGGCCGCCTTGTGTGTAGACATGGTTGTGAGACGTATTCTTGATCAACAAGATCAACAAGGCAGCTGGAGGAATAGAAGTAAGATGACTTGGACTAGTTTGGATCGAGGTGTACGAATGGAAGGAGAAGTCTTGAGTAGACAAGAAGAGAGGTAGAGGGACGTCTCTTTTATATTCGTCCATGCACACGTAGTACTCCTCCCTGATCCAAGCCTGTCGAGTACACTCGATGATGTCTGGCGTCGCAACACTCGAGCACGAAAGACGAGCCCATGCAGATCAGACCAATCATATGGTCGGATTTCGTGCATAAAATACGATTCCAGGTTAGCGTCAGGTCCAGCCTTGTTTGAAGAGTCGATAACTCCGTAGGTAGGACTCGAGACAGGGAAGGATTTGCGCACTCGTAACTCGTACATGTACGGGGTCCTTCCGTAAGCAAGTCTATCACTCCATCTTGAAGCTTTGTCAAGCAGATCAAACATCTTTGAGGCCCTCAGGATAACCTACCGCCGTAGCTTGTAGACGGTGATAATTTCGTCCGTGTCACGTGGAATGCTGCTGGGAGAAAGTCTCCGGTGGTGATGGGGGCGGACAGATTTTGTCCCGACACCCAGATTGCCAGGTAGTAAATAGAAAGTGATTCCTTCTAGTTGAAGAAGAGAACCGGAACGAGGCTTCAGAACTGGGAATGTACCATCATAACCAGTATGGAGTGACACGGTGAAAGAATCCGAAGCCCCTTACGCAGTACCCGAGATAACGATAAGGACCGGTTCTATGCACGTGACCTGAATATGTCCAAGTGCCGCCGGGTAAACTCCGCATCTACAATTCAAAGGCCAAACTTTTTCTTTTATTCGAATTCCAATTCTCCCTACAGACAGTCATAGACTTTTGAACTCGCCAAACCTCTTGACCCTCCCGTTCACTTGTTTGTCTTTCTTCTTTTTACTCATAGAACAAGTCCGTTCGCTGTCCAGGCGACAACCACCACCGTCACCATGCCTCAAAATGAGTACATGGAAAGGTTTCAAAAACTGCACGGCAAACGTCTCGACCACGACGAACGAGTCCGCAAGAGACAAGCGAGAGAAGGGCACGCACAATCGGAAAAGGCACAGAATCTCCGTGGGCTGAGGGCCAAACTGCACCAGAAACAACGCCATGCCGAAAAGATCCAGATGAAGAAGGCCATCAAGGCCCAGGAAGAAAAGGACGTCAAATCCGCCACTCCCAGCGAACCTTCCTCTACCCCGTTGCCCAATTACCTGCTCGACAGATCCCAAGCCAACAATGCCAAAGCCCTGTCGAGTGCGATCAAGAATAAAAGAAATGAAAAGGCCGCGAAATTTTCAGTTCCCTTGCCCAAAGTGAAAGGTATCAGCGAGGAAGAAATGTTTAAAGTCGTCAAGACGGGAAAAAAGACTGCCAAAAAGAGTTGGAAGAGAATGATCACACAACCTACGTTCGTGGGACCGGATTTCACACGGAGACCCGTCAAGTACGAGCGATTTATCAGGCCCATGGGTTTGAGGTACAAAAAAGCAAACGTCACGCACCCGGAACTGGGAGTGACGGTGCAGTTGCCCATCATATCCGTCAAGAAAAATCCTCAGAACCCGTTATACACTCAGTTGGGTGTCTTGACGAAAGGAACTGTCATTGGTAAGTTTTTGACGCATGCATCTTTCTCTTTAGGAGTGATTGGCTAACAACGAAATAGAAGTCAATGTATCCGAATTGGGTCTCGTCACTACAGGTGGAAAGGTTGTTTGGGGCAAATACGCTCAAGTCACAAACGACCCAAGTAGAGATGGATGTCTGAACGCAGTACTATTGGTTTGAAGTGGGACACACCGACGAACACACCCATACAGCACTTTGCTTTCACAATATCCAAACTCGTCAAGAGATATCCAACAATCATCACTATTCACGAATTTCTTTTGTGGGCGACGGACGAAAAAGCATACTTGCATACTTGCATACGTGAACAACTACAACTCTTCTGCAAAGATGGCATGGTCACTATACCCCATCGCCTTGACTGCAATCTTTGCACTCTGCAAAACTCTGTCTTTTAAACTCAATGTCTGGCCAGGTTTTTCGACTGTTTGGTGATCGCATTATCAAGCACCCATCAGCATGAATTTTTTTAGAGAAGGGAGAAGAGAGAGACAGAAGGACGATGCGGATAAACAAACTCACAAACATTGGTCATCTTGGCGAAAACACCATACGTCGCCTTGAACTCGAACGGCTTGAGAGCTTTCCAAATCTGCATCACCGTGTCTGGTGGCAATGGGATGAAATTCGGGATACTCCACAAGAATTGATAGGATATCGTGTCATTTCTCTTGCCGGGGTCCGGATTATGTCCCGAAGCCACGGCGAAAATTGTGTCCGCGACAAACAATGTCGGGATGGGAGTGTTTGGTGGCGCAGAATGCAAGACCATACTCCCTGGAAAATGACCCCCGCATATCACCGCCGTGAGACCTGGGAGGAGTTCCGTCGCGGGCTCTTTGAGGAATTTGAGTGTTGCGGTCGGACAATCTTTGCGGTTCATCCAGACCGAGTCAACTTCGGGAATATACACTGGACATTGAAAAGTAGTGGACCAATCTGCCCATGTTCTGGAACAACAACAATATCCATGTCAGATGTACTGGCGAAATTATGATGACTCGAACAGGGATAAGACGACAGGAACAATGGAATGCCAGAGTGTCGATGATGGTGCAGGTACTGATACTGGTTGGTACTGGGAAAGTGGTACCTACGTATAAAAATGTGGATGAGAAATGACTATGAATTTTAATCCTCCTAATTCTGTGATCTAGTACAGTTCATGAACCGAGTCAGTAAATGTAAATGATGTAGATTTACGCGGGGAGAGAGAGAGAGTGTGTGTATATAGGTATGTGTCCTTTTACCTTGTCCACAGTCTCCTGATCAAGATAGGCGATGAGATCCCAAAGGACGTTTCCGTGCGGCGTACGTATGAGTCGAGCACCTTGACCTATACCGAACTAATGTGTAGATGAGACTCTGTGAGTAACAAGTCTGGATGGATCAAGGGGGATTGCTGGGAAGAGAAGGTAAAGTAGGTACGTACCTTGGGTTCCGTATGTATCTCAATCACCGTATCGTTTCGAGGGCATTTTTCAAACACATTCTTGTGCTGCTGATGGTTCTTGAGTTTCCCCAAGGTCGTGAAAGATTGTCCCGACGGTGGGATGAATTGACGTGGGTCCTTTGGACAAAACAAGAAGCGAGAGTATCAGCGCATCGACGTCGACGTCAAAGCAGACAAAACCACCATCGGTACGGTAAACTTTTCCATGAGCACCGTTCAACCTACATCACATATCCTACACGTATCTTTCCCCTCGGGTTCGTCGACGTCGTATTGCGCACCGCATGTGACGCATACCAAGAGATCGTCACTCGTGATCAAGGTCGGAGTGGAGGTGGACATTTTTTTGTTTCGTGCAAAAAGATCGAACCTCAAAACAAGGGTCGATGGGATTTGTGTTTGGTCTGATGCTGTACATACCCAGAGTACGGTGAGAAAAGACACCTTGATGAGATGTTTAGATATACTCCCGTAGATGAGGAGTTGACGGATACGAGTACGAGAAGTCAAGAGTGGGGGGGGGGGGAATCAAATATCTACATACCTCACCTAATACCTTACCTTCAAGTACAAAAAGTCATCACGAGGACTTTTTGATATTCATGGTTATGATGAGCAGTTTGACTGCTATTCTACCTTCTTACACTTGATTTAAAACTTGACGACTTGACATCTTGTAACTTGTCATAAACTTGTTTTTGTCTCTTCTCTCTAACTTTTTTCAACCTGGTCTAATAATAGTACTGAGAAATGTGGTACAGTACACTGTTCAACTAACCCTGTCCCAAGTAAAAGTAAACAAGTCCGAAGCAACCAACGCCGTCTCTACCCTGTCTCTACTACATGTAAAGACTTGCGGTGAAAACCACGTCTCTTCGAATCAACTCCCTGGCTTTGTCCATCTTTTGATACAATGAAGGATCACCGATGAGTCTCGCGGCACTCATGACTTCTCTGCAAGTCTCGTCCAACCTCGTGACGACCCTGACAATCGTCCCCTCCATGACATCCGTGAGGTCGGTGATACGATTGAAGGACATTCCTCTCGCCCACTCGTACACAACCTCCACCAGACCGAATCTGGGGCGGGACTCGAAATCATTGGCGTCGTCCGACGACAAGATGACCTGATGTAAGATTTGGTACTTGTTGACCTTTTCCGCAATTTCGATGATCGCTTCTTTACCCCGTTTGAGGTTCTCGCTGAGTTGGGGTTCATTGTCAGTCTTTTCCTGAAACACAAAACACGACAAAAGGGCGACAATCTCTTCCGGTTCGAATCTAAACGAGCACAACAATCAGCACTATCCACAAATGAGCACGCAGGGGAGGGGTCACATACTGTGCCAATACGTTTTCCAAGATCAACTCGGTCAGAACCAATTCATCTGCGGAATGAATCTCACAAGCAACCTTGCCTTTCAATTGGACACGAGACTCTTCGTCAATGAAACCCAAATCTTTCAAGACTTCAGTTCGCTGTTGATAATCCGGCAGCAATGACAGGTTCTGATCAGACATCAACATTTTTAATGCTTCAATGTTCTCCTTGATCAGCCACTCGTCATGCTGCATGCCATAATGTTTCAAGAAATGAGGACAGTCAAGACATTGGGCGTCTTGCGCGATGGCCGCCACTTTGCTCCTCGCGGCAAGCAATTCTCGAATATGCAAATCGTGCACTTTATTCCACTCTTGTTCGTCCCAGACGCTCGTATCCCATGACGAATATGCCTCAACAAAATCTTCTTCAGCAAATTGTTTTTGCACTAGTTGTGAACTTAGTAACGACCTCAAATCGACCTGTAAGAAGAACAAGAGTGTTCCAAAATGTAAGCATTACCTTTCCTAACTTTCAAGTACCAGGGGGGTCCTCTAACCTTTACAAGCGTCTGGGTCACGCATTGCACGTCGTCCAACAAGACTTGGGTCACGCTTTGTTTCACTTTGGCCGGCTTGTCTGGCAATGGGGCATACATCCTGCGGAACCGCGGGAGGTAGGGTAATAAATCCTTCGTCGATCGCTGGGCATCGATCTCGGATACTTCCAGAACGTTGAGGTGAGGCACAGGGCCACCTCGTGGGCCATCGTCGAGCATAACACCCACTTTTCGAATACCGTCCTATGAGAAAACTAAAGTCAGCCGAACCCATAGGTCTCTCACGGAATTGATGATATTACCTTTTTGTACACGATCAATCTGCGGGCTTGCCAGAGCCGACGGCCAACCGGCGACGACAATAGATTGATGTGTAGTTCCTTCGTTAGTTGTTCAAACCTCATGGCTGCTGCATGACATGCTTCTAGGTCAATATCACAGATATCACAAGGCTCACGTTTGATCTTGTCAAGGTTTGCCTGAGACAGAGCCACCTGCTTCTCGTGTTGTGGCAGTAAGGCTTGAGTCGCATTCTCGGAGAAACTGCGTTTGATCATTTCTTCAATCTTCAGAGCCTCAACTCGCATCAGATTCAGTATCATGTTGTAATGCAGTCGAAATTGGCTGCGGAGTTTCGTCGCGGGCCCAGTGATCATTTGAGTCAGTTCACCTGCAGGAGGTGCCTCGGATTTGCCGGGACAGACGATGATGACCGTACCGACGGTGTCAAGGCCTCTGCGGCCGGCACGACCAGCCATCTGAGTGTATTCACCCGGAAGTAGGTTACGGAAATCACGTCCATCATGCTTACGGTAACCCGAGAAAACCACCGTTCGCGTGGGGAGATTCAAGCCCATTGCAAATGTCTCCGTGGCGAACAAGACTTTCACCAACGTCCTCGCAAACAATATCTCGACGATCTCCTTGACAATCGGTAAAAGGCCGCCGTGATGCACCGCGACGCCACGTCCAAGCATTTCTCGTAATCGTCTAATCTGAGGTAAAACCCGATCTTCCGGCTTTAATCGCGCAATCGATTTTTCAATGATCATGTGAATGGCACTTTTTTCGGTGGCTGTACAAAAGTCTTGGTTTGAGAGAGAGTCGGCATTCTCCTCGCATCGCTTCTTGGAGAACACGAAGATACAGGCGGGTAGAAGATTCTCCTTTTTCAGATGTTGTACAAGATGGACCCAGAGATTCCGGTCTTGTGCCGCAGTCGTTCTGCCACCACCTCTTCCTGTGCGCGCAATATTTCCGTGACCACGACTTGCAACTTGTCCTCGCTGTTGTGAGCCACCTCTTTGATTCTGACTTCCTCGCTGCTTTGATCCGCCACGTTGAGGTCCACCACGTGCTTGTTGACCACGGCCACCTCTTTGAGGAGCACCTCGGGATGGAGTTTGCGCTTCGATGGCCTTTTGCTCTCTCACCTTGTCGAGTCCAGACATGATGTCGTTCGCTGCTTTCCAGCCTTTCTGCAGGAATCTCTTTTCCGAGTCGACTATCTTGTGCATCTCCTTGCCAGCCCACAAATAGTGCTCAAGAGGAACAGGTCTCTTGGGGGTTGAGATGACATAGATATTCTTCTTTTTGGTTCGACCTACCCAAGAAGCAAACTCGTAGGTATTAGGAACAGTAGCCGATAGAAGAATGAGAGTGACATGTTCCGGAAGCATGATGATGACTTCTTCCCACACAACACCACGTTCAAGGTCGTTGACATAATGTACTTCATCGAATATGACAAATTCGACGTCGCGGATGAGATCGGCTCCACGGTACAGCATGCTTCGAAGAATTTCAGTTGTCATAATCAGACAACTAGCCTCAGGATTGATCTGGACATCGCCAGTCAATATCCCCACGTCATCAAATACTGTCTTGAAATCGCGAAACTTTTGGTTGGAAAGTGCCTTTATTGGAGACGTGTAGATGGCCTTTGTCATGTGTTTTGCGGCCAATGCAATAGCATACTCTGCAACCACCGTCTTTCCAGCTGAAGTGTGTGCAGCCACGAATACTGAGTCTCCATTTTCGAGGTGGTACACAGCTTCTTTTTGAAAAGTGTCCAGCTCGAAAGGCCATGTCCGAGCCATATCAGGCACAAGCTCGTGGAAGTTGGGGATATCCTTGTTGATATCAACCACATGAGCCCATTCTCGTCCTGTTTTCTTCGTTGATGCTGCCATCAATTCACTGTGTGGTTCAAGAGAAGGAAATTCGACTGGTAACAAGTCGTTGAGGTCGGTGTCCTGATCATCATCCTCATCGTCATCCTCCTCGGTTTCTGAGGGGCCATTCGTGAGTGGTGGCGTGGCTTCTCCATTTGCAAGTCGGTCTTGTGTGCCGAACACGTCACTATCGTCCTCTTCCAATGTCTTTTCAACATCCTGATCGTCTTCTTGGGCCTCTTTTGTTTTCTGGTCTGCAAATTTCATACCACGAGTTAAACCTGGTGGGATCTCCAAGAGACCATTTTTGCCCCCAAAGCTGATAATCTGATCAAGGCCACGCTTCTTTTTGATCGTTCGGTTCTGCTCCTCTAATAGGTTCTTGTCCTCGTAAGCTTGGATGGCATCAACTCCATCAAGACCACCTGGTGCAAATGGAAAGAATCCGGCAGCTCCTCGCACAAAATCGGCTCGATTGGCTGGTCTTCGAAGAAGCGAAGTGGAGTTCTTTGCTGTCGCACTTGAAGCTGGTACAGTGACCTCTTTATAGCCTGTCACTTTGCCTTCAAGTCCCTCACGCGTAAACCGAGTGATGGTTCTTGTTTGTGTTGGAGCCAATTGGCAAAGCTCGGTGTAATTTGGTGTCTGATAATCCCATCTCTGTTGTAGTTTGTTGAGCCACTCTGGATTGAAGGTTGTAGGTGGTGACAAGAATTCTTTCTCAAGATCGCTTTTGATCTGCCCAGGCGACCTCTGGGAGGATCGGACTCCTACCATCGTGAACTTCGGGGACTGCCTATGCCCTAGTTCTCCTTGTCAGGACACCACAACTCGAGTGGCGATGCTTGAGATGATTTTCTTAAAGAAAAATGATGTAATAGAGGAAGAACAATGTCGACATCGATGGAGGAAGCGAGCATGAATGCCAAGCGCGGAATCAATAGTTAAAGCAGCGTAAGGCTGCGATTCTTAGATACGTACAATTCAATGTCTCGCTTCTTGATGAAAGTGAAAAATCCCATTGTGCTATATCACTGTCTTAAAACAAGCTTGGTGAGACAATTAGCACAAAAGTCGCGGTATCAAAGGTGTGCGACCACCACTGCTGGGGCACACGATCCTTACACTGGACAAACAAGTCTCCACAAACATACAACCCCTCGCTCGATTGTCGAAGTGTTGGTATGGTGACCACAAAAAGGCTTGAGACAATCAGAGACATATAAATCGTCTCAAAGCACGCGACAATTTGGCGAAGGATTCAGAAAAACTGAGACTGTCAGGCTTCCATTGTCAACAAGGGTGGTCAAAGCGGCGGAATTTTGGCGACGTCCAACACCCGTGTCAACTTGGCTTCATCGAGCGTTGACGTGACCTCTTCTTGTTCTTCAGCGAGGACACGGTGATACATATCGAGATTCCAGTCAAGCACCATATTGCTGAAAATGCAATCGCCCCCAAGACGATCTTGTCGAAAAATGCAAACCTTTGGTCCGATCACTGCCCAGATGCAATGATCTAACCGTCTGGCTTGTATATACTCCCTTACTCTTCCGACTCTGGACACAGCGATCTTGGATATCTTCTCTGGATATACCAGAAATTCAGCCTCGCCCGAAATGAAGCCTGCAGCACCTAACAAGGAATCCTTCGTTCTTCCAAAGTTGAAGTACAAATACAAATCCCCAGTTGAGAACGATCGCTTCATTTTCTACGACGTCAAATTCTATCCGTATTCGACCGCGACGGAAGAGGAACCCATATTTGCGGTCTTGCAACAGAAAGGAGTCATTATTTATCGAATATCGTCAGACCCTTCCCAATTTCTTACAACGCTACAAAATGTGGTGGATCAGCAGGAGTTGGAGGACAAGAGCTCTCCCGGTTTGAACTCTTGCTCTTGGTGCTACATCGACCCACAGAAACCTTTGCTCGCGGTCGCAGGCGGTACAGGTCAATTGAAAATCATGGATGTTCTCGAAGGTGACCTTTTTACAACGTTGGTGGGCCACGGTTATGGTGTTATTAACGACATTGCTACTCACCCACTTTACCCCTGGATCGTGGTCACCGCTTCGATGGATAAGAGCCTTCGAATATGGGACCTACGACGTTATGCGAGTCCTCACGAGTCCCCCACCATAATCATCTGCGGTCAAGCAACAGGGCACTGCGAAGGTGTTTTGACTGTATCATGGCATGCAAGTGGCCGTTACTTGGTCTCTGGGGGTCACGATCAACGAATATGTGTGTGGGCTATGCCGGACTTATCTGACGGCTCATCCTTTTGGCAGGAAGTATCACCAGAGTACAGGAAACGAAGTTCTAACGAAGTTTACTGCATTCATTATCCTCATTTCACCAGCTCAGCAGTTCACTCTAATTTCGTGGACTGTGCAAGATTCTACGGCGATTTGATAATTTCGAAAGCTGCCAATGAGAATAAGATAGTACTTTGGAAAATGACAGCCTTTGATTCCAGTCAGCCTCCTCCAAGCTCTGTGACGGCGCCAAAGATCGAAGATTATCTGGACACCCGCAATGGTTTCATGCGCAAAGTCATACGACGCGAGAACGGGCTCGTTGATGTGGAGGTAGCGGAAGAGTACGAGGACGAACCACCCTATGAGAGACTACTCGAGTTTGAGACTCCCTGGGTCGAACAATTCTATCTCCGATTTGGCCTTCTATTACCCTCTGTTGCACATCCGGAGGTGCATCCTGTCCTGGCCTTTGCGAATGCGGCATCAGAGCTACGATTCTGGGATCTTGAGCGTTTCTCGCTAGGTCACGCTGGGGGACTGGATGTGGCCAAGGCCCCAAAGCCCAAAAAGAAGCACAAGGGTGTGGCACAGCTTATTCGACCACAGGATCGTTTGAGTCGTGCAGCTGCCGCATCTCAGAATTCCAACAAGGATTCATCACCAGCCTCGATGAGTTCAAATCCGAGCTCGATGGCTGGGCCAGGGCAAACCTCAACGGATGCCACCAGCGAATTCTCGGAAGCGACCGCATCATTGTTCACTCCCCGGGATCACGAGCGATATCCCATCCACGATGCCCACATAACGATGAAGCCCCACGCTAGAGTGTCTCTGACAGAATTGCAGTTTAAGAACCAAGCCCATTTCAACGCCAGAGCCGCCGACTGGAGCCCCTGTGGGAAATGGTGTGTTGTCGTTGGGGAATCAGCAAAGGTGACTGCGCAGGGAATGGAAGGGTATGGAGGATTTGCTGTCCTCCATCGATGAGACCTGGAAAAGTTGGAAATGACGATGAGGCTGGCGGCATGAGGAGCCGAGATTATTTAAATAGAGCCTGGTAGGGACGCCAATCAACGCCCATTGGCGGTACCTTGCAGATATTGTTATGCCGCTGTGGGGAGCCAATTCTACAAGTAGGCGACGCCCCCAGCCTGATAAACAATGAATAAACCCCCGATTAGGGGTCCCTGTTTATACCGAAATGCATGTTTGTTTTCGCATTCCCGAGTCTCGACTATTCACGCGACACAAACACTCTCCATTCTACTCTCAAAAATACTATTGCGCACCTGAGTAGGATGAGAGGCTCGATGCCTTGTCTCCGGCACAATCTTCCACCATGAATACCACCAACCCCGGACAGACCACTGCGCAGCCACAGAAATTCCTGCGCTATAGATCAGTGCGCAAAGCGGCTTCGAGAGATCTTGAGGCGACAACCACTTCTCCTCCGCCGCCTGTGCCAAACAGCTCACAGACTTGTTTGACGCGACTGCCGTCGAGATACCACCGCAGAGCGAAGCTGGCTGAGGAAGATCCTCCCTTACTATCTCCAGCGCAAGATGTTGCGCAACAGTCCAGTCCAATCCATATCGCAGAACCCGCACAACATGTGCCGACAAGCCCTCCTCAGGATGAGGTAGGCCACAAACACAAGCCCAATGGTGGCCGCAGAATGGTCATAGGCCACGGACAAAAGCCAGGCGACGATGGTGAGAGATTGGAAACCCTACCTACGAAGCCAGAGCCAGGCATACAGAGGACTTCACCTGAACCTTTACGAAGATCGTTAGAGATTGCACGAGAAGAAGCCCGGTTGACCCTCGAAGGAGACTTTGGTCGCTTAAAAGCGTTGAAGCAAGAGGAAGCTCGGCGACGACACGATGCACGAGAGCAGCGTCGCGAGAGAGCAAAGATCGAAGCAAGACAACAATCCCTTGGGGCGGTCTCGCTGTCAGATGTTCGAGATGTCCAGCCCACAAGGCCAGCGAGATACGGCGAGGTAGATAAGCAGAATTACCAAGAACCTCCAAAGTCCAAGTCACGGACGATGGTCATTGGAGGAAGCAATGGATCGCACCAGGACCAGCAGCACAAACGTTCTTCGTCGGCGGTGCATAGACAGCACACCGTGCGCGAGACTCATACCAGGTCAAGGAGCACCGGGAAGGAGAGTGAGGGTCGCACTCCTCTATCACCAACAGCAGCACCACAATTCGATGCTCCTATATCTGCGGTCAACGCCGGTGAGCGAAAGGTCAAGGTGCTATGCAAAGAGTCGGTCATTACTTTGCCCATCACACCGACCACCACGTGCAGAGAAATCCTTCGATCTGTAGCACAACTCTTGACAGAGCCCATCGATGCCCGAACAGCAGTATTGCTGGAGTCATTCTCTCAATTAGGTTTGGAAAGACCATTGCGCCGATATGAACGCGTTCGAGATGTTATGAACTCGTGGGATCATGATGATCAGCATCATCTGTTCATCATGGCCCAGTCTGAGTGTGCTGCGGCAGGGGTCGACGATAGAGATGCACCCAGGCAACAACCTACTGGTGTAAATGTCCAGATGTACCACTCTTGCCGACCAGGGAAATGGGATAAACGGTGGTTGAAACTGAGAGAAGATGGCCAAATCACATCCTCCAAGCACGAGCACGGTCTTGATGGTACGAAAATCTGTCATCTATCCGACTTCGACCTGTACACACCGGCATCGCAACAGCTTAAGAAGCTGAAGCCACCAAAAAAGATGTGTTTTGCATTGAAGAGCCAAGAAAAATCATCCATGTTTCTCGAAGGCGCCAATTTTGTGCATTTCTTCAGCACGAAGGACAAGGATGTCGCTGGAAAATGGTATAGAGAAGTTCAGTCCTGGCGAAGCTGGTACTTGTACAAGATGGTGGGTGAGAGTATGCAAAACCGGCCACAACTTGCGCGACCACTTACGGGGACAAGCTCTAAGGAGTCATTGCCACATTCAGCTGGATCGTCCAAGCCACTGCACGGTGTCGACTCCGGCAGGCCAAGTACCGACAGGGCAGCTAGACATGAGGGTGCACATCACCGCCGACTTTCCCAAAGTGATGGACCTCGGCCACTTCTTGATTTTAGCCAAGAAAGACCCAGCGTCGATGGAAGGTCGGGAAGTCCACGGCACTCGAAAAATCAGGGTCCTCCTCCCAGCGCCTACCCACGCAAGTTCACAATCGACTCTTCGAGTGGTAGTACTTCTGAAGAGAGCCCATTCTCGGGGAATGGCTTGATTGCCCGTAGTGCCAGCCGAAAGTCGTTGGGTAGAAATCGAGGAGGCGGCAGTGGAGCTGACGGGAAGCCACTGGTTGATATTGCTCCTACCAGCGAGTTCACAGATGGCAGTTTGCTGAGGAAAATGGAAGCCATCGCTGCTCAACAGGGTAAAACGGGACCTAAGATCTTCCGGCAACAAGGAAGGGAGATCAGTGTATCAGTAGGAGAAGGATTGGATTGAGATTTCGGGGCTATGAGAGATGATGAGCTACGACATGATCACGATTCGACGAAAGTGCATTGATGGTGAAAGCAAATGAGGGACATCGATACCTTGAATTGCTATGGACCCGGGTATAGTATGTAGCTGCAGCGATGACAATGAACAAATGGTATATCCGATGGACAAGAGCATCGAGTATCCCAGTCCCAGTTCACGGCTTCCTCAGCCTGATGAGTTGACTAGGAGATCGACACTAAGCCAATTAGAGGTGCTTGGCGGAAATGACATCAACTCACACGGCGGCGACCAGGTGACGGACATGGAGGGCACCACAAAGTGCACCTTGCCAACTCATACAGGTGACCTACTAGATACTGTACAGTACCTCTCTATCTCATCTTTCTCGGCCAATGTCTCACACGTTGTACAAGTTTATGATTCTCTTGTTCTCTCCATTCTGTTCTTCAGTCTTGACCAAGTCTCCCCAAGCGTACTGAGAACCCCTGCCCCGCGTCTGATTTGATTGTCTTTACCGCAACTTCTACTCCGTACTCCAACGCTTCCTATCTCCCTTTTGTAGGGACACACAGCCACCATGGCAGCCATGTCGTATTCCGCCGACCCTACCCTATACCTCTATACCTCCCTTACAGCCGGAAGTTCCCATATCATCACCGCAACCTCAAGACTGGAGACAATCCTCAAGGCCAACAAGATTCCCTTTAGAGCGCTAGACTGCGCAACAGACGAAAAGGCTCGTATGCTATGGGGTAGGAGATCAAAAGGCCGCAAACTCCCCGGACTCGTCAAGTTCGGTACGATCGTTGGTGTGAGTAGTGCCCACGCTTTTTCTCACAAGCCTACATACCTAGGCACCTAGCTCACACAAATGTTTCCCAGGACCTCGAGCAGATCGAAGAATGGAACGAATACGGCGAGCTCCAGGACCAAGTCGCCGGTTTCTCAGAATTCGGTGGCCCGGCACCCACCGCCGCCCCTGTCCCTACCCCTGCTCCTCCCACACTCGCTCCAGAACCAACGACCAAGAGTGCGGCTTCATCTGGACCCCCTTCACGCGCCTCCTCAGAGACACGTCACATCTCGATCGCGGAACCCAAAGCCAAAGACTCCACAGCTGCAGAAGGCGGGACCACAAAGCCAGGCGAGACACCTTTGAACATAGCCATGCGACAACTTGGTGCAGAGGCAGCTGCTAAAGCAGGCCAAAAGAAAGCCGCGGCACTACAAGCGGCCAAAGCACCCACCAAGATGCCAGACACGACAGAGCAGATCCCCGTGCCTGCCGCGACGAAACTGAGCGTAGACGCAGCCGCTGAGTCCCCAGAGACCGTGTCCGAAGTCACCGCCGCAAAGACACCGGCACAGCTCGCAGCAGAAGGTGCCAAGAGAACATCCGTGGACAAGATCGCCGAGTCCGAGGGGGCCACAACAAGCACCAGCAGCAGCGACAGCGAAGGACAGTCGACGGAAGCCCAGATTGTCGAGCAGAGACGGCAAAGCAGTATCACCAAGTTGAAGTCGCGACTGAGTGAATCGACACCCGCAGACCAAAGTGAGACTGTCCTTGTGGATTCGTCCCCGACGCCCAAGTCAGAGACAGCCGTTCCAAAGTCGGAAGTCAGCACCGACCCACCACCGGTGGACATGCCCAAACAACATCGTGGGAGTGACATAGGGGAAGCGAGTGTCGAAGAGATTAAAGAGATAGAGAAGAAGATGAGCATCCCTGAAACTACCGAGGAGAGTGATACATCTACAAACCCACCAGCGCCGGCAGAAGAACAAGAAGCAGCAGGAACAGAAGCAACGTCAACTTCTACAGATGAAGATAAAGAGAAGGTCGTGACGAGTACAGATGAAACAGAGGAGCAAGTTACAAAAGGAACGGACCCTCAAGACTCGAGCGCCAAAGACGCAGACAAGGCTGGTGTCAGTGTGGGTGAATAAGAGTATTTTGTATCGCTTGGGTGTGCTCCTACCGGTCAGTAGTCGTACTCGTCACCCTTTACTAGCATTCTACGTGGACACGGAATAATTATATCGATGTGATGGGCCCCTTTCTTTGGCGTGTGTAGTAGAGCAATTGAGCAGACGAGGACCTTGGGTACTCTATATTAAATCAGCATCGGTTGTTTTTGTCTCTATACTTTCATTACCCCATACTTGGTGCTCTGACCTGGCATCTCTTTACAGTATATCAATCACATGATTTTTGAGTAATTGTGTAATATTGATAGATATGGACGGGTAGATAGGTATTGGGCATACCTCACAATCCACCCCAACATAAGGTCCCTATACCTTATCTTTACCTTGCCTTCCCTTCCCTCCCATACGCCTGTAGACCATGTGACAAGCTCGACAAAGTGGTCCCGGGGTTGACATTTTTTTCCAAAAACCTCATACTGTCGACGCTTGACCTTGAAAGGTAAGTATAATCCTCCCGCGGGTAACAAAGATGACCCCGTTGATTTCTTTTTTCTTTCCTTCTTCTTCCGAACAAATGTACTCTGTTGGACTACTCTGTTTGATCAGTCTGTCGATTCTGATTTCTCGGGATGGATTTGAATCCGGAACCCCCTGTTGGTCGTTGTTCCGACACTTGTTCCGACCTTTTCAATCCTCGGTCTCATCCTACAACATTGCCCTGACGGCCCCGTCGCCCTTCCAGCCGGCTTCCTGGGCGACGATCTCCGCGCACCTCTCGCCGACCGCCAGCACGGTCAACATGGGGTTGATGGTCGGCATGGCGGGGAAGACACCGGCGTCGGCGATCCTCAACCCCCGGAGGCCCCTGACGTTCAGTCTCTCGTCCACGACCGCCATGGGGTCCCTCTGGACGTCACCCATCTTGGTCGTCCCCGCCGGGTGGTAGACGGTGTGGGCGACCCGCCTGGCGTACTCGCTCAGGTCCTCGTCGGTCTGCACCTTGAGGCCCGGCGCCACCTCACGCTTGATCCAGTCCTTGAAAGGGGCCTGCTGGGCGATCTTGCGGGCGGCCTTCAACCCGAAGACGAACGTGGCGGCGTCGTAACCCTCCGGGTCGGTGAAGTACCGGAAATCGAGGGCCGGTTTGACGGCCGGGTCGGACGAGGTGAGGTAGAGTTTCCCACGCGACCGGGGTCGGGGGATGTTGGGGGTCATGCAAAAGGCGTCGATCGGAGTGTCGTAGCCCAGCCTGGTCGTGTTGAGACAAAATGGGATCTGATAACAGTGCATCATGACGTCCGCGATGTCGGAATCTGGCAGGGCGTGTGGGTTTGTAGGGATGGGTTTGGCGCCGGCGGCGTCGGGAGCCTCGCGACGTAAAAAGATCCCCGCGTCCGAGTCCATGGTGGTCTGGTTCGGAGGGACTGGTCGATTCAGTTCCCAGATGATGATGGTTTCTGGGTGATCGAGCAGATTCTCACCCACCCCGGGGATGTCCTTCACCACGGGGATGTGCAGAGATTGGAGGTCCGAAGCAGGACCGAGACCGGACAGGAGCATGAGTCGGGGAGTGTCGACGGCACCGGCGCAGAGGATCGTTTCAGTTTTTGCGGTCAGGGTCAGACTGGTCCCAGATTGAAGAGTCAGGTCGATGCCGGTGACCTTGTCACCACCACTGACATTGATCCGAGAGACCCAAGCGTTGGTGAGGATCTTGAGGTTGGGCCGATTCTCCTCGCCTCGGAGGATGGGGTGGATGTACGCCACGCTGGCGGACGAACGTCGTCCGTCGTCCGGGTTGTAAGAGACGGAGAAAAACCCGACACACTCCTTGAGTGACCCGGTGCTGGAGATTTGTTTGTTGAAGTCGTGAACCACGGGAATGTCCATCGCCGTGCTGCAGGATTCGACCCAGTCTTTGCACAACTGATTGCGGTGTCGGGCGTGGACCGGTTGCACCGTGTTGCGGAGCTTGTTGAGCACTCGCATAAAGGTAGGGAACGTCCATCCTTTGGCTCCCATGGACTCCCAGATTTTGCAGTCGTACTCGAACGGCCGGAAGGAGATCAAGGTGTTGTGGCTGGAACAGCCACCCAGAACTTTGGCACGAGAATGTCGGATGTGCGAATTCCCTGGGGATATACATGTGAGTTACGATCTAGGTGGGAAGTATGTGCAAAAACAAACCCATGGGTTGCTCCGTGGTGCCATAGTCATAGTCAAGTTCTCCTCCCAACAGATTGAGCCACTGCTTGAGATCGAGGACTCGGTCATCCATGAAATCACTGGGTCCAGCTTCGATCAACAGAATCTTCTTGTGTGGCAGATATTCCGCCAGACGAGAGGCAATGACACAGCCCTGTACCAACGATGGCAATATTAGCAAGATATTCAGTTTGTCTGATTGTTTCTTTTGGTTCTCATTTTGTCTTTTCATTCGGTGATTCAAGACTTGCTCTTGGGGTGCTTTTCTTAGATTGACTTACCGCTGTGCCACCACCCACGATGAGGTAGTCATAGCTGTCGACTTCGGAAGCATCAAGATGAGTAGTAGTCATTTTGATGATGTGGTTGACGTCTGTTTTGAAATTCCCGTATATACTGAGACGTTGAAGCCCAGAGATGGATAGATGCGAGAATACAGTTCAAGTATAGAGTACCGAGTACACAATCAACGAAGAATTACAGATTTGAAGACGGGCTTTACAGAAGAAGATCAGGCCCACTCAAGAAGAAGGTGTCACTCCACTGACTGGGGTCGTAATATGTATTCAGATGTTTTTTTCTTTCCTTGTATTTTTCTCTAGACCAGGTTGGAAAGCCTCTTCGGACGTGAGATAGTAAAAATTTGACAAGTACGTACAGTGACCCCCGTAGATAGGGATGCACTAGTTCATTATTTTAGAAGTGTCAAGGGTTGAAAAAGGTGCGTCATGCACAGATCCCTGCAAGCCTTGGAATGGGCCTGTGCTTGTTAATGGTCAATTCAATCAAAGGCCGTGGGAGGCGGAAGCATCGGAGTGGAGGATTCGTGATCGGTGCCTCTTAGATGGAGGAGAAATGATCATCCTTTTCAACCTCTCGGATTGTAAGCTGATGTGGGAACAAATTGCTGGGGCAAAGTCGTTGTACTCGTATCCGTACTGGTAACATGGATGGGTGGAGGCCGAAAGAAAAGGATCAAAATACAACCAACATAATACTTTAGGAGAGTGTTATCGTATTGTGACCGCTTGTAGTCTGGGCTGTGGCGGTCTGTAAAAACAGTCTTGAGGTTGTAGTTTCCTTAACAGGAGAGATTTACCTGGGGACACGGGCTGGCTGACTCTTTAAAAGGGCTTGTTGTCGGGTCTAGATGCCTGTTACTCTATCGGTGCTCGTGTTATCTTCTCCTCGTAGTGTCCAGAGTCATAGAGTCAAGTGTATTCACTTGTACGCGGAGGCATCAGGTGGACAGGATGCATGGCTGTTAGCCAAACTTGACATTGTATGCCCGCAAAAGGAAAAGAATCACTGACAGTCGAAAAAAGATAAGCGGTCCATCTAGGCGAAGATCTTTCAGTCCAGGCTAGAAAAGGCCTAAAGTCCAGGCTAAAACTGCCACCTAGAAAAACTCCTTACTCCGAGTCCTAAATTCGAATGACCGTCTTTTGAACTGGTCACAAGAAATACTTTGTAATAGGTCTCTCTCCATGCTTGCCTATTGGTTCTGTGGAGAGGCAAGGGTGGTAGGTGGATTTTAATTGCTACAACCTCAAAAACTCCAGGTAACAACTGTAAATGACATCAATTCTTCCACAATCACAATCACAATCACAACCGTCCAGAGGAAACACCGTGAATAATCCAACGTTGAAGCCGACTTCTAGAAGAAGATTGAGTCGAGGCCTACAGACAAGCGCCTTCAACATCAAATAGCCGTCATCTTTTGCTGAGGCACGAGTACTGCCATACAACACAATGGTGCTCAACATCTCCCTCCCAGACCGCCATACATTCTACGCCGGCAGGGCGCAAAAGTCATCCTCATCATCATCCTCATCATCCTCCACGACGTTCCAATCGATTGACCCCTCAACCGCCAAACCGGTCTGCACAATCCACACATCATCCCAATCGTCCATAGACTCGGCCATTTCATCCGCCAAATCAGCATTCCCGTCATGGTCCAGCACGCCACCCATTGAACGAGCACGCATCCTCCACAAGGCCGTACAGATACTTCGATCGAGAAACGACGAACTCGCCAAAATCGAGACCCTCGACACTGGCAAACCATTCTCCGAGACGTCCACGGTCGACATCGTAACGGGCGCCGACGTGCTCGAGTACTTTGCCAACCTGGTCGCGTCGGGCGGCTTGAACGGCGAGTCGTTCCGCCTCCGCGACTCGGCCTGGGTCTACACGTCCAAGGAACCGCTCGGCGTGTGCGCGGGCATCGGGGCCTGGAACTACCCGATCCAGATCGCCCTCTGGAAGTCCGCCCCGTGCCTGGCGGCCGGCAACGCCATGGTTTACAAGCCGTCCGAGGTGACGCCCCTGCACGCCCAGTTCCTCGCCGAGGTGTACAAGGAGGCCGGGTTGCCGGACGGCGTGTTCAACGTCGTGTACGGAGCGGGAGACGTCGGCTCATACCTCACCAAGCACCCCGACATCGCCAAGGTCAGCTTCACGGGCCAGGTGTCGACGGGACGAAAAGTGGCGGGTTCCGCGGCGGGCGAGATGAAGTACGTGACCATGGAACTGGGCGGGAAGAGTCCGGTCGTGGTCTTGCCGGACGCCGACGTCGACCAGGCCGTCGACGGCGCCATGATGGCCAACTTTTTCAGCACGGGTCAAGTCTGCACGAACGGCACGAGGGTGTTTGTGCCCGACACGCTGAAGGCGCAGTTCGAAAGGGTCCTGCTCCAGAAGATCAAAGAGGTCCGAGCAGGCGATCTGATGGACATGGACACAAACTTTGGTCCGTTGGTCAGCGATGCCCACTACAAGAAGGTGACGCAGTACATCAGGCACGGCACGACGGTGGACAGGGCACGATTGCTTTGCGGTGGGTTCGACCAGCGACCGACGAACCTGCCCTCGCAGCTCAAAAATGGATACTGGGTGTCGCCGACCGTGTTCACGGACTGCTCGGACGACATGAGGATCGTCAAGGAGGAAATCTTCGGGCCCGTCATGTGCATCCTGCCGTACTCGTCGCTTGAGGAGGCCGTCGCGAGGGCGAACGACACCGAACTCGGCCTGGCCGCCGGCGTGTTCGGGAAGGACATCAACCAGTGCCACCGGGTGGTCAAGCAACTCCAGGCGGGCATCACTTGGGTCAACACCTGGGGTGAATCCCCGGCTGAGATGGCCGTCGGGGGTTGGAAACAAAGCGGCGTGGGCGTCGAGAATGGGAGAAGGGGCCTCGAGGCTTGGGTCAGGAATAAAAGCACCCTGGTGGAAATGGGCGGCACGGTTCCCACGGTTTTTGCGAAGCTGTGATGCAAGGAATCAAAGGAAAAGGAAAATGGTATCTTGTGAGTAGTGTAAAATGAATCATGGTCACATTCTAGGACAACGATTGTTTTCGCTCGTCCTAGTATAGAATACGTTGCCCTCAAGGTATTTGTCCTTTAAATCCGAGATATGTTTCGTAGTGGCTACGCCATACTTCTTGAAAAAGATTTTGTTCCCCCCAGCCGTAATCAGACAAAAGACAAAAGACAGGAAAATAGGTTGCTACCCTAAGCAGCAAAAGTCGAAACCCTTGAACCCATCCTGTCAAACAGAAAATCGTCCATCTTTCTGTCATTCATGCCGATGGCCGAGTCCAACAACCTCGAAGACATGCTGTCGGGCGTCAATTCCCCGTCTTCCGCATCCACCTGCTCTTTCTTGTCGGTGTTGATCTTGAGATCCATCAGAGCACTTCGCCAATTATCTGCCTTGGTCGGTAGGCGTTGCTGAGGAGTTTCTTTGCCTGTCTCTGCCTCGTCGGCCATGTTTTCAATGCTCTTGAAGTACTGTGAGAGGTCTTGTCAGCGCGTCCCCTGGGATCCACGAGTCTCATATACGCACCTTGACAGTCTTCACCAACATCTCATCAGTTGCCGGGTCGTCGCATACAATCATAGCGTGCTCGTGCATCTGCAGTGCGCTAGCCGTCCACATTTGGCTCACTCCACCTTCGATGGTCTTGGAAAGGGCCAAGGCTTTATTCGCGCCGAGTACAATGACCAGCACCTCTCTCGCGTCCATGACTGTTCCAACTCCTACGGTCAAGGCTTGTTTCGGCACCTGACTCAAATCACCTCCAAAAAAGCGAGAATTGGCTCGAATTGTATCTTCTGCCAGCGTCTTTACTCTTGTCCGCGACTTCAACGAGGAGCCAGGCTCATTGAATGCTATATGTCCGTCCGGTCCTATCCCGCCGAGAAATAGGTCAATGCCACCGGCTTTGGCTATCCTCGATTCGTAGTCGGCGCATTCTGCAGCGAGATCGGGAGCGTTGCCGTTGAGGATGTTGACATTGGCAGGGTTGATGTCAATATGCGCGAAGAAATGTTTGTACATGAAGCTGTGATAGGATTCGGGGTGGTCTTCGGATATGCCGACATACTCGTCCATGTTGAACGTCACGACATTTGCGAATGAGATTTCGCCGGCCTTGTGCGCCTGTACTAGATATTTGTAGATGATCTCTGGGCTGCTACCGGTCGGGAGACCTAGGACGAAGGGTTTCTCGGCTGTTGGAGCGAATGCATTGATGCGGTCGATGATGTATCTGGCCGCATATCTCGATGCACTTTGCGCCTTGTCACGGATGATGACCCGCATTTCGCAATAGAGGCTCTGTAGATGAATTCGCGAGAAAAAGCGGTGTCGAGAAAATGCTCAAGGTAGGAAAATGACGAACGGAGGGAAATGTTGAAGAGAGGACAAACCTTTGACGTAGATGACTTTCCAGTAGTTCAATCATCCGATGGCTTACTTGGGCCATTCTTCATAGGAGGACATCTCGACCACTGGGCGCATTGTGTAGCCGCATGGAGAGAGGTAGCAAAGGCGGGAGGGAGGATCACCACGGAAGGGTATGGTGACAATGCAACAGTTGCGTACAGTATCATCCAACCAATGGACCACACCGGCCACCGGCACCGGTAGGGACCCATCAGATATCTCTCTGGTGAGTTTGATAGCCATGTCAGCCTGACGAACGGCACACTGTTAAGGGACAGTTTGGATGGTGGACGGGAGATGCCAGTCGCAGAGAGAGAGATGGGCAAGTGGCGGGGCAATCGCAGTCTGTGGCACGTGATCCCAATCCATCGCTGGTGTAACGTTTGTTCAGCTTTCGGTAGCACTGAGAATCGTCGCCGGCGTCCACCAGGGTGTCATCCGTCAAGCTTTTCTACCTCCGTCTTTCATCGTCCATCGCCATCACACTCATCGGCAACGTTACTCTCCAAAACCACAAATGCAACATCACCGATTCCCACGTCTCATGTTGCTTCTCTAAGTTAACGCCATGCGCAGTGCTCCATTGTCCGCCCAGTGCCCAGCGCCCACGCCAGACCTGGGACATTTCTCAGTGGTCTAACTCGTGCATCAGTGTCTGTCGGCTTTCTCTCTGACCCGGATCACCTGTTCCCAATCCTCCTCCCCTACAGCCTTCTCGTCCCCTTTCCCATCCAATCAGATTATATGTGGGGAAGAACGTGCTTCATACCGTTATGGCCACGAACGGGGATGTACCACCCCTGTGGGATGAATCGAGGTATGTACCGAACATGCCGTCATCACAGTTGCCGTGAAATCCACAAGCTGATCTATATATTCCAGGCAACTCGGCCAATTGTTCATGATGGGCTTTGATGGCACTTCTGTCACTGACCAAGTCCGGACCTTGATCGAGAAGTATCACGTAGGCTCGATTCTTCTCAAGGCTCAAAACCTCAAATGTGCTACCCCTTATAACCTGATGCTATATGCTTGCTTCGTTGAAATCGTGTGTTTGTTGACTGACATTGGAACCGCAAACAGCTGCCGAACAGGCTACTCAGCTTGTGCTTGAATTGCAGACCCTTGCCCGTCGCTCTGGTCACCCCGTTCCCCTTCTCATTGCGCTGGATCAAGAGAATGGCGGCGTTAACAGTCTCTACGATGAGGTGTATATCCGTCAATTTCCCAGCGCTATGGGTATCGCCGCTTCGGGGTCCAAGAAGCTGGCCAAAGAAATCGCACGCGCAACTGCTCAAGAGTTAAACTCGTGCGGCATCAATTGGATCTTGGGTCCTGTACTCGACGTTTTGACTAACGCTAGAAATCAGCCTCTTGGTGTTCGTTCACTCGGAGACGACCCACACGAGGTGTCTGCTTACGGTGTTGAGTGTATTCGAGGGTATCAAGAAGGCGGAGTTGCCACGTGTGGAAAGCATTTTCCTTCGTATGGTAATCTCGAATTCTTTGGCGTCCCGGACGATGTGCCTACTATCACCGAATCGCTTGAGAACATGAGTCAAAGTGCCCTTGTCCCTTTTCGAAATGCAATTGCACAAGGCCTTGATTCGATGATGGTAGGAGGTGTTGCGATGACTTCTTCACTGCTCAATGTCATGCATGCCTGTCTCTCTGAGCAAATTGTGCGTGATCTACTGCGCCATGAAATGCGGTTCGAAGGAGTGGTGGTTTCAGAATGCTTGGAGATGGAAGCACTCAGTCGCAATATAGGGATCAGTGGCGGTACCGTCATGGCATTCCAGGCCGGCTGCGACTTGATTCTCACCTGCAGAAGCATGTCAGTTCAGGAAGACGCTATCAATGGCCTAAAGGCTGGTTTGGACAATGGTATGATCGAAAGACATCGAGTGCAAGAATCAGTGCAAAGAATTCTCAACATGAAGGCGAAATACACGTCGTGGGAAAAGGCTTTCTCACCGCCTGGAATTGAAAATCTTGCACGGCTACAGCCGCTTCACACCAGTCTGTCGACCACAGCATACAACAAGTCAATCACAGTCGTCCGAGACCAGAAACATTTTTTGCCGCTCTCAAGGGTGGTCAAAGCTGAAGAAGAACTGCTCCTGTTGACGCCATTGGTCAAACCACTTCCAGCATCTGCTATATTCCACCAAATGCAACATGATGTGTCTTCTGTACCATTGTTGGGTCGGAGCCCCAGTGTCGATGCCAACACCTCAGTCATGAGTGGCGAGCAAGTGTTCCGAGAACTTGGTCGGTCGTTAGCCAGACATCGGAATGGAAAGATGTCTCACACCTCATACACAGCAAACGGTGTCAGGCCTCTCCACGAAAACCTGCTCAACCGCGCGCAAGGGGTGATTGTTGTTACTGCAGATGCTGGTAGGAACATGTACCAAAATGCATTTGCGAAACACATCTCAATGCTGTGCAAGCTGGCCGTGGGACCAGATGGAAGGCCCAAGCAGAAACCCTGTGTGGTGGTTGCGGTCAGCTCTCCTTTTGATTTTGCGGCAGACCCTTCGATAGGGACGTATGTTTGCACCTATGACTTTACTGAGACCGCCCTTCGTGCCCTCGTGCAAGTCCTTTACGGGGAACTCAACCCGACGGGAGTACTACCCGGATCGTCCAGCCAGAAACTACAAACGAGTCAGAACTGGCAGCAGTGGCTTGTAGAAAGCTTCAGCGAGGACCGGGACTCTGCCGCGCTCGACGTTTTAATCGCCCAGTGTCAGAACGACTCGTCAGCGCAGGCCGTGCTGCTCAAGAACATCCACAGTGGCACTTTCCTGCTTCGAGATCCAGATGTCGAAGAAGCCCATTTCGTGGTCCGGAACAGCAGCACCAAGGAGCTCTTTGGATTCTGCACAACATATTACTCGAAGAGTAGCGGTGTCGGACATGTTGGAGCCATCATTGTTGATCCTGCTCGCCGCCAACTGTCGATTGGTCATTCACTACATGACCGTGCGATCCGAGCTCTCCTGCAGAAGAAAGGCGCCGCCAAATTTCAGTTGGGGGTCAGGTTTCCGCACGTGTTTCTGGGCATACCTAAACTTGGTTCTATTGAGTACAAGAAACTACGGCAATGGTTCGCGAAGTTGGGCTGGAACACATCCCTTTCAAGCTCAGTCGCCACCATGATGATACGCGATCTCTCGATATGGTCAGTACCAGAAGGACTCGGTCAGAAATTGGCCAATCCTGACGTTAAATTTGATCTCGTTTATGGCAACGAATACAACGATGTTATGATGGAGCATCTCAAAAGATGTGCCAGGAACGATGTTCGAGGGATCTATCAAACGGCAATGAGCAACAAAGAGGGTTGCGGCATCATTCGAGCCAAGAAAACGACAGATCAGTCGATATTAGGATCTATCCTGGTGTGTCGATCAGAGTCGCAGATAGCAAAGTACATTCCGTCGGTGTACAAACAGCCTGGGGTGGCTTGCATATCGTCTCCGGTCATTTCAACCATGTCTGGCGACAGGAAATCTCTATTCCAGGGTCTTGTTCTGTTGGGCATCAAACAATTCAAGAAACAGGGCCTGAGGTCTGTTCTCCTGGACTATGTGAGTCTTTCACTCGAAGCGAGACTGCTATGTGCTGACCAGCTACAGATACGAGAGGACGCGACCGCCGATGGTCTCAAGGCATTGGGCTTCACTACTGCGAATAGCTTCGATGAGGTGTCCAGCGAACCCATGCACTGGACGATGATGCCTGGAACCTAATTTGCGTACGTCCAATATACTATATCTGTACAACACAGTCTCGTCCATGGGTCTCCTTCCTCAATCACTCGTACTGTCAGATGCAGGTCCAACTCATCGTCCTGGGCACAAAAGGACAAATCCAAACAGCACGCCGACTATGGAGCCAACCAACATGGGCCAACAAAGACCCTGAACAAAGACCCTGAACAACATGAATGTGGTTCTGAATAATGACTCGTGCATCGGAACCGGGATACCTCTGGGTCGAACGATGCCGGACTCGCAATACCCCTCTCAAATATACACGTGACCATTTGTGCCACAGGGATCTAAGAAGTTGAGAATTCGGAACAGTACGTTCCGTGAGAGCTGTGTGATCGAGGCCACCGAGTGCGTCATGGAGAGTGCTGCAGGGTCCAGTCATGTCCAGCCGCTTCTAGCCGCAGGGCCAGCTGAGGATGAAGCTCACATCTGATATATTGGCATATCTCTACGCAAGAGACATGTCAAACAGCGCGGTAGAGGGAATTATGAATAGCGGTCGCCGCACAGAGCGGCGGATTTTAATGGACCGAACCGATCGCCCTGGAAAGCCGAGAAGGGTAAGCTGAAGGAGGCAGCGAGCAGGGGAAAAGAGATGAATGACGGGCTTGAAATTGGGGGCTGGAGGCCAATAATTGGATAGCCTTGAACAGGTTAGTGTAATAATGAGCAAGACTAGCCCAATTAGGGGAAGCGGAAGTTCGGAGGCAACCTTCCTTGGTCAATCGGGCGAGGCGCGAGCTTTTTCAGCTTTTCTCCCTCTGACACGCCTGTGTCGCCTGGTGGTCATGGCACCCGGGAGAATAATGACAGAATGACGGTGAATGGGAAATCAATTTCTGGTTCAATAATGTGTGCGTCGCTAGCTCGCAAGATCAGAAAATAAGTTTACGCCCAGCAGCAGCCCGTCGAGGCATTGCGGAATATCGGATAGAGAGAAACTCGTACAGCAATTCGGTTGTCTTACTCCACCAAGAAGTCGCGGTGGGCTGATTCTAGTATTACCGTGTGCCTCGTTTCCTGTATTCTCTCTCGCTCAGAGGTGAGCCGTTCGGGGTAATGTTCACTGGCGCAATCATCGAGGCACATGCGATCTGACCGCCACCACGCATCTGGTACCTGGATGGCGTCCGCCCACCGGCTTCACCGATTTCGTTTCGCCTCTACTGCGTTTTTTCTCTCTCTCCCTCTTTCTCTCGTTTTCCTCTCTTTCTGTTCTCCAGGCCTCGCACTGTACGACCGACGACCTGACCTGTGACAGCTTTTCAAAGGGGGTCAGCAGGCCCGGTAGCACAAGAAATGATGGTTATGTGAACGATTGGGTGCTGGCAGATGGTCGATTACGATACGAGAGGTGAATGGGTGGTGCACCATGATGTGATTCATTCGTGTTCCGTCGAAGCGTGCAGGTCGAGCTTGTCCTCAATGGGCAAGCGCACGCGCTTTCCAACAAAAAGCTATAATTATGCATGTCAGGCCGTGTCGGGCGTAGCGATGATCAACGCTCTTGGATTTTGATGAGACACAGGCGGGATCACCAGCAGGCGTGCTAGTCTAGCTTCGTTGGAACAGGCCTTTGTGCACACTGACTGGGTGGGTGTTCCGGGTGGGAACTTCTATCATCGAACTGACGGGCAGCGCTACGAGGCTAACGAGCCTTTTCCCAGCAAGGCCTTCGGTGTACGGAGTAGCTAGAGAGAGGTAAGTAAAGATGCAAGTCCAATGGCTAACTCAAACCTCGGCATGAAAGACTGCAAATGCCCGCCGCCTGTCTGTCAGGGTCATGGATTTCCTTGCTCACACACCTCTGGAGCCCTGAGATTGGTGGTTCTTTTGTTTCGTGTGTGGTTGAGTGAGCATGTGGGCACGGCTGAAGAGGCTGAAGAGGAAAGCCCCCGAGGTCGCCCCCTGAGTGTACTGATCCTTGAGGAGATTGAGGGAGTGATGTGTTTACCCAGGCAGTCGAGGGGGATGGTCTTATTCGCATGTGAACTGCATGTTTGGTGTGTACGAGTACTCATGAGTACGGGTGTCTTCCTAAGGTAGTGGCATTTGGTGGCATCGATGGCATCGACACTACTACTGTATGTACTCCGTTGGTAGGTACTACCTGACCTAGGGAAGTACAGGAGCTCGTTTGAGTGTCTTTTTTGGGGCCAAAAGACTAGGGAAATTCCGTACCATGGAATGAAATGTGTGATGGTGTCAACTGACCGAGACATTTCTATTCCGTACTTTACAGTTAACTCGACAAAAGGTGGCTAGTGTGTTGAAGCGTGCAAATGCAAGCTCTCGCAGGTTGCAGGAGAGGCGACGGGGAATGCCTGGCTTAGTCGGAAGTCTTGTCTCTCCCGGCGCACTGCATGCCCCGTTTCCTTCTAGAAGGCCACTTGATGCCTTCTACCGCAGTCAATAAGCCGCCTAAGTGGCAGCCAGTGGCCCATCCGTCCAGTGGCCATTCAACCTATTGTACTCCCTACTACGGGTAATGAGGGCCTCTCTCCCCCCTCCTGCGCCTTCCCCTGCTGCTGCCGGTGTTGCCCCTCCCCTCCATCATCTCCTCTCTTCTCCCTCTCATCCTCTTCCGCACTCCCTCGTACAGGTCCTGAGAAACCCAGCCACCGGCGTTGAGTCTGCCCGCTCACTGGCCCTGACATTGTCTGGCTAAATCGGCTAACCTAGGCTTGGGTCCTGGTAAAGCTTAGGAGACTAAAAGATTCCCTCAATCCACTTTCACTTCCGCCGCCGTCAACCTGGTCAAAGTGCATCTTTGTCTCGATCGCAAACTCCGGCCATTTGACATTACGACTGGCCACCGAGAACACACAGACCTTCGCTACTGTCTGCCACTGACGCTGTCCTCTGGCGCATGGGCCCTTTTCAGTCTATATACCTGTCAGATCCTTTACGGGCACTATATTCCTTTTTGTCCCACACCATTGTTGGGTCCCGCCTCTTTTTTTCCAATTTATCGACGACCTTTACACGTACGACTCACTTCTCTCACCTGCTGTCGACGTCAATCCCCTTTGCCGCTTCGGTATATTCCATCTGACAGTACTCTGTGTTCTGGGCCAAGAGTCGTCTAGACTGCGCCGTTATTCTTTCTCTGAGTGCGTGTGAGTGTGTGCGTATACCTTCAACTTCGCCTCCGTCCACACCAAAGGGATTCACTCCAGCTCTCGCCGCTCAAGCTGCTGAATAACCACCCACTGGACCGGGTCATCGATATTCCAATTTTCTTCAGATTCTTCCAGCAGTGGCGCCGGTCTCTCGAGCAGATTCTTATTGCTCTTGAGAATGCAGACGGGAATCCCTACCTCTTCCCGATAACCCGTTGCATATCCCCATCCAGCAAACCTCTCTTCGCTCGTGTGCGCGCACCTCGATTCCTCTCTCCCTAAAACACCCAACCTAGTTCCATGGCCGTGACTATGGACGGCTTTGATCCTCTCGCAATGCCTTACCTACACAGTCCCATGCCGTTCGCGGACGGCAACCTCCAGAATCTCGACTATATGAGTGTACCATCTGTGATGGACCTGCAAGATCAATACTCCAACTTCGACTCGGAGCCATATATGAGGTAGGCAGTTTCGGATTTGCCGTTTCAGTGCTTGAGTGCTAATCCATTGACAGTGGTGATGATATGAACTTTGCTCCATCTTCGAACATGCAGCATCCCGCTCTACTCAAGCGCTTTTCCTCAGGCTATGACGATCCATTCGCAGAGAGTACGATGTCCCAGTTTGACCAAGTGCCTCAAGAAGGTGTGGCCGAGAGTCCCTCGATCGACCGCGACAGCAAGTACCTCAGTTTCTCCATGCCACAGTATAACTTCACCCTCCTAGACGACTCGTTCCGGCGGTCTTCTGTAAATATCAACGCCCAGCTACATGGGATGTTCTTCCTTGCGGAGTCCCAATGGCCTGCTACACCAGACGCACCACCCCCTCCGCCTGAACTCACATGTTACCGAAGAAACCTCTTCCAAATCACTGGCAACGTCACTCTCCCCAGAAATCTTCGATATGTCTTCACCGATGACGGGTCCCGAATACCCATCTACGAACTTGAACTGTCCGTGTCAGCCACCGAATCAGTCGAGGGCAACCCAGTTAAGATCATCTCTGTGCCCTGGAAGACTCCCGCTAGCGGCGAGGCCCCCAAACCCGAAGACAAGGTCGAAAAGGAACCGCCTACGATACCCCTGGACAAGATGTCCGGCCAGGACCTCGACACCGACTTCACCACATTTCCCATCCAGTGGAAAAGACTGCAGTTCAGAATAGCCACTGCCAACAACGGCCGTCGGAAGGAACTCCAGCAACATTTCACGCTACACTTGAAGATTATGGCCTCTTTATCAACGGGCAGCAAAATCCCCATCGCCGAATCGCACTCCGGCGCCGTCATTGTACGTGGCCGAAGTCCTCGAAACTTTGCTGCACGAAAAGATCTACCCTTGAGCAGTAGCTCGACAGCACGAAAACATCTCCCCTCCGCCTCAAGGGCAGGCACCAGCCAGACCTCGGTACCACAAGTGACGTCGGCACCAAAAATCAAGACGCCTCCCAATGACATGCAAGCTTCTTCTACCGTAGGCTACGACAACACCAACACATCAGACTTCAAGCCCACTCCCGAACTCGACACCGGAAACTGGATGTCGCAGATGCCTCCCTCGGAGCCCCTTCCCACACCATATACGGCTTCTATGAACCCGCCGCTCATGCCCACCTTTTCGCACGACAGCACACCCGAACTAGGCACTCCAGGCACGTTCCCATTCACCTTCACTCCAGACATGGGTGCTGGAGGTTCCGGTGCGATGAGTTTACACTTTGGAAGCGATGACGAAGGTGGCAACGGGGGAAGTAGTCCATACCATCATCAGCCTGGTTCGAGACACTCTAGCCGTCCTCCTACCAGCAATCCTAGCCCATCACTTGTGAATAAGCATGGGGCCGGTACAACTCCACCTGCACACCTCCAGCATCCACACCATTCACATGCGAGACCTCGAATGCACGCCCATCAGGTCAGCGTGACGAGCGTGCCGAATTCAACAGCCCAGCAACAGCAATCTATGCCACCCGCGCTCAACAACAACGCTCAACAAATCATGGCTCAACAGCAGGGTTCTCTTCATCACCAAGGGGTACAGAGACCCGAACTCGGCCCGACCAAGTCTCTATCCTTTCACAACAATGAAGGAGAGAGCGCGGATCAATTATACGAATACTTTCCTCTCGGTCTGGATGACTGGATGCCTCCTGTCGATGCGGTATTTAGACCCCATGTCGTTCATCATAGCGGTCCATTACCGCCCGACCCAAGGAGTCCAGGACGACATACGAGTAAGAGATATTTCTCAGAGGTTGTTTGATCAGACCGAGACGCGGTGGGCTTGGAATGTCTGTTTGAGCATGGCATTGAACGTTAAAAACCATTGGTTATGGCACACAAGCCAGGCCATTCTCTCCTGCGAAGCAAATGACGGCACAGCATGACTACGGAATACAGGTTACGGGCTACAGCATGAGCAGCTTTATGATGGGTATTGAAATGTCACTTACGATGGTGGGTTACTCGTACGAAGGGATGGAAGATGATTTATTATTCATATACGGAGTATTTTTCACTTTTATGATGATACCCATCTCCGTGATGTGAATGACTTGCGAGGTAAAAAAGTAGTATACTATAGCATATTATTACGTTTTACCATTTCTACTCATCTTCTTTATCTCGGTCTTGTTTCTTCTATACAACTCAGATCGCTCCTCTACGTGGTCTATAGTGTATGATCTACTGCACTCTTGTCCAGGCGGTGTAGGCCTTTTGCCCTCCCGCCCCCCCTTGTCCCTTGTTCAGCACTTGTGACCTGTGGGTCCCCCTTTCACTCCTTCCTTGGGTGGACACCGAGCGATGCAGGGACATGGTCAGTTGGGACAGGGTGTTGGCCAGGGGGATTGCAAAAACGTGTCAAGTTCCCTCCTCGTACTAACTCGTTACTCCATGAGCAGTCCTGGATTCCAACCTGTGTGGCGGGGGGGGTTTCGAGTGAAAACGAAAGGTATGAAAAGGGTGGGAAAAGGATTGAAGGATCAGGAACAAGGGGCTCTGGTTTTCGGTTCTGGGGTTGTATTGTACCGTACACTTCTCACTTCCATTCCCTTCTCAGCCAAAGTTGTCGATTTTTGGATCCCAATTGCCTCAGTTGACTCAAAAGTACCGTGTGTTGTCCTGGAACGCATCTTGTCGCTTGTCACTCACTTTACCATGGTCCACCCGTCCACAAAAGCACGTCCGCCTTCAAAACGGCCGCCGACGAGGAATCCCCGTGTGTGTGTAACGTACAAAAGTACATTTTCCCCTCAACTTTGTGGTACCGTACATCACACAACGACGACCAAAGATGGACGTGTGTAGACCGGAGATGGAGACGGGAAAAGTGAGATGCCAGGTTTGGTTTTGGCTCTTGTTTCACACACAAAAAAAAAATCTTCTTTGGATCGCCAATCGATTCGACTTGGAAATCTCTGGAAACATGGTGGACTCGGGGGATTGTTGATTGATCGCTTTACCCAGCCAAGCAAGTGTAACTCCGTACGGTAGGACTCGAATGGGGGGGAAAAAAAGAAAAGGTACAGTGGTACTCCTTCCCCCCTAACACCTCTCGCCCTCTGGACGAGCATTGGTTCGTGAAAGATCATTTGGTTCCTGGAACCCCAAAAACGGGGATGGACATGATGGGACGTTTGATATGCAGATGCATGTATGCCTAGGCTCAATATCCAACGAGTATAGTGGCACGGAAGGATTCCCCTATCGGCTGCTACAGTAGCCACACTGTCGCTCTTCTCGCTCTCGTCTCGAACTGACCATAAAGGAAGGAAGATGGTCGATGGCATCTGTGACCGTCACTCGTGAAATGTCGAAGTTGCATGCGTCAACATGTGACGAGACGGGCGCGATGAATCCTTGATCTACTCTCCGTACAAGTAACTACTGTTAAAGGCCAATGGTGATCATGGAGAAGACAGCCACCCCAAGCACCACTCTGACCAGGAAGATCCGGTGGAAAATTGACCAACAAAGACACAAACTTGACTTTACAGCCGGCAACATCATCATTTGGACACACAATAGCTAGGTATGATGCTGACCCGAAGTTTCATGCAGCTAGGGCCGACAAACCCGAGGACAGGTCGAGTGCTAGCATCGGGATCAGGCAAAGGCGCAGGTCCTAGTACGAGTTGGTCACAACACAGTCATTGTTCGACAGGGGGGGTGTTCAAGCGGCCAAAAACTAATGCCGGCTTGGTCGAACTCCCGCCATCCAAAAAGTCGTTGGAAAACATGCGGTGGATGGAGGCTCGGGCTATCTGATCGAATGAAAAGACCGCGTGAGAGCATGGCGCGAGCGGTGGCCTCTCACATGTCTAAAGATTCCTTCCAGAAGGTGATCAACCGTCGGAGGGTGCCGAAAAGATAGCTTATCAGCGGAAGGGGATAGCCTGTGGGAGAGAGAAGAGTGACTTGATACGGCGTCGGCTGTTCAAGGATGGTGTCGGATCAAGGATCAAGGATCAAGGAACAGTGATCAATGATGCGCCTTCGGTGGCTGGTGGGGAGAGGGGATCATGATTTCCAACCAAGAAACTTCCTTTGCGCTTTGCGGCAAGTCCAAGCAAGACGTTCTGCACGATGACGAAAATGTTCACAAAAAGGCGGGGAGGGTTCGATAGCCGGTCACGGGCGACAAGGTCGAATTAGGGCTGACACCCGAAGCCAAGGACAAAAAGAGTTGCCCGGGGTCGGGGAGGTACAGCACTCATACCGTATTGTCCCAACGAGTCAAAACTGACTCGACCGGCGGGTGAGAGGTTCAATTTTGACAGGGTTGTGTGTTTTGTTCCAGCGTCAATCAATGATAAAATAAAGTCGGGGATTGTCGACGTTGGCGTCAAAGTGTCAGGTGTCACACAGAAGCACGACATTTGGGACCAAACTGCCATCAGCTGTGGGCACAAAATACGAAACCGGGTGGATGTACTCCGTAGCTCTCGCGACGAGTACTGTAAAGTCTCTTAGTTTTCTTTTTGTTGTTCTAGCGCTGGGACCCGCCTGCATTAGAAGGATGAGAGAAGCTTCCATCACTGATGGCGTTGGTGTTGGGTCGACGCCGCTGCAATTCTTTGGACTAGACGTTTGAGTGGGGAGTTGTTGTCCACTGTGCATGACTGTCCTACAGTAGTCGTCGAGCTTGTACAAACACGAGCAGCTGGGAGTCTGTGACGTGGGTTGAATTGGTTCCTTCTTGACCAACTTGGGATTGAACGGAATAACACGAGTACAAAGGCGGAATGAGTCGCCTAGAATCGGGATCGGGATCGGTCCAAGCGAGAAGGGCATGTGCGAGGAGTACAAGTATCTTCTCGGTTCCGACGTTAGAGGCACGATGGCCAAGAGTTGACAATGACGATGTGAAGAAGAAGAAGAAGAACAACAACATAAAGACCAGAGCAAGTGAAAGACGGGAAAGAATCTCTCACCGGTCGATGCAGGGTCGAGTTTTTGCAGGGGAGACGGGGGGATCAGTCAGTACAAAGTAGGTGGTAGACAAGGCATAACTGCAAAGTGAGGCTGCCATTCAGGTTCATTCTCTCCTCAACCTGCGTTTTCTACTGGATGCTGTCGTACTCGTACCTCCTCCAATCCTGGCATTCGGAGAAACTTCATTCCCGTATATCGACATGTGACCAACATCATTCTCTCCTTCGTTACTCTCCGTCCCTTCTTTTCATTTGCTTCACTCCGTCCCAGGAGATTTCGTTTCCCTCACGGAAGAGCTCCCCGCCCCGTATTCAAGCTCGCATATCCGATCTCGACATCTGGTACGACATACCTGAGAACTCATGTGTTCGCCGATCGACCCTTTTTTATTCGTATGAAACTCCTCCTGTTCTCGTCTAAGCCACCCCTTTTGCTTGTGACCTGTTGCCCGACTACAACCGACAAGACTATAACTTTTCTTTTTCCTCCAGGGTCTCCTCTTTTGCGTATACCATGTCAATTAACACGGCAACGACGGCAGGTCTTCCCTAGCTTCTCTCTTGGGCATTGATATTCCAGCGGACTGGTCATACCACCCCCCCTTTGGATGACTTCCTACTCGCCTCTGCTTCTGCCGTTGAGGGGTCTCCTCATGCCCGGTTCTTCTGGCCCCTTTGCTGGTCCAGTATCCAGGGCCCAAGCTATACTGTTTCAATGAATAACGCGATCGCGAGGCAGAATTGACTGGCCCGCGGATGAGGGCCGTCTACGCTTTTCCTTCAATCCCAGCAGGTAGTTGACACCCCGTGACGCTTTTTCTACTCGCTACCCAAGTTCCTTGACCCTGTCTGGTCACCACCTGACTATGATGATTCCATCTTGAACCCTCATTGTCCGATGCCTTGATGCCTTATTTATATTGGTGTTAATTTCCGACTTCAGGTCCAAGGTCTGAACTACTCTTCCTCCAAGTCTTCTGTTCCTTTGTGGCACATTATTGTTTTACTGGCTTCTGTACAACACTTGACTTTGCCGCCAACTGTACGAACATTTCGACAAAGGAAAAAAAAAGCTGTATCTAGATGAGAACTGCATGAACCTACACAGGTTGCAAGGGTCTATTGCTTACTTTTGCCACAACTATGCCTTGTATGTCTCGACCTATCTTTTCTGACGGCCCAAGAGCCGTCCAGCCAACCTATCGGCGAGCGTCTGCTCCTGAGTCCTCCACCACAACAAATCGCGACACAGTCTCAAAGCAACCATCATGCTCTGGCGACTATTACCGTGGCTGCTGTTGTGGCTGCAAGGAGTGTGGTTGCCACACGTCGCCTATGAAAGATGAAACGAGTCGCCATCAACGCAACAACCCCAAGGGGCGGACTATCCCCATGCCGGAGAATGCGGCGACGGTCCTTCCATGGGCTCCATCATCCCTCAGTACTATCCAGTCGAACGACCAGCCTTTCAGCTTCAACAATAGCTTCGAAGTGGACGACACTCACTTGCCAACCACCGAACTCGCTCAAAACGAGCTTGTTTCCACAATGGAACATGATGAGGATGAAGACCCATGGACAACTGGCCAATACCTGAGCCAGTCAGATGATATCGACCTTGAAGATTCCTCCAACATGATCGGAGCCGAGGACATGGATTACGCTTCATTGTGCGTAGAGGCTGGGGGACCCAGCTCTGGAGAGGACTCGATGCTTTCGAGCCAGTACGAAGCATCTTTCCGACGCCCATCTGGAAGTGTCACCACCTCGCAACTGATCAATGGTATCGGGGCTGCCTTTGCGAATCAAATCCCTCCATTTGCGGCAGCTCCGATAGAGTGCCAACATACCAGGGTGAGGCAAATGTGTCAAGTTTGTCAACACTATTGAGCCTGGACTTTGTGCCACAACTACGAGCCGCGAGGACGGGGACGGTCTTTTCAACAAAGTCCTGCTGTCGACGATGGACTCTAGTTATTGACTTTGTATGATTATTCTTGTTCATGATGGTGGATTTGTATTGGCTTTCCCAATACTTGTACAACATTGAGGCAGTGGGTGAGCGTAGACGAGACGATGATTCTCGATTATGATCCGCAGCCAAACACGGAGGTATTTGTTTTTTCCTCTTGACGGCGAGGCGGAGCTGTTACGACTATTCCAGGTAGTTGGGGATTTCAGGATATTAGCAAGCACACATCGTTATCTCATTAATTCCCTAACCACCTTAACGGATCAGTGCAATCTGCATCGTAAGCAATACGAGGCCCTTGAACACCCTCGTGTCTTTCCGTAAGGCTCCGAACCCCTCCCCCGTTACTGCCCCTCTTGACTCGCCGGCTGCTCTACGGCGCGACGCAATGACGCACCGTCTCCAATAATTTCGTAGCTTTAGAAACATGAAACCTTTACACACACTGCACGAGGAGCACAAGCCACAGAGTCGGATTGTCTGAGTGTCTACTCTGTATACCAGCCTTCTATCAATCTCGTTGTCTGGTCTGAACTCCGCCACGTCCCCGTTTACACCTCCATCCACCCTCTTTCCTGACTGATTCATTATCTAAACCCCACGGTTCCAGCATCTTGGAGATTCTAGAGGAACAAGCCTCTGCCTGCAACATGTCCCCCCCAGCGATCATAGCCCCTTCGATATTGAGTGCCGACTTTGGCGCATTAGGAGGAGCATGTTCAAAAACAATGGAACAAGGGGCCGACTGGCTTCACGTTGATATAGTATGTTTTGAAACAAGAAAGCCGAAAGTATAAAGAAAGAGTGAGCATCGGGACGGCTGACGACCGCTTCCGACAAATCTAGATGGACGGACACTTTGTACCGAACATGACCTTTGGAGCTCCCGTTGTCTCCATGATTCGAACCCATGTCGATCGACCCAAGACCGCCGGTGGAAGAGGAACTTTTGATTGCCACATGATGATAGCAGAGCCACATCGATGGGTGTCGACATTCCGCGACGCAGGGTGTGATCTCTACTGCTTTCATTACGAGGCGGCCGTGACGTCCGTTGCGGCCACAGAACCCGCCGACAAAACCACCACGCGCAAAACATCTCCGAAAGAATTGATAAAATACATTCACGATTTGGGCATGCAGGCTGGCATTGCCATAAAACCGGACACGAGTGTCGATGTGCTGTGGGAGATTTTAGATAATGAAAATGCCGCAGAGCGGCCAGATGTAGGTTCTTTTCTTTCCCGCGGGTTTCATTGTGGACACAAAAGACGACAATGAAGCGAGCTAACGGATCTTTCAGATGGTACTTGTTATGACTGTTCATCCTGGGTTTGGTGGACAAAAGTTCATGGCCAGCGAATTACCCAAGGTTTCTGCACTTCGCAAAAAGTATCCCGAAATGAATATCGAGGTTGATGGTGGTCTGGGTGAATCGACGATAGATCAGGCAGCGGATGCCGGTGCCAATGTCATCGTCGCCGGTAGTGCCGTGTTCGGAGCCAAGGATCCAGGTCAAGTCATCAATGCTCTGCGGGAGGCCGTCGAGAAGAGAAGAGGTGGGAAGTTATAGCTGCCGAATTCCCTGGCCTTCTCTAATCAGGAAGAAACCATTTTACTCTCATGATCTCTGCGGATACACACGCTTCACCTGCTCCGTCAACTGATGCGGATTCAGCACTTTGTGGCATGGGAAGACTTTGTGCCTGAGGATCGGAACAGACCCTATTTAGGAGATTCAAAGTATACATTTCAAGAATACCACGATATATACCTAGCTCCTGTACGAAGTGCCAAACGTCGATATTTGACTTGACGGCAACCCAAATTAAATACCAGGCAACGGCTCTACATGATTGCACGGGGCGTATCGAATCGATGGCCTCTAGGCCAAACGGGGAAATGCTCACTGAAGCTACTCCGCAAATAGTTCAATCCACGAACATGCGTTAAACAACAGATGGTCATCACTCACCACCTTTTACAGTATTGTTGTGCATGATTTATTCTAGTTCATAGGACGAGGGTGCTTTACTATGAGTCATTCATGTAGTAGGTCGTGAAAAGCTGACAAAACCACCCAACACCATCAAGTTCTATTGCGGAATATATATAGAACCCTACCTGAGCACACCGTCTCTCCAGTACAGTTCACAGAGCAGCAGTTCCAACACCTCGGCACCATCTTCCTTTTCTTGTTCTTCTCTCACCATGACAGACACAGACATTCAACCATTCACCATCTCCGTCCCGGAGTCTGAGCTGTCCGATCTCAAGACGCGTCTATCTCTGGCGCGGTTCCCCGACGAGATCGAAGGTGCGGAATGGGACTACGGCGCTCCTCTGGCCGACGTCAAGCGCCTGACGGGTCATTGGAAAGACAAGTACGACTGGCGTGCGGCAGAAAGCAAACTCAACGCCCTCCCTCAATACACGACCGAGATCCGATGCGACGGGTTTCCGGAGACTTTGCGCATCCACTTCATCCATTCAAAGTCGAGCAGAAAAAATGCCATCCCACTTCTCTTCGTCCACGGTTGGCCGGGGAGTTTTATCGAAGCGACAAAGATCTGGAAGGATTTGTCGTGTCCTTCCACGGGCACGAGTACGAGCGGCGGTGGTACGGCCGGAGGAGTTTCTGACGACGAAGACGATGCACCTGCGTTCCACTTTGTCGCTCCGTCCCTACCCAACTACGGCTTCTCGGACGGTGTCAAGGCCAAAGGGTTTGGGATTTCCCAGTACGCCGAGACCTGTCACAAGTTGATGTTGAGGTTGGGTTACGGAGAGTACGTCACCCAAGGAGGTGATTGGGGGTACTACATCACTCGAGCCATGTCACTCTTGTACCCCGAGCATTGCAAAGCGACTCACGTCAACATGGATCAAGGGAACGCCCCCGGTTGGACCAGTCATCCTTTTTTGGCTTTACAGCATGCGGTGACGCCCTACACCGACGCAGACAAAAAAGGCATGGCCAGGACGAAATGGTTCACCGAACAGGGGTCGGGTTACCGAGCTTTGCAATCCACGAAGCCACAGACTCTGGGTTACGCGGTCGCCGATTCTCCCGTTGCGTTGTTGGCTTGGATCTATGAGAAGTTGCACGACTGGACCGACTCTTACCCTTGGACCGAAGACGAGGTTTGTACTTGGGTCAGTATTTATTGGTTCTCGACGGCCGGTCCGGCCGCCAACATGAGGATTTACTACGAAGCCACTCACGCGTGGGGTGACTCGTCTTCGAAGGTGACGAGACAAGGCTTGGTGGGTTATATCGGTGGTGGTGTCAAGTTGGGTTTGAGTCATTCCCCCAAAGAACTAAGGGTGTTGCCCTCGAGTTGGACGAGAACACAAGGTGACGTGGTTTTCGAGAGGACACACGACGGTGGTGGACATTTTTTCGCCTGGGAGAAACCTCGACATTTGATCGAGGATGTCAGGGACATGTTTTCTAGAAAAGGTGGTGGTGCGTATGGGGTCGTCAAAGGTTTGGACGGGTACGATTAGCATGTGACTGGTAGGTATAGATATCTGTCTCAGGTATATATCTGGCCATGGTGGATCTTTGGCACGAAATGCTTCTTCTTTTCTCAACTTGTCACTCTGACTCTTGTCTGGTCATCCATCACTTTCTTTCGTCTTGGTTTTGGCTTTGGCTTTTCGTACGTCAAAGTTCCATCAATACGTGTTTCTACGTGTGGGACGGTTTGAAAGTCCAGGCATCAGTTTCTATATTGTTTGACTTTTGACTTTTAGGTCCTCACAACGACAAATCCACAAGATTCCAACAAGAAAGGTCCTCACGCGGTGTACATATAAGAGACAGAAGATGATGATGGGAAATGAAAATGGCTTCGTTCATACCAGTGTGCCTTAGCATTCGAACTCGAAACGTACTCTCTTTCCATCGTCGAAATCTCACACGTTACTCTCGAAAGAGCCTCCTCAAATACAACCTGATCAACAATCATCATTACTGTTACCTTTTTGAGGTTGACTTTTGACGACAACAGTATTGACCTGGTCTTTGTGCTCTCAAAAGTATAACCCCCCTTTGAACGATAAAACCGGTGACAATGCCAATCACGGCGACCCCTACCACGACGACTTACAAGTGGAGTAATACCAACAGCGACGACAAATGTCATGGTCATGGGTTTTGGCAAAGTTTCCGAGTGAGCGGATCGACCGACAAAGATGTCCTCTCCATGACCAGGACCACAGACCCCTCCATGGTGTATGAGGACATCAAGGGACACATTTGGATCGAGATGGGTGATTTGTCACACCTAAACCAAGTAAAAGAAAAGAAAAAAGAAAAGGAGAGGATAGGGAAGGATAGAGGAACGGTGAAGGAGAAGATTTGAAGGACCGACAAGGTCGCGAGGGTGTAAAGGGTGAGATTTATAGTATGAGGATGAGGATTAAAGATGGAAAAATTGACTTGTATAGCTATTCTTTTTTTTTGGTTGTTGCAGACAGGGTAGCAAGCGCTGGAGTTCGTGAAAAGAAACTGATGTCGAATCAAAGAAAGAAAAGCTGGGCAGATGTGACGGGGACGTTGTCTTCCCCAAATAAATATTAATTCCATCTACATTAGAGATGTGCACGGCACAACCTGATCAAGAGAATTGCAGAGTACAAGAACACGGAATAATGGTCGTCGTTTCATACTCAAATTTCCTTCTTTTTGAAACTAATTTAGAGACCCAAATACTGAATCAGATTCCCAAATCATAACGAGTACGCAATGGCGACAACACTACGGAGAATACCAGCAAACATGTCAATTTCACTTGCTACTCGTACCATCATCAAAACTTCAACCCCAAAGGATTGGCAGCAGCCACGTAATTGGTACTTGGTGCATTACTCTTCTTCGCAGGACTGGGCTTGACAGGAGTCGACTTCTGCACCGACACAGGCTTCCTGGCTGCTCCATTATTGGTCTTCTTCGCTGTCGGGTTCGACGTGGTATTCTCACCAGGCTTCTTCCTCAACGCACCTGGGTTCGGTGCTGTCGACGTTTTGTTGGTCGACGGTGGCGGCGCAGAGACACCGGCCTTCTTCACCGGCCCGGCACCGTTGGTGGTGGCAGCCTTCTTTGCGCCAACTGGCTTTGGACCGGGGGCAGGAAGAGCCTTTCTGGGAGTACCGGCCTCGATCCTCTTCTGAGGTTGGACGGACTTGCTTGTCGTCATCAACGTCCTCGACGGCGATGGCTTGGGAGGTGTGTACATGGTGGGATGTGTCACCGTTCGCCTACCACCCGTCTTACCGGCACTCAACCCCAAGGGATTGTTTGCCGTCACCGCCCGGACCCCATCAGCTGCCGTCCAGTCCATGATGGCATTGCCATAATCCTTTGCTCCATCTCCATAATGTCTGATTGACCTGTTGATCCCTTCACCTACTCCGTTGATGCTGTTTCCCACGGCGTTCACCGCACCTCCTGCAAAAGCACCGGCGGTGGCCACGGTGCCCGAAACGGTCGGAGCGAGTGCTTCGGACACTTTGCCCAACACCCACTGCGTCGCCATTGTTTAAGCTGCTGGTGTGGCCGTGACGGACTTGCGAGGACCAAGCTTGGGTGGCTTTCGTCTGGCCTTTTCGCTCGACGTCTGGGAGACTGCGTCAGAGTTGTCAACCGCCTTCTCTGGCAATTGTTTGGGAGGAGCGAGGGATTGACGAGTCGAGGTCAACTTCTCTCGTGCTGGTGGACGTGGAGTGCCGCTATGGTCCTCTGGTTGAGGCTTGGGAGGGAGTTTGGGGGCAGTTCGGACTTTCCACTCTGGTTTTGCCTTGGGAGCCGTATGTCCTCGAGTGGCAGTGATGTTGATAAAGTCCTTGTCAAAGAAAATATCAAAAGATACGTTAGGCATTTGGACAAGGGGGGAATGTATCGCTCAGTCTTGGGATGTGACTGAGCTTTGATTTGGTCGAAATGGTGAAGTAAGAAGAGCAAGGGGGAAGGTGATGTCAAATACTAGTAAGAACGCTCGTAGAGTGTACAGATTCTCGATGTCATGTCTCGATGGGATTCTCTTTCGATCTGTAGGACAAAGGAAGAGAGGATTGATTGATATCGACGGCGTCAAGCGGGGAGGAACGTCATCCGGGGTCCAGTTGATCCGCACAGCCACAGGGTTGATATCCTGTTTTTCGTGCTTTTTGTGCCTTTTGCACCCAAACATCCCTGTAGCTACGGGCTAGTCTCGACAAATCCCTTTTCAACGATCGCCTGATGATGCCTGCAACAAGCGATGAAGCAAGGATGGTAGAAGCGGATTCCCATTCAATTCGCCTATCATTCTTGACTGCTACCACTACTTCTCACGACGCCACAGAAACCCACGACTTGATCGTCTCACTACCTCGCACAACGCAAAGGGCTTCCGACCCTCTCCACGTCTTTCACAGGGTTAGTACGTCAGAGGTGGCGTTCTGGACCTGTCACTCAAAAATTGTAAGGAAATTGAATACCATCGTCACTGTGAAGTGACAGTCGACAGTGACAACGGCGGCGAGGGTACTCGATATTCTGGCGACGACAATGAACAGTTGCCACAGACGATAACATCGTCTTGACACTCTCTACACAATAGCAAACATGGCTACAGTCCAACCAGCACTAGAACCGGCTGCAGGCTTCTCTCTCGAATCCCGAGCGGAGCGTCCAGATCGCGTGCCTCTACAAAAAGGGCAATATTCAATCGCATCGAGAGCTGTAGCCCTGTCGACATACTTCTTGTCCGGAGCACTTGCCATCAATCTCTCGCAGTTTCTAGGAGCTCCGCTGGCTCTGGTCAATCAAGACTGGTACAACGCATGGATCGCCTTCACCAAACAGTCCTTTGGGCTGCTTACCATGACCCTGACACAGACATTCGCGCCAACAAAGGTCATTGTGTCCGGCGACGCATCTGTTCGAGGCCAGCTCCTCAAGTCGGTCGATGGCGACCTCGTTCTTGATTTCCCAGAGAGACTTCTTCTCATCGCGAACCACCAGATCTATACCGACTGGCTATATTTGTGGTGGATAGCTTACTGCAATGGTATGCATGGACGGTTGTACATTATCTTGAAGGAATCACTCAAGAAGATTCCAATATTGGGATGGGGCATGCAATTCAATCAATTCATTTTCCTGAAGCGGAACTGGGAACAAGATCGGCCCAACATGGCAACTGCACTTCAGAAGCTGAACAAGCTCACGGATCCCATGTGGCTCCTCCTCTTCCCTGAAGGTACCAACCTGGCCCCAAGTACTCGTGCGAAGAGTGCCGCTTGGGCAAAAAAGAACAATATCGCCGACACTCGACATGTTCTGCTACCACGCAGCACCGGTCTGCACTTTTGTCTGGAGCAACTCAAGGACTCCGTTGATTATGTTTACGATTGCACGGTAGCATACGAAGGGGTGCCACGAGGACAATTTGCTCAAGATATCTTCACCCTCAAGGCAGGCTATCTCGAAGGACGGCCTCCGAAGTCTGTAAGCATGCATTGGCGGCGGTTTGCTGTCAAAGACATCCCACTTCACAATGACAAGGCGTTCGAACTTTGGCTTCTTGCCCGCTGGAGAGAAAAGGATGTTCTCATTGAACAGTGGTACCAGACCGGTAAATTTCCTGCAGACACGGGTGTGACCAAGTACAAGTCCGGCAGGACACTTCGCGGCTGTGGACATATGGATGTGCCCATTCGCTCAAGCCACTGGTACGAGTTCCTTCAAATATTTGCCCCCATGGGCATCCTTGCCATGGTATTGTACATCTTCTATGGCGACCTACCGCAGAAGTTTTGGAAGAGTATCAATCGAGAAGCACTCCAATCGGGCACGGATGATGTGAAGAGAGCAAGTGCACAGGCTGGCAAGCAAGTGAAGTCTGCATCAACCTCGCTCAGCGGGTTAACCCTCGACTCCTTCTTTGATCCGGCACAGCAACAGGATACATTCAAAGCTGGTGCCATGGCGGTCCAGAAGCTGCTCAACTCACCGTCAGCACAGACTCTGCTCAACCGCGCCGATTTCATCCAGCAATTTCTCTCAGACCCACAGAAGATGGTCACTGATAGCATTACGGACAGACAAGAGAATTTCATGCATCAATTGGCGGAAGAGGAAGCAAGGAGGCAGCGAGGTCGAATATCTAGCGTGAATGGGACTACCAGGACTGCTCCAGGGGCCATTGCAAACCGCACATCTGCCCAGAAAGGGACATTCTGGTCGCAGGTCGATGCCGAGGAGAAGAGCAGACGAGGGTCAGTTGTGTCAGCGCCGGCGCCAAATCAAACAAGACCAAAAGGAACGTTTTGGAAGGATCTCAAAGCAGTGGAGGAGAAGAAGAATGCTCCAGCACACAAGGGGACGTTTTGGGACGACGTCAAAACAGAAGAGAATACTAGATATGGTACGGTTGTCACATTATCCAGTAACGCTTCGACTGCCGTGGCATCGACAAATTCGACGTCTACAAGGGGCACTGCACCTAAAATCGGACCACGGAAGACTCCTGTCTCTGGATCAGGTCAGAAAGCATCGGCTACCACTATCCCCAAGGTATCAAACACAACGAGTCCAGCAAAGACTACACAGAAAGCAGCATCTCCTGCCACGGCAAGGAAGATGAGTATATCGGCACAGACGACAACGCCTGCCAAAGCTTTGAAGGCTAAATCGACAAACACGGCACCGTCAAAGACAACACCAAAACCGATCACATCGAGTGTGAACTCGGCACCCAAGCAGGTGAAATCTACAGCGACACCTACACCTCTGAAGGTTGGAAGTGGGACTAAACCTAAACCCGTGCCTGTTTCTGCGTCTAAACTACCGTCCAGCAAGCCCACGGCTACGACGACTCCAAATGCCGGTCAGAAGAAACCTTCTACTCCTGCGTCAAAACCCGCCTCGAAACCTATCAAGGTCACCAACCCATCTGCGAGAACTCCTTCAGTGGCGGTCAAGAAACCTGAATCGAAGCCAGCACCAAGCACAAAATCAACCATGGCTTCCAACCCGTCGAAACTGGCGACAAAGACAAGTGGACCACCAAAGTTGAAAAGCAAGACTTGATGTAAAAGAACCGAGGGTTTTGTTCCTCCTTACCACCTTTTTTGCGGCCATTAACTGCATGTCATCTCACATCATTTTGGGATACCATGTATCAAAGCCAGCGAAGCCAAGTCAAAAAGCTCCTCATCTCCTTGTACAACATTCTCAACGAAGCGATGATTTTGTGTGTCGGACCTCCTTCTCAGCATGGGCTGGTATTCGGTACGGGATGTAGTGCTCCAGGCAACCTGTGTAGTCCTGTGATTCTACAGGATGTAATAACAAAAATATACCATATACTCGTAGTCGTACACATTCTCCATCCTCTTCTTCATGTTTGCCGTGGACGTATAAAATAGTCGATTTTCAGATCGGCCCTACCTATTCAACTCTCACCCGCTTATTCTCCTTGCGCTTCATGTTCATGATTCACGGCACCAACGACGACAATAAGAGCAATTCATATTCACCATCAATAGAGAACCACAAATCACGAATCACCCTAAATGACTTCTCCGCTCTTCACCTTCTAGCCTTGTCCCTTCGCCGCCACCACCACCATCACCACCACAAAACGTGTGCTATTGTATGCAGACTGAATAACTCAATCAAGGAGTATTCACGCATGACTTCTCTTTCATTTGTTTGGTCTTGTTGTATTGTATCTACCTCCCCTACAAACGATTGTACCTGCCTGAATTAACGGGTGACATGCCCTCTCCAACAAGTGTCAAGCCTTGAACAATCGTCTCTTGATACCTGAATCAGAACCACTTCACTTCACAGGGCTCAGACTCGGGGTCAAACAGAATATAAAAATCTTCTTCTTTTCCTTTCCCCTTCCAACTCTTGTCTCGTTGTATACCTTTCATCACAAACAGAAGTCCAAAGTAGTGCGAGAATCATCCTTGCCAATACTGTTCCATCACATCTCTTCCATCTCTCTGTCTCCCTTCCATCATCACACAAGTCTCACAAGTTCATACTCATCATCTTGCAAACTTGTTCTTTGTGACCGGACTTTTCCACCTTCATTGGATCTTGACAGACAGACAGCTTTCCGCACCTCAAGAACGACATTTAGACTGTTTCCCAAGAACAAAAACAGCCCAACAATGTCCCAATCAATCACCTCATTGTCCCCTTCAAAGCTCAGAGAGTAAGTAGATCGAGAACCATCTCAATCATGCTTCTATCATGACCACGTTTGCTGACCACATTTTTGTGTGTAATTAGCCTCAAGTATGGCGAAACCGTCACCGTCCTATACAGAGAGTCAGACAACACCGAAGCTCGAGTCTTGAGAGATGGGTTCCCAAAAAAGTTGGCCATGGCCTTTTCCAAGAAATGGAAGGATGAATTCCCACCTATCAACAAGACCAAAACCCAGGACCTCCTCAACTTGGTTCCACCCAAAAAGACCATCACCATCGTCGGAGGAAACATGGTCATCCACAAGCATGTCCTCGCCTGGATGGTGTCTTGCTGCGACGGCAAGGGACTCAAGACCTTCTCCAACCCTCGCTTCAAGGCCTTTGCCTACCTGTACTATGCCCGATCCTGCGCCTCGATCGTCGGTTGTGAGTACCTCGAAAGCATCCTCGGCAAGCGCATGGAGACCATGGCCAACAATCAAATCCATTCCGAGGACGTCCGCATGCTCTGGATGGCTAGTCCACCGGACGCCGAGATGAAGAGATTTCTAGCCGAGCATATTGCAATTCGCTTCGGGACCGGCACCCTCAAGGCCAAGGGATCCTACCGCACCTTGAGGGAGGAAGTGCCGAGTTTCAACAAGGCGGTCGACGACATCTTGAACGCGAAAAAGGCACGAGGCGAGTTGAGTCCGGCGTCTCTGGAACGAAAGAAGAACAATAGCAACAACAAAAAGAAGCCTGTCAAGACCGCCGCGAACAAGGGGCTCAAGGAGGGTGGTGGCCGTGTTGGTGCTGGAAATAGTGAAGGGGTGAGCGACGCCAAAATGGGTGGTGCGGTGCAAGCAACAAAGGTGGTTCGACGAGGGGCCAAGGGTCGACCGATCTATGCCAAGTTGGATCTGGAGTCTGTCTCGGTCACAAAGTGAGCAGCAACAACAAAAGGGGTTGAAAGGGGTGTGTTGTTGGTGTTGTTGATGTTGTTGCTACTTGTGGCTCTTGGTGTTCATCGAGGAAAGGGGTGGCTTGATTGGCATGGGTTTTCTTTTGTACATGGAGCATCCGCCAGGTTCAACACCAACACAAGCTTGCTGGGACCTGGTACAACACGGGGGAGATAAATGTGTTGTACATGGGTAGTTACCTAAAATGAAAGCCAGCCTCTTTTTCCCTTCTCTTTTATACGATAAAATTCGCTATTTTATGATGATAGGCTCGAGGAGTACTCCGGTCACAAAGGAGCGAGTCCCCGGGTGTTGATTCCTCACAACTCATCCCCGAGGTCCAAAAGCCACCCACGCAAAGCAAACCAAGGCGGGCAGATCTGTGAGCAGTGTTCTCTGCAAGTGCACCCGGAGCCACTTCTTGACGTACTCCATGCTGCGGCCCTTTTTCTCTTCCTCCTCGTCGCAGATGGACTTGATGACTTGTGAAATGTGGTAACCGTAGGCAAAATGTCCGGCGGAAAAGGCGGCCCCGGCAAAGCAGAGCTTCCTCGGCAGGCTGTAGTGTGGGAAGTGCGTGGCCGCGTTTATCCCGCCCGCCACGCCCGTGAGGCCGATGGTGAAGACGGTGACGAGTCCCGCAGGTAGAAAGTCCTTCCACCAAAGACGAACGGTCTTGTTGGCCGCCGGGGCGTCCACCTTGGCGGCATTGATGAACGGTAGGAAGATGGTGGGTTCGACGATGGCGTAAAAGACGGTCAAGGAGGAGGAGATCAGAGGGATGGTGAGGGCAAGGCTAGGACGAAGCCCTACACTCGTGGCGGTCGACATGACTGCGAGGGGAAAAAAGAGTAGTCTGCAAGGTCAGCGATTGTGTAGATTCAGAACCGGTACGGTATGTTTGGACAACGGTTCATTCATATATGAGGACGGAGGGAGTAAGCGTCGACATTTTTCGCGCAATGTTGTCATACGTAGCTCAGTCAAGTCATACCACCTGAGGTTGTCCTCAGAGCGTGATGAGTTCGGAGACGTCGATTCGAGTGTGGACTCTGAAGGAGCCGCCCCCCCGCATGCTGGTGTGTCTTTTTGTACTAAATTCCGTACACCATTAATATCGCTCCCTTGGTTCTCGGTTTGGTGTTCGCCATGGAGATTGTGGCAAAGGGGCCTCTTATTTCTTATGCAGAAGTCCGAGATAGTTACACGTTACACAGGATGAGTGTTCCATCTGCATGTCAGAAGCATGGGGTAATATCGATTGCCACACTTGCAGAGTGCATGACGCCAATGTAGGTAGCAATGCAGGGATGGGTGAGAGAGACATGGGTTCTTCTGGACGCTGATTGAATGATGCTTGAAAGTTGCATGTGCATATGTCGGGGGATTTTGTGACGGCTAGACACGAGAGAACGACACGACCATTCTACTCGTACACATGTTGACACTCTTACATGCTTTGGTCACCTCGTGTGTGTCCTACATACAAAAGTTGTCATCCCGTGTCGAATCTACTACCTCTAGTTAGAGAAGTGAGAGACACGGTATAGGCTAAAGGCACAATGAAACATGCCAGGGGCAACGTATTTACTATCTTTAACTAGACCGACTCGCTCCGTGCCCTTTTAGCGCTGGGGTTTTAGGGCAAAGGTGGGCAACTAGCTAGAAACGAGGTTTGGCCTGGACGCGCATTTCGCAACGAACGATCCACTGATGCGAATGTCCTCTGCTACAGTAGACGCTGAAGATCCCAAAAACGCCACAAGCCATAATGTCAAGGTCCAATGGCGTTCTAACTACTCGTACGCGGGAAGTAGACTCGATATGTGACAGGAACGGTGACGAGAGAATTATAAAGTATGCAGACAGGGGGTAAGGAGTATGAGTTTATTCGATTTGATGCGATAGGAGAGTTTTACTCCGTATACCAGACCAGACCTTAGGTACCTACTTGTTGATATGCCCCCTAAGGTACCTTAGGTACGGTTTATGGTGTACTGTAGGTGCAGAAAACCCAAGAGAGAAACCTCAAGGAGCCCTAAAGGTGCCCTAGTGATACCCTAAAGATCCCCCTAGAACAGCCTAGAGGTCAATCAAATTCACTTTTACTCCATAGTCGCGATCTGTCTCGCGTTGACTGCAGAATTCTCTTAGTAACTCGTCTTTCTCGCCCATTGTTGCCTCAAAGAAAAATGTCCCTCTGTCATTCCAGCATCATGCAAAACCCATTTTCCCTTTCCCCTCGCTTCTCTGAATCCTGAATTCCTACTGTATAATTCTAATTCTATCTCGTGGTGGAGATAGCAAAGGTTCACATCCTGCCGACTTCAAAACCGATTCAGCTAGTTCGTCCTGGGCCTTGTCTTTCAGTTGGCGCGAGTACGATCTTCTCTTTTCCTACTTCGTACCCTCAACGTCCCCCTGGCTACTTCACTACCCGACGCCGGGTTCACCTTGTCAGTATCCATTTTCTATTCCTCGCCCAATCCTTGTTGCCACGTCCAGCCAGAGCGTTTTCAGTTACTGTACGGATATCCCGATCGCGAACTCCATCTTTCTGAATCCGTCTGTCCCTCTCCCTCTCTCTCTCTCTGTGCAGCAGGCGAGCCGATTCCTGTTCGGTAAAGGTTTCAGAGACCCAAACTCGCCAGAAAAACGTACCGAAATTTGTGCTGATCAGGACTGGCAGTGTTTCTCGCTGTTCGATGGTGAGGAATAGTCAGTGAACTTCACCTCAGCAATGATAAGCCATCCATAGATACTTTTTTGGCATCTCGACACAACCCTGCAAACGACCACAGCACCATTTCTTGCCGTCCAGCAAAAAAATTTCCCACCTGACAAGGCATTTTTCTTCCGCCAGAAAATCATGCAGTGAATGCCATCCTAGCAATTGTCAAGTCCGATACCTCAATGCGTAGCGATGGCCCCAAACGAATCAAGGGAATCTTCACGGCCACTGGCCGACTACTTCTGGATTGCCGGCCTGGACAGTCAACAGCTGGTGGATGCCTTTTCCCAACCCAGACTATCTTACGACTTTAATGACAGCAACGGTATTGATGTGCCGATAAAGGAGGAACCGACGACAAATGACAAAGACGACCAAAATTCGATTCTTCAATCGCCCCCGACTTCTCCCCACCACTCGAGACATGATTCATATCAAAGACTGTCTCAACTCTCGGACGAGGCTAGGGACGCTATCCAGAGTTTGAATGATGTGGCGCAATCACCGAGAAGCAACCGAAGCAGTATGACCATTCGACCGCCCGCTCCAATTGGTGGTCCTCGCATGTCATCTGCCTTGAGTGAAGCAGACTTCGAAAGGGCAATGAAAAGGTTTGCGACGGATCGAGACACCTTTTTCCTCGACCTCAGTTTCAATGCATCAGAGACAGCCAAGCAATCTCGGCCCAAGTCACGGCCTCAGACGCAGAAGATTGTGCTCGAGGACGAACTGTCTCCCCTACCGAATCGCAACTTTGGCAGCATCCGCAGACACATGTCCTTCAAAGATATGAGCAGCACAAAACGACAACCATCCGTGGCGAGACACACCTCAACCCGAACATCGCGCAGATTGAGCAGCTACAATTCGGTAATACCTAGTCCAGAAATGTTGCGCGTTCCTCCAGACGAGCATCCATTGACACGTAAATTCGAGCCCGTACTATTGGAGAGGTATCCTCGCAAGTCAACGTTCGATCACATGAAAGGACGAGGGCCATTTCCAGAATATGTGCCCATGTTTGCATTCCCTAACGATATCAAGGTCGTTTGCGCCGACTCCAGGCCTAGGTCGACGTGGCATGAGTTTTCTATGACCGCCTCCGACGGCTCCAGGATATTCGCTGTCCAAGTTACATTGTGGATCCCGGTGAGCCGTCAGTTGGCATCGGACCTTGAGAAGAAATGCGACGAGTGGAGGAATGCACACATGTCCGACGCGGAACGAGAACTGGCCTCTTCTCTCGAGGAGAGATTGACAACTGAAAGTGCCAAGTTGTCACGATTGCTGGCACAACTTCCCGAGGTATCTCCAGACTCCCAAGAAAGAGAGCAGCTAGAGGATGATATCAGTGCCGTCGAAGAGAAGATCAGCATGATGGCTGATATGTTGCGACCGCTGCGGCACGGCTCGGTGACTGATATCCAAGGTCTGGGCATTGGTGAAACACAGTATTGGATTCCTAGAGCCTACGGGATCCTCGGAAAAGAGCCCTCATCGATCAATTTCTGGCGACAATGGTTGCGCGCTGTCGTGGTTCCCATGACGGATGGTGGAATCCTCAGAGTTCCCCCCAGCTCACCTAAAGTCGGCATGTGGCAACCTTTGGAACGTTACGTTTTTAGCCTATGTATGGAGGCCCCCAGTCCACTGTCCTCAAAAGTTCAAGTCCAGGTGTCGATACGAGAACTCAAACTGTACGCGAAGAAGGAAGCTGCAAACGAACTGCCTGGCAGTCGAACAACCGATCTGTACCCCTTGTTCAGAACACTCACTATTCCCAACATTGTATTATTATTCGAATATGTCTTGGCCGAATCCAGAATCATCCTACTTTCTTCACACACATCCATGCTTCAACTAGTCAGCAAAGCAATTTTGGATCTGATATGGCCACTTGAATGGGCCGGGGTGTACATTCCTGTATTACCATCACGACTTGTCCAGGCACTCGATGCGCCTTGCCCGTACATTTGTGGTATCAACCGCAAGTACGAAAAGTATGACCTGCCAGAAGACGACTTTGTCCTAGTTGATCTCGACAAGAATGAATTGCATAGCGTCGGGCCGCCACCGAATTTGCCGAAACAACAAAGAAGGAAATTGATATCCCTTTTACATCAGGCGGCGCCGCTACATCACAGCTTTGGAGTGGCACCAGGGAGCACGCCTTACGCGGCAGAGACTTTTCCCCATGATGCCTTCTCGGCGGAGATCGAGACCCCTTTCACGGCCATCGCTAAATCGACAAATTTAGATAAGTTGGCCAGTTTGAGCTCGACGTCTTTCGGCCCACAGGCTGCTTCAGATATGATTCGGCGTGCACCAATGTTGAATGTCTTCTTGAGCGGGGGGCCAACTCGGGGGAAGAGTATCGATCGGCCCAGAACAGCCTCAACTGTTACCGCCCGGCAGTCTTTCCACACGGACTCGGATGGAATGTCTCCCATTAAAGGAGGCTTCTCCTATGGCCTTGGTAATGGATCACCTCGCAACGATTCAGGGTATAGTTTACAAACGACTCTGCGAGAGAAGAGATCAGGTCATTTCGATTCCATGTCAAAACGAAGTTTCTCTGGATCCACACACATGATAAGAAAGGCTAGTCTCCCCTTTGTACGACACAATGCAAGTCCTTCGACAATCTCATCCCCGGACATGCGCAGCGCATCCACTTATGCACCTTCTACGTATGCCCAATCTACTTTGGCCGCATCGACGATAATGCCGCATATGCACGTCCACCATGCAGCGACAAATACAGATTCCACGTTTTGGGTCGAAGGGCATTGCCTGCAATGGCGAGGAACCGATGGGCCCTCAACTTGTGTTCTCTGTGATGAGAAAGCCCAAGACGGCTACTACCGGTGCTCTGGGTGTGGATTTGTCATTCATGACCGGTGCGCTTCTCTGATCACCATCGTCTGCTCGTCAGCCTTCTATCCCGACCAGGTTCGAGCAGCATTCGTCCGATGCCTGGCAAGCCTTTTCTACACCTATCGGAAATTCATGTATCCCGCACCACCTCAAAAGAGAAAGCTCGGGGCTGTCTATCAACTCGAAAGTGAAACGTTCATTCGATCCCTACCTCCCGATCACGCAGCTTACATGGAAATGCTCCAACAAACACAAGCGTGGAACGAATTTGTCATGGATCGCGAGGAGAACTCCACGAAACCTTCGGTAGCTCTATTTGACGCCATCATCGCGGCCAAACGAGGACGAGCAGGGTTCAGGTCATCTCTGTCAGGCCTTGGACGAAAGAGTCTCGTTTCGAGATCAGTGTCTGGGATCATGAAGACCGACGTACTCTCTGACACGTCGCAACACCAGTGGCGCATCATCGCGATACCAGGAGGCACTGAAAGACCAGAAATCGGGTCGGCGGCAAAGGGGCGAGACTACCACAGCATCATCACACGAACTCCCGCCAAGCTGGAAGATGGCTTGTTCAAGCAGGAGGAGACAGTTCCTGATCTACCAGCGATCAAGCCGAGGAAGTTAAGGGTCAGTACCGTGGCTGGGAAGATGAACGGGCTCAGCATGCATGCACCATGATTTCAACTTTTACGACGTACAAATTTATCATCGACAAATGAACAATCATGACACCTTCCGCCTCGTCAAAAGATTCCCTGTACTCAAAGCACCTCGTTCACCCATGGATGTCCGCCATTGGATGGCCAGTTGGCCTAGCACTGCTCTGCCCTCCCTTCTCATACTAGAACGTAATTCCTCGAGCCCTTCAGATACATCCTGTTCTTGCTCTACGAGGAAAGCTACTTGGATAATGTCTCTAACATTCACGAAAGGGTTTTGAACTTCGACTCCAGCATCCCTTTCCGCATCCCAGTTAAGAGATGTGGCTCTGAAAGGTGCCTTGGCCTGGAGTCGTGCCTCTTCAAGAACAATCGAACTGTCGGACACATTTTCGAGCTGAGCTTCCAGCACGTACCGAGCTAGAATTGCCCTTCCATATGGGCCATGGCTTTTATCAGGAACTTCGACTGATGGAAGCTCCGTTGCTTTCGTCCGCACGCTCAGACATGGCTGAGCAACAAACTGGTACAACTTTCGAAATGACCGTACCTTTCCACTGGTTGCCTGACCATCGCCAGACGTTGTCTCTGTGTATGAAACATTGACTGCAAGGACATGGTTGCCTTCCTCCTTGAGATCGAATTGGATTATTCTCTGTAGCGATCTATTGGGGTCTGCTTGGTCCTCTTCGGCATCGGCAGCAAGGAGTTCCAACGGGACAGATTGGGATGGAGTCTGCATTTCCGCGATAATCCTGGTGCCGGACACAGATTTGAAAGTTCGGCCTGGTGGAAGTTCATTGTTGGCGCAAAGTGCGCACGAAAAAGTCTCCCCTACATGAGCTGAGCCAAAAGAAGGCGGAAGCCCAAGATTACCGGAGAGGACGAACTCTTGGTCGGTGGTATCGCTTGGATATGCAGCGGAAGCTGCTTGTGGTATCTTGGTCTCACTCTCGCGTGGCAGCGGGTGTTGTTGGGCTAGTGATGGTCGTGAGAGCCTAATTTTGGATGAGAACGGTGATTAGAAAGAAATGCTATGAGTGACCTTGGGAGCACCAAAATACCTTAGAACTAATTGTATTAGCACAATAAGAAATTGTAATTGCAAACGACAACAAACTCACCCTTGAGGGACACCGAGTGAGGCTCCTTGGGAAACCCGCCTGTATCAGCCCTGGCTCTGGCCATGAGCTGGACATCAATAGAGAGTCTCGCTTAAGAGGGAATGAGACTCATAGACTGTTCGCGTGAAGGTCTCCCCGGTGCCGGGTTTCGGCCAGACGGGGTCAGCGTGGCAATGATGATCTATTGACTTGCCGTCATCGATAGTTCATCATAGTTTAATCTTTGTTCTGGAGGGGCTCAACTTTCTTTCTTTCTAGTCAGTTCAGGAGCACGACGAGATATGGATGGACGGACCAACGATGAATCCGGAGGCTGAAGTCCAAGACAGAACAGACAGACGTCTTGGCACAACGACTACGGAGTCGTGATTACTGCGTTACTCCTCGTTGCCCCGGACACTTGGAACCCCAAACAAAACGCGTTCCATCTTCAAACACCAAACTTGTACTTCTACAGTATTTCCTAAACCCGCCACAATTCTTACTGACGCCCCTTCTCAAGTCTACCTGTTTCAGCCAGCGAACGATATGCGCATGACAAGAGCTGCTCTCCGGGCTCAGGCTCACGACGAAACCCAACCTATACACGAAGACACCGACGCGGACACTTCCCGACACGAGTCGAGCGAGATCCACGAGACCGACCGACCAGCCCTCAAAGATATTACAGCAGAAAACTACCCTGTCGCCGAAGAATCCGTTGTAGCTGAAGAAGAGTCTGCACCATTGAAGCAGTCCAAGGGCAAGAAAAAGGGCAAGCAGACCAAAAAGGACAAGAACGAGGAGCAGGAGGAGATCTCGGTTGCGGAGGATCGTGAGGCACACATCTGGCCGGTGTTGTCCGAGGAAGTTGCAGACGAGAGTCCAGAACAGTCTCCTGAACCTCAACAAACACAGGACATTGCCTCACTGAAGTCACAAAGCGCGCAACAGCCCAGTCCCGAAGAAGTAGTGGACGCGGCAGCCGAGCCCCTTACACCCAGTCCAGCTCCCAGCCCAGTTCGCAACGAAGTTCCAAAGACGCCCAAATTCAATCCAGACATTCACGTACCTGAACCAGTCACAACAACACCACACGTAAACAGCATTGAAGACTCGTTCGTGGAGCAAATCAAATCCAGGTCGCCCAGCAAGATGCGCTACACACCAGAAGAGGCACGGTCTCCTTCCTACGACCCTAACAACCAGCTACCGAGGATCGAAGACTCTGTAGACGCTATGGACGCCTTGGAAGACGCAATCGAAGAGTTCTCTGAGAGACTTCCGGCTTTGGATGATCTCAAGATCGAGTCGCCAGTCAAGTCTCAGAAGAACACACCGGCAAAGTCGAATCTTCACCCTAGTTCGAAAACACCCGGTACATCACAAAAGGCTGAACCGGTCCCGGCAAAAGGTGCTCGCAAATCCCCATCGAAGTCACCGTCAAAGCCAGCTCCTGCCGCCAGACGACCTAGCGTCCAGCCGAGATCTACAGCAACCAGCCGTGCGTCGAGCGTGAAAGCGGGCATGAAACCAATCAACGTCACGAAGCAAGTCAAGAAGCCCATCATCGACGGTTCGAAGCCTAGGGAATCTTCGGTTGCCTCCGCCATGCCACCACTCACATTCTCCAATTCTCCATCCAAGTCTCTTCCCAACACGACAAAGAAGCGAGTGCCCAGCACTACCCTCTCGACCAACAAACCGGCATTCATTCCGGCAAAGTCCGCCAAACCGCCCACCAGACCCACGTTCAGTCTTCCCGGCGAGGCCATCTCTGCGAAACTCAAGGCTCAGCGTGAAGAGCGCTTGAAACGTGAAGAGGAAGCCGAGAGAGAGCGCAAGGTCTTCAAAGCCCGCCCGGCACCGGCCAAGACGTCCCGACCCAGCGTGGTTCCCCGCGACACCAAAGCCAGTCAGGCACGCCTGAGTATCTATTCGACCGGGACGAACAAGGAGAACGTCGCTCCCAAAGCCGGCGAACTACCCAACAGACCGCGACCGTCGTCGTTCCACTCGGGAGTCCACAACAAGGACGCCACGAAGGCCAACTCGGGCGTGCGCCGGACCAACAGCGTCGTGGGGGCGGGGGCGAGGTCGAGTCCCCAGAAGCCTAGGGTCTCCTCGATCCAGTTGGCCGCGGGCCAGAAACTGTCGGTGACGAAACAGGACCAGGCGCACCAAAAGGCACGCGGCAAGGAGGTGTTTGCGAGGTCCAAGATCGAAATGGAAAGACTCGAAAAGGACAGACGGGAAAAGGAAGAGGCCACGCGCAAAGCCAGAGCCGAGGCGGCCGAACGGGGTCGACAGGCCAGTCGAGAATGGGCGGAGAAGCAAAAGAAAAAGCTGTTGGCAATGCAGGCGGCTGAGAAGACGGCTCGGGGTGCGACCGTGGCCGCTTCGTGAACAAACCAACCACGGCCAGGGTCGCATTGCCTCCCGTGTCATACGGGTGGGTGGCTCAGACACGAGACGAGTCTGATCTGGATCCCGAGAAGTCGACTTCGACTTGACTTTGACTCGACTCGACAGGCACCGGAAAGGAAATCGGCTAGTATTGGACGATGAACGAATCTTGTTTTTCTTAGTATCTCCATTTTTTTTAACCCAAAGCGCCGGTGTTGGTTTTTTTGATATCGATATTGATTGATTGGTCTTCTTTTTTCCGGGGTTGGAGTTTCATCGATTCGAGAGAAAAGAAGATACTTCTACTTAGGTGGTCAAGAAGACATTGATCAGAAGGACTCTTTGATCCTGGCTACCGGTCACGCCGCACGGGTCACTCGTTTGTGATGCTATGTGGTTCGAGAAGACGAAGGGCTGTTACTGTACCCGGAAAGGAATAGCATAGCATAGCACCAAAGTTATAGCTAGTTTCACAATGGCAGCTTCTATCTGGATTATATACCCTCCTGGCTTCCTTCTATCTGTGCTTGACTTGTTGTCTCTGCCTCGATAACAATGTACACTAGTGTTCTCGTTTGGCATTGGAACCACAAGATCAATTGTGTGGTCCGTATAGCGGCTTCATGTCCGCCGTGCCTTTTGGAACATGTCGCTCCTTTCTCGGCCGTCTCGGCTGGGGGTAACACGATCGGACGAAGGATCGATGTACTAGGTGATGTTTGGCTGTTTCTCCAATTCACAACAGGCGGTGGCCATGAATGGGCCGACGTCGACATTGAGAACGTGGTGACTTTGGCTTGAAAAAGATGCGCCTTAAAAGCGGTCTCGACAATGCGACGGGCCTGGTATCGTGCCAACTTCGAGTCGACCAAAAGAGTTGGAGGATTGTATGTTTCGCCGGTCTTCCGAGTGATTCGACTTCGTGCTTGGGTTTGGGATATAGGCTGCAATCAGTCCTTCAGTCTCTTCCCCAGATAAAGTGCCTTGGTGCAAGGTATTCTCGACATGTGTAGATCCAACACATGTATCAGCCACCAGTTTCATTCTGCTGTACCGGTATTCTGACCAGAGGTACAGGCAGTTCCTGCGCCGCTTCCTTCTTTTTTCCCGAATCGTCATTCTCATCGACATCTTTCTGTTCGGCACCGTCATCGTCCTTGGGCACGGGAACTTTCACTAAAGCATGATATCAGCATCTGGCACTACATCGCGACATCTGATACTTCGCCAATGATCGCAACGCCGAATGTTAAACCGAGCTTCGACCACATAGCCACACAATGCATCCAGATGGAAGAGGATTGGGAAGACATACTGGCTGCCATGTTGATTGCGCGAAGGACATTCTCCCAATTCGCCAGTACGAGTGCAACACTTTGCGCCCCATCCTTCAAAGTACTCAATTTTCCTTCAAGCGCCGATAGCTGGTCTGCAAGATTCCCACTCAGGTCGCGTAGTTGCCGTAGATTCTCGAGCTCTGCACGTTTCGCATTGATTCTAGTCTGAAGCGCAGACTGGGTCTGGTTGCTCTGTCGCAACAAGGACGTATTGGAGCCGTGCAGACCACCGAGGGTAGAGTTCGAACCTGACGGGAAGACGTTTGTTTGTCGTGGGCCGTAGGACATCTTGACCGAGTTTACTTGCTCCAGTACCTCAACAACAGCGAACCAAAGACCAATGCTGAGATTCTGCGAAGACTGGCAGACTGCGGCCTTTGAGGGGGCGTTTGTGGGTACGGTAGAGTACAGTGCACATGCCACTTCCTGATACCATAACGCGACCGCGATTGGTTGCTCGACGCGGAGCGAGTAAACGGCGCCATTCCCATTTGGATAATGTCAACACAAAACCCTTGAGCACCAGCACAATTCACAAACTTACCATAGCGACAACGAATGTCTTTTGTCAACGACTTGGGAGTTGCTGGCAGCTGATTTTGCTACATTTGAAATCCCTTCTTTGAATTCTGGTCCTTGTGTTATGAGCTCAAAGTCGAAACATTCTTGGTGCTGTGGTGCATTGAAACCATGGCGAGACTGAATGATCCTCCGGCTCCTCCCACGGAAAGTATCGATGCTTGTATGTTTCTCGGATTGATCAGAGCAGGAGCGGTTTCGCTGACGCCCTTGTAGTAAAACGACGCTTTATCCGTCAAAACCGCGAAATAGCCCGAGTCAATTCAACCCAATCACTGCGCATACGCAATCTAGAAACTGAAATCTCCCGTCTTGTCGCCGACAATGTGTCTCTCCGAGAACAAGCAATCGCAGCAAAAGCCGAGGCAGAAAGATGGCGGAGGGTCAACTTTGTCAGTCAAGATATCATGGACATGAAAGACCGGCTTCAGCACAAAGTCGGTGAAATGGCAATGCTGCTTGTCGAGATGGGCGATCTACCAGAGAAGGCAGCCAGAAAGACAAGGCGCAAGAGCCGAACCCAAACAGAGGGCCTTGCCGACCAAGAATGGAAATATCGTCAGTCAATCAAGGAAGCTGCAGCCCTCGAAAGAGACATGCAGGAGAACCGGCTACCTGCTATAATGGAGGACAAATCATACCCAAGACGGACACTAGAAAGTGCCGAGATTTTGAATGTCAGAAACCAGGAGGCAGCATTGGAGATCTCAGAGTCACCAGAGATAGGCCCCCCGCCGGTTGCGCACTTTGATGTCAGCGATGAGGTTTCTTACGACAACCCCAGACAATCACTCGAAGGAGCGAGCGACGACCTTATGCGGGCTTCTATCGCGGTGGAAAAGCGAAGAAAACGACGGACTAGTGCTCTCTTGCAAGACATGCCGATTGAAGAAGCTGCCGAATCTACGAAACCGACTCCAATGTTATTGAAGACCGGTGCCAAACGGAAGTTGGACGTCACTGAACTGGATGTACCTGCATTGCGACCGAGCGAGAACGATGAATTTGTGTTTCACCGCCGGCAAGATGCCGTCGCCAATGTAACAGCGGGGAAGAAATCGTCAAGGTTCACACGAGCCCCTGGTCGGGAGAATCAGATACCAGCTGAGTCCAAAATCCCATCGCCACAAAAGTCGGTGGCTGATAGGAAGATCCTCGCTCCCAAGACGACCAATTCACCGTCGAAGAGAAAGATCGTTGTCTCTCAGAAACCAGACCCTGAGCCACGATCCAACGACGAAAATCATAAACCAACGAGCACCAAACACTCACGTAGAACGAACCCTCCACTACCAATCCCGGTTCAGGACATCATCCTGGACCCAGAAAAGGCAAACGAGACAAATGACCTACCGCCAAAGACTCCAGCAGCACAGGAAGAAGACATTCTTTCTCCGATCTCGACGGAACCTTCGACCCGGACGTCCCATCAAGCCAGGGAAGCCGCGATCACGAATTCAGTCGAGGACGTACTCAATGGAAGCATTGGCCGAGGTTCTCGACGAGCAAGACCAGCAGTCAGCTACGCCTTGCCAAATCTACGCGACAAGATGAGGAGGCCGACGAAAGAGCTTGTCGGGGCTGTCGAAGGGATCGAGAAACAGCGAGACGCTTCCGGCAGGACAAGCATTCGACTATCTTCAGCAGACCGAGTGAACTCAGAAGAGCCCCAATCGGCGGCTGGACAAATCAAGCAGGAGAAGACGGCCGGTGAGAATGAAAAGTGGAAAGAACTTCCCATGAAGAAAGAAGAACCGACAAGCCCTTTGCGAGACAAGGAACGGAAAGAGGTTGCTAGAGGCAGGCCTGCGAAAAGAGTAGAGATTCAGACAGACCCAAAACACGACCGTCGACACAGCATCGGTGAACAACTCAAGGAAGCGGTAGATCGATTGAGCATCTATGATCCGCCAGTATCTTCGCCCATGGAAGAACCACAGAAGGTCTCCAAGGCACCAAGACCACGGAGGGTAAGTCCCTCTGGGCTTGTGACCAGGCGGCACTCTGTTCAAGCTACACCAAACCCTTCAGGTCCCGCCCAAGGTTCTACGCCCCTATCCCGGACGAGCTCAACCTCCAAAGCGCCTCCGTCACGGCCCGGCTCTGCAGCAAGTTCGAAAGACGACGCATCCTCTTCCCGGACGTCAGGCACGAAGCGCTCGAGCAGCGTAGCTTCGAACCTATCTAGTGCGACTAACACATCTACGAATAAAGGTGTCATCAGCCAGGGTCCCGATCAGACGATTACTCGCCGAAGGAGTACGATGGTTTAGAAAACCTCTCAGCCTGTACGGAGGACTCGAGCATCCTTTTATGTGGAGTGATTGAGCAAGGTGACCTTTTTGTCGGTCGGGATATCCATCATATTGGTTCGGGGACGGTCTTCTTTTGGAGAATGTGGTGTGGACCATTTTTGTTTCTTTTTCATCGTGAGCCTTCAAGCCGTTGTTGGCCATTTGAGCGAGCGTGTTGGATTGTGTTTCTTTGTCTCCTTTTTTGGTTTAAAGAAGGTCCTTCCTTATAGCCCTAAAGAGCCGTGTTATGGCGCGGTCGAGACGATGGTCCTTTTGAATGATGATTCCCCTTGATGACATGCCAGTGTCGGCCATGAATAGAGTATCGTTGGGCTCGATTACCTTTTGGTCTTCTTCTCCTTGACCTTTACCAGAAACAGGGTTGGTCACATGTCCTTCAAGTAGAGTAGGTGGACGAGAACATCCCATTGACGGTAGTGATCCTGCCCATTTCGCATTCGCCCATCGTGATGCCGGAGCGATTGCTTTTGATTTCGGTTCCCTCTATGTCTTAAGATCCCATTTGCTTGAGTCTTTGCCCGCCTGTGTATGTCAAACACCGGCCACGGTTCCATTCGCACCGTCGTGACCCGCGTTCGATTCCTCCTCTTCCTCCTCTTCCTCCTCTTCCTCCTCTTCCTCGTAGTCGACGCTCTGCGCCATCCCCAGCACCACCCCGTCCAGTTTTCTCAGTGTCTCCCTCATCTCCTTTCTCTTTGTCTTGCGCCTCACCTCCATCGCCCTGACCCTCTCGACCAGCTCCCGGATCTCGCGGGCCTGCTCGTCCTCGCCCCTCCCTATCCCGGGGAGCCGCGAGATCAAAAACTCAATCTGTTGGGCCTTGGCCACCAGGTCCTCGGCCAACTCTCGCTGGGCGGACTCGAACGTACCCGCCGACGCGGGTCGGAGGGGGTACACGCTCCGGTCGGTGTCCTCGGGGCCAGGCAACAGGCCGCCGTTTTGCGCGGAACCCCCGTCCGGATTGGTGGCGGTGGGGGTCTGGACGGCCTGCGCGTGTACAGCCGGTGGGTTCGTGTACGGGTCCGAAGGGTCGGGTTCGGGGGCGACCAGAGGGTGACGCTGAGACAGATACGAAACCGTCGAAAAGAATTGAGTCAGGAGTTGGTCGTAGGTGGTTTGGAGCTGGGTGAGGATGTCGGTGGACATGGTCGGTGGAGAGGGAATGTGATCATCAAACTATAACGGTGAGTTCTTGGGAGTGGTCGTGTCAAGGACGGTGTACTGGCCCGCGGAGGTGTTTGGGTGGCACGAGAATCAATGCGAATAGCACGGTACTCGTAAAGCCGACTTGTCATGTTCAAAGGACAGAGAATGTAGACAAAAAGGAATGTTGGAGCAACGATCTGGGGAAAAGAATCGAGGGAAATAAAACAACTAGCGGATGTTTATGTCCGAGCCTTGTCACTACTCCGTACCTCAAAGGTATCTTTACCTACATTCTAAACCACAACAACGTCAAAGCGATGAATGAGCACTCTTCACGAGAATATTGATGCCTCAGTTAATGTCAACCCCTTGGAAAAATTTAAAAGCCAGAGTGCGTTGAGCACCGAGTCGCCACAAAGACACAAGTACACAAGTACATGGGTATGCTTGGAATTTCGATCTTTCGTCAAGTACTTCTCATGGAAATGTAAGTTTGATTGGATGGTACAGAAAATGGTGTAATTGCCAATAGTACTTTCCAATATAAACATGCTCCGGTAGCAGAATTGAAATAAGATACAATTTTCAGCATCCAAAATATCCCTTTGCAGACATGTTTGATTAGGTATGGAATATCACTTAATGAATTGTCCATGGACAGCCCCACAACTTGGGCTTCCCCTTGGGGAGGGAAGCCATCGTGGACCTGACTAAGTACAACACCAACAGATACCCTTCCAGACATGAAGATGAGGGTGATGATGAGGGTGGCAATGACAGTCATGAGGATGGTCAAAATGGCAATGATCAACACGATTGCAAATCTGGGTTTTATTGCCAGACGATGGGCATTGTGTTTGAAGTTGATTCTGCGGAAGTGGCGGTGATTGTGGAGAGATGTGCTGGGCCAGGGTCATGGCGTCTTGCTGGAGCTGTGTAGATTGGCCAGACTCTTGTGCAGAGTCTATGATCTTTTTGACGTGCTGTTTGTCGAGGTCTTGTGCTTGGTTTCTGAGGTCTTGGGCCGTTGTGGACAAATCCACATATGCCTGGCTCCCATAAGTAACTTGGCCACTTTGTAAGATTTGCTGGATGTTGTTGTAATCTTCGTATAGCTTGGTGGCCCGGTCATTTAGATCATGCCCAGCTTGTCTGTCGGTCTGCGATGCTTTTGTCTTCTCCTGTTGTGTCTTCATGAGCTGGCCGAACAAGTCAGGGACCCAGTCATCTGTGCTACCAATTCCAGCATTATTTGCGGGGATGAGTGCAGTAGTTCTTGAATTCATGGTTTCAAGGTCGACGGTCTTGCAAAATATGCATAAACATACGCTTCTTGGTTTTTGGATTAGGTAGGTCTAGAATGTTATGGAGAAGGAACACCTTTTTAGACAGACCTTTATAGCGCTGGCCAAGACAAGCACATATGGCTTGAGTTGTTTCGTAAACGCCACCGAGACAAGAGAGCATCAGCTGCTTGAGACGAGGTATTCAAGCTCTGTTTCTGTATATTTTCCTGACCTCACCTAATCTTGCACAGTATAAGCGAGGGCCTATCGTTTTTAGAAATCGAGTCAGGTGAGAGCTCGCTTGAGTTTTCAAGTCTGGAGCTCTGTGGTGCCAGAAGAGACTAGCATCTTCATGTTTTCTGTGCCCAGCATCGTATGTTGTAGTTGGTGCAAGCCACAAAGTCCTTGGCTGGAGCCAGCTGGATTTGCCTGCACGTCATAATCGCGTGAGGTCTAGTTGGTTACGAGCCTGTCCAGCACCATGATTCAAAGTAGAGTGCTTCCCAGCTGCCAGATGTACACGGTGCACCTACGTGGGACAATGCCCATTGCGATGCTTTCACCGGTTTCGACTCACTTGTGGTTGATATCGGGTACGGTCGGCAGCAATTCAGGTGTTACGTTACATGAGGTGAGAGAGATTTCCCTGGGTTTATGGTATTTCTTTCATGTTCCATGTTAACATCGCTTTGAATCCAGGTATGTTGATAAGAGGTTGGATGAGAGGGGTAGTCAGGAGTTATGGATGCTTGTGCTCATACGGAGTACTCGTTGTCAGTATGGAGAAGTATTAGCGGACTTGTGCTATTGGAGAAAATGATCTTCAGACGGGCGAACGACGAGGCTGCACTAAGATCAGGCTGAGCTGCGGGATTAGGGATTAGGTCAGCCTCATGCCAGGCAGGCGCGGCGTCATTCCATTTCATTCACTCCCCTTCGCCGCTGGACAATCGACATTTGTACTAGAAGGATTTAAATTTCCTTTGTAGAGGACCTCCTGTCCCTGCCTCCAACTGGCAGCAATGCTTCATGATAACCTTCACTCACATCCCCAAGATCATATTCGCCGCTTGTCTGACAGCATCCCACCACTCCCAGAAGGCTGCGTTTCCTAATCTCGAGCGGCTCGTCGAAAGCCATGCACCAGGCGTTCACGGGCAGTGCCCGAAGGACTCGTCAAGTCAATCTCTCCGGTCGACACACTTCTAATCCCTGGGCTGCATCAACGAACCTTACGCAAACCAATGCTTCATCTACAGTCGCCCAGGCTCAAGCCGATCGATTGAAGAGGCAACAAGACCGGGCGAGATTAGCTGCTGCGAGAAGAATACAAAAACTGTGGCGAGGGCATATTGCCCGACGACAGGAGAAGGTGAAATGGAAGCACATATGGGACGAGAATGAGGCTCGAAGATGCGGGTCACCGAACAGACTCGATTACGAAAGGCTCATCGACACGCCCAACGACATAGCTGCATACCAAGATCCGGCGGAGTTGCTTTGTCAAGCAAGGTTACTCCTCCATTATCAAGAATTCCGAAGGCACAAAGTAAGAGACGAACAGGACACTTTCAGATTGATCTTCTTTGGTGAAGCTCTACGGCAGTCCGTCGCTTTACTGGCCACGGCAAGACTAGACGATACATGGAGGTCAACGTTCTCCGGACTCGGAGTGGTCATAGCCCGGCATTTGAAGAGTGTTTTGGAGAACAAGTCGGAAGAGGTTCAGGGCATTCAGGGACCCCGGCTCTTAGAGATGATTACACTACTCTGCCAAATTTTGCCTGATGAGATGGCTCAAAATGCCGAGGTTCTCTTTGACGCAATAGAGAATGCTGTATTGTCACAAACAGGAAACATGGGACCGTCGTGTGCGGAGGCTATCGTCTCCCTACTTCCATCTGCCAGTCTACACCTCCGGTCTGCCTACGTGGCATTTGCCCGGAGAATATTGAGCCAAAATTCATTCTCCAACAACAAGAGCTTATTAGATGTCGTCGCTAAGGCAGTGGATTTGGATGGGTTGTCGGCAGCAATAACGACCGAAGTCGAAGATCTGGTCACAGATCCTAAACAATCCCTCGACACATCACAATTGCTGTGGCAGCTAGCTCATATAATATATTTCCACGATTCGACCCGAAAGGGGTATGCTAATCAAAGTAACTACATCGAAGCTCTCTCTTCACTCTTGGGACATGCTGCGAACGAAGTGGCGCAAAAATTGGACCTTGCAGATCAACCTATGTTTGGAAATGGCAACACCACGGTCGAACCACTTCCAGAATTCGTCAGAGAAATGATACAAAGAATACCTCAGCAAGATAACATACGCGACGTTCTATGGGAAATGGGAACAAACACGCAGTCGCAAGCTAGCTCTGAATTCGATTCAGCCAAACGACTAGCAAACTATGCAGTTGCTTTGTTACGGGCGTTTCCATCAAAGGCTCAGAACATCCGGATGTCTTTGTACCAAGGATCTGTACGGTCACTGGGGGACACTGATGTGTCAACTATCCAATACTTCTGGCAAACCACACGAGCCACGACAGTGTTTCAGAAAGTCGTCCAAAACCACAGAAGCGTGCTATCAGTACTTCGCGAGGCAGCTCCCGAGACATATCAACTTGGTCAACGTCCACTCTCAAAGGTAGAGATTTCCAGATGGAGAGACGAATGGCGTATCATATTGCTGTTCCTGGAGCTCTACACATTTGTCCTAAAGTTCATGGATGATGACGATTTCTTTGCATTTGACAAATCTCACAGTTTCAGCATGTCAAATACCCCAACCAGTATAATGTCGAGAAGAGGCGCATTACCATTGGGAGACGTCGCGCTAATGACCACATTCTTGAAGAATCTGGCATTCACACTCTATTGGAACGCAGCAGACCTAGTAGAAGGCGATGAATCTGTCGATGAGACCGATCTGGCGATTCTGTTCGGAGGGGCTCCTGTCCCATCGACACGATCTACAGATAGAAAAGAGCAGACGTTGACTGGTAACGGGGTTTCTCAGGGATATCTCAAAGGGCTTGTCACTGGGTTATTACGCATGCTTCATGAAAGGGATTCTAGACGTTCATTCGTGCCTGCTGGTCACTGGTTGATGAGCGATCAAATCAATATGTCCGGCTTCATCCCGGCTGTTGCTGTGGAAGAAGAAAAGCGGCATCAACTAGGCGACGATGAGGACTTTGACGAACAAGAAGACAACCCTGATGACGCCATGGAGCTGGATTTATCTACAAATTCAGGGTCGTCCGAGACGTTGTTGAGCGCCATGTTCGGTATTCGTCCGTCGCATATGCCACGATCTGGGGCATCGCGACAAGCCGACCGGTATGAACGGCAGCGACTACAGGCTCGAAAAAAGAGACAACTTGAGTCATTAGCGCCTCGACTTGAAATTCTTCGCAATCTACCATTCTTCATCCCTTTCGAAACCCGGGTGCAAATCTTCCGTGAATTCATCTATCAAGATCAGCTCCGGAGAAGAGATGGAGCTGTTGACCCTGATCTGTGGAGAATGTCGATAGCTTCAACGACACAAGGACGGGGTCCAGACGGCCGACCAAGAGCACTTGAAATCATCGGTCGACATCATGCTGAGATCCACCGTGAAAGCGTGGTTGATGATGCGTTCCAAGCATTTTTCGAGCTTGGTGAAGGCTTGAAAGAACCGATTCAAATCACCTTCATTGATAAATTTGGCACACCAGAGGCAGGCATTGACGGAGGCGGTGTCACCAAAGAGTTCCTCATGAGCGTCACCAGCGAAGCTTTGAAGCCTGAGAATGACTTTAGCATGTTCGCCGAGAGTCCACAACACGCAATCTTTCCAAATTGGAAAATAATACCAACGTTGACAGGGTACATGAAAAGAATTGGTATGACCCCTGGAACGGACGGGGAGTTTGAAAGCAAAGTCAAACGACTTCTTCAACAGGTGCAGTTCGTCGGACGAGTGGTTGGCAAGTGCCTGTACGAAGGCATTCTGATTGACGTCAATTTTGCAGGATTCTTCCTGCTCAAATGGGCGTTGACCGGTGGTACAACGGTGGGCTCCAATGAGTCTGCATATCGAGCCACAATCAATGACTTGCGCGACTACGATGAGGAATTGTATAATGGGCTGCTGAAACTCAAGAATTATCCTGGTGATGTTGAGGCAGACTTCTCGCTTGACTTCACCGTTACGGATATGATGCTTGGGTGTGACGAACAGGGTAATGAGATACCAGTTCCTCACACGATAGAACTGATCCCCAATGGGGCCAACACACCAGTGACCAACACGAATCGACTCGTTTACATTGACCGGGTTGTCAGGTTCAGATTGCAACAGCAACCGAAAACTATGACTGATGCTTTCCTGAAAGGCCTGGGGGAGATCATTTCACCAATGTGGCTTGCCATGTTCAATCAAAAAGAATTGCAGAAACTCGTGGGAGGCGACAACACAGAGCTCGATATTGCTGATTTGAGGAGGAACACGCAGTACGGGGGAGTCTATACGATCGGTGACGATGGACTGGAACATCCCACTGTCCAGCTGTTTTGGAAAGCACTGCAAGAGATGGATGACGATGATCGCAGAAAAGTGCTCAAATTTGTCACCAGTACGCCTCGTGCGCCTTTACTCGGCTTCAGCCATCTCAATCCGAGATTCAGCATCCGTGATTCGAGCGGTGATCAAGAACGTCTTCCCAGCACGAGTACATGCGTAAACCTGCTGAAACTGCCGCGGTATGGAGATATCGAAACAATGAAGGAAAAGCTGCTTTATGCCGTCAATTCGGGAGCCGGATTTGACCTCTCTTGAGAAGACGACCTACGACCTCTTACTTGCATTGAAAAGGACTAGGATGTACTGTTACCTACTAGTATGATTTACGAAACGTCCAAGTTTATTCGAGGGACTTTGCAATTAAGCGTTGGCTTGCATCGTGCGAGGGCGTTACTTAGATTGATTGACAAAAGGACATGTCAGCAATAGGATAGTACCAAGATCCTAGAATGAAGTCACCTTTTACTGCCTTTGTACAAAGGACACTTCGACTTTACAGTAAGCAAAGCCTTGGGGATTCCCTGGCATCGCGAAGCCTAGTTTACCCTCGAACCCCCCGGAGGCCTTGACTCCTTCGTCAGGGTTGACTAATATTCCAAGCCTCTTTTCCTTCAATGCCCGTGAGGGGTTGACCGAGTTGTGGGATGGGACGAGTCAGCTCCCACCTGTTGCGAGGACTTATTACTCGGCCCCATCGACTCTTGCGAATCTGAGTACTACTTCTGTGCGCCGAGGTCTTCAGGACCAGGGAATGGCCGTCTGCACCCGCCTCGTCTCGTTACATCTTAGACTCCAAAGGTACAAGAGACGGCGGCTTGGTACTTCTTACATGCCATTTCCTGATAGTTGATGGTTCTTCCTTCACTTACTACCGTCTTACTGTTTCTTCTTCTTTTTCCTTAATTTTGTAACTTTGGTGCCACAGAAAACCACCACTCGAACACATACACACGATGAAGAAACCACAGTTGGGCACGGCCGATTATCTGCAACTACTCTACGCGGCGTCCAAGGGATGTATGTTACTCCAGTATTCGGTACTCCGTGTTGTTGGATCCTCCGCACTTTTTGTGCGGAGTCCGAGTTTGTAAGCAATGATCGCTGACTGAATTGCTTTACCCACGAGATACAGTGGCGACACTGGCATGGGCAGCAGCGACAGGATGGGCTCGGGGCGACGATTGCCCGAAGCAGTACCAGAAGCACATCATCTATAGCTTCACGAGGACAATCTTTAATGCCATTTCAGTGCGACAAGCTCAGTATGTTCCTGCCATCGTGTCTAACCCCTGTCCAACAGTGTAGCGCTACTGGCTGCGGTGTGATGGCGAGTAAGCACGGTTGACTAACCAACGATATGGGTGAAGAGGAGTAGGCGAGACCACTGGAGAAGTATACGAGGCCTTTTGTAAGAAACAAAAGATCCAACCTGAGATCGTCGACCTCGAAGAAGGAGGGCGCGCGCTCTCGCTTGGGCCAGCAAATGCCACGAAAACTGTGCTTTGGTTTCACGGTACGCTTATCTTTACCTTTACATTTTGGTACTTCCAGCCATGGATGGTCATGATCACCACTTACCTTAAGATGGTGTACTTGAGTGGAGGGTGACTTGAGATTGATGCTAATTTATCAATAACTCCATAGGCGGAGGATACAACCTCGCTGCAACACCTCCTCATTTCGAATTCTTCTGGAGTGTGATCCAACAGGCCAAAGAAAAGGGCGTTGGCCTGCGTGTGGTGATGCTCGAATATGGTCAGTTCGCCCCTGTAAAGAGTGGCTCCCTACAGTACATACTGTAAGCTTCGGAAGAGATCGTTTTTGTTAACTGGTGCTGCTGCTTCAGAACTGGCTCCCCATGGTGTATATCCATTGCAACTCAAACAGGCTGTCGCTGCCTTGAAATATCTTCTGAACTCGGGTACAAAGCCTTCACAGGTGAGTTTCTTTTTCTTGATCCCTTCCCTGTTCCTTGAAAGGAGATTTTCCTGGATGACGAGAGTACTAATGTGTCAATGTCGTAGATCATCATTGGTGGTGATTCAGCGGGAGGGAATTTGACTGGTGGTGTCCTCGGGCACATTTCTCATCCCAAACCCGGTGTACCAGAGGTTGCATTGTCTGGAAACTTGGGCGGTGCATTATTCGTCTCACCGTGGGTGACGTTTGACCAGAGTGCACCCGCGTTCAAGAAGAACTATTACAGGGATGGCCTGGGTCTCGAAGCCCTAAAGACGTGGAGTGATAACTTCATGGCCGGTGCCCAGCCGGACAACTACAACACACCCCTGGACGCTCCGGCGGAATGGTGGAAAGGGATCAAAGTGGGCGATGGAGACGTCGCCATCGTCGCCGGCGCAAATGAGATTCTGGTCGATGACATCCGTGAGTTCAAGGATCACGTCAAGGTCAACAGTCCCAACCTGGAGTATTTGGAGGCTGCCGAAGAGGGTCACGATGGTTTTGTCATGGATCGAGCATTTGGGTTGACGGCACCGTTGGCCAGTGAAGATTTTTGCAAGAAATGGATTTTGGCAAAGCTGTAGTTACAAGTTTGTGATGGGGGACGAGGGATTCGTGGTCTATTTTGTCTATCTTTGCTCTATAGCTACCTCGGGTTTCATGAGGTGTTAGAAGGAGTCTGGTATTTATCATCAGTATCGAAGACAGTGATTGTTTAGTTTCCTCAGGGATTTTATCGGTTTTATATCTTCACATAAACACGGACTCCTCTCGTAAGATCCATGGAACATATATCCTCCCTACGGTATTCTTGACTGTGGCCAAAAAAAACAGGCACCTGGTTGCTCACTTTGGGCCGGGAATTGAGTCCTGGCGGGTGTTATTTAGCGAGTTCATCGTCCGACGATTCTCGTCGCAATTGGTGGCACAAATTCCGGGCACAACGTGGGATAATTGTTAATTGGAACGAATGATTTTGATCATCGGCTGCACGCCCCCGGCTTTACGAAGAACTCTAAGGATATTATCAAGGGTTCGATCAGCCCTTGACTTTTTTGGCTGTTGGTTTGGCTAGGCTGACGGTGCCATGGCCAAATACTGAGACCCGCAGTACGGAGCACAAGGAAGGCATCTCTATCTGTCCAGAGACTTGTCCCCGTCTCTCACGACGGACTGGACATTCATCCCGTCTCTACCTGGAACTTGTCTTGCCTTTCAGTTACCAACTTACTGTATTTACTTTCTACGTATGCAGTACCACTGACGACACCTAACAACAGTGTCACAGGCCCTCAGTTCCTCCCACCCCCCACACACCACCTACTACTACACTACACACCATACGCCACAAGATCTTTTTTTTTATTTCAAACACATAAACACACCTTCACACTCCAGTTCCCTCATGTCGAATGCACGAGATTCGGCCTCCTCTTCGTCCATCTTTTGCTGCTTCTCATAATCTCTCTTCCACTACACCGGCCGGTCCGTCCATCGAACTACTCCCTCTTGTCGATCGCAGACAGAAACAACAGAATTCCCCGGATCATCACCCTCAACGAGAATTCAAACGTCTACGTAAGCTCCTGCAACTCGCGGAGCGTGAAGAGATGAAGTTCTCGCACAGTATCCAGTTCAACGCCGTTCCGGACTGGAGCAGCAATTACATTTCTTACAGCAATCTAAAAAAGCTCATCTACACCCTCGAGAAACAACTCAACAAACCTCCCGGCGAGGCACAGGATGAAGAGAACACGGCCTTGCTGGGCGGCCAGCTGGACCCGGACACCACCTTCAAGCGCATGCTCGATTCGGAACTCGACAAGGTGTGCTCGTTTTACAGACTAAAAGAACTGGAAATCTTTGGCGACCTCGAACAATTGCTCAAGGATGCGGAAAAGTACGAGTCGGAAACGAAAGATCTGGACATGGACGAGGTCGTCGACCTGGAGAACCGGCGCAAGATGACCCGGTCCCAGAGCATATTCAACGTGCCCTTCCGGCGCAGGAGGCGGGCCTCCACCATGAGCGTGAGCATCGAGGGGCCCGAGATGGAGGAGGACGACAGTGACAGTGACGCCGAAGACAACTCGGCCATGCTGAGGAAGAAGCCCTCGCACCGGCCGAGGAGCAAGAGTGCGTGGAACGCCACCGGGACTACCGACCGCATGGACCTGGGCGATTCGAGAGAGAGTCTCCCGCGCCCGGACTCACCGACCTACTTGAGACGGAGACCTAGTTTGGCCATGGAGTTGGAAGGTTCGGAACCGGGGGTCATGTCGGCACTGTACGACTCGGCCATCACCCTCAAGAAGAGAATCATCAACGTCTACGTGTCGCTGTGTGAGTTGAAGTCCTTCATCCAACTCAACCAGACGGGTTTCAAAAAGGCGGCCAAAAAATACGACAAGGTGTGCAACCGGGACATCCGCAAAGACTATCTCGAAAAGGTCGTCAATCCGTCGTACCCATTCCTCGACTCGACCATGACACGTCTCGAAGAGAACATCGGCCAAGCCGAAAGGTGCTACGCGGATATCGTCACCAAAGGAGACCAAGATCTGGCTCGACGAGAATTGCGCCTCCATCTACGGGAACATGTCGTCTGGGAAAGGAACACGGTCTGGCGAGAAATGATCGGCATCGAACGCAAAGCACAAGCCGCGAATTTTGGCATCAGGCAAACCTTGCTGGGCGGCGTGCAGGATCCCTCGCAGGCGCGATTACAAGGGGATCGCGACGAGATTTCGACCAAGGAAATCGAAACTCCCGTCGGTCGTTACAGGTGTCCGAAATGGTTGTTCAGCTCGACATTCTTCGCGCTGATAGCCATCTTGGGCGTCTTCCTCGTGCTTCTCTTTGTGCCTATCATGAAGAAACCCGAACAGCAGAATTGTCTTGCAATGCTGGTATTCGTGTCCCTCTTGTGGGCGACCGAGGTCATCCCTCTGTTCGTCACGTCACTCCTCGTGCCGTTCCTGGTGGTCGTGCTGCGCATCATGCGCTCCGAGGACAAACCGCACGAACGACTCGATTCGAAAGCCGCGACCAAAGCCGTCTTTGCCGCCATGTGGACTCCCGTCATCATGCTGTTGCTAGGTGGGTTCACCATCGCCGCTGCGCTCTCCAAATACCACATTGCCAAAATGATGGCGACGTTCGTGCTCAGCAAAGCAGGCACAAAGGCCCGCACCGTGCTCATCACCAACATGTTCGTCGGCATGTTCTTGAGCATGTGGATCTCCAACGTCGCCGCCCCTGTCTTGTGCTTCAGCATCATCCAACCCATCCTGCGCAATCTACCCGCCGACAGCAACATGTCCAAAGCACTGATCCTGGGAATCGCCCTCGCCTCGAACATTGGCGGCATGGCTTCGCCGATCGCATCACCACAGAACATCGTCGCGTTGCAGAACATGAAACCCGGCCCGAGTTGGGGCGTGTGGTTCTTCGTCGCCATCCCCGTATGTGTCATCAGCATCGTGCTGATCTGGCTGTTGTTGCTGGTCTCGTTCAAGCCGGGCCGAGGAACGACGATCGTGCCGATTCGCCCGATGAAGGACAAACTCAACGGCATTCAATATTTCATCATCCTCGTCACGCTGGTGACCATCGTCCTGTGGTGCACGTCGCATCAACTCGAGGGCATTTTCGGTGATATGGGCGTGATCGCCATCATCCCCTTGGTCTTGTTCTTTGGAACGGGAATCTTGACAAAGGAAGATTTCAACAATTTCTTGTGGACCATTATCATTCTCGCCGCCGGAGGGTTGAGTCTCGGCAAGGCGGTCTCGTCGTCCGGCTTGCTGCACACGATAGCCCAGCACATCACGGAAGGTGTTTCGGAACTGTCCATGTACGGCGTGCTGGTCGTCTTTGCCGCCCTGATCCTGGTCGTGGCCACCTTCATCTCACACACCGTCGCCGCGTTGATCATCTTGCCGCTGGTCCAGCAGGTCGGAGCGGGAATGAATGAACCCCACCCCAATTTGTTGGTCATGGGTTCGGCCTTGATGTGTTCGGCCGCCATGGGTTTACCTACCAGTGGATTTCCAAACATGAGTAAGTCTCCTACCCTCTTGCCCGCGTGTTTTTGTCGCGATGGTACGCTAACGATTTTTCTTCGGTATAGCTGCAATTATGATGGAAGTTCCAGAAACCGGTGTTAGATATCTAAGGGTCAAACACTTTTTGACTAGGGGCGTACCGTCGTCCATTATGTCTTTTGCGGTCATTGTGACTGTTGGATATGGTCTCATGATGGCCGTAGGCCTGTAATATACCAATAATAATTATGATATATGTCTCTCTCTTCTTTTTAAAAAAAGAGAGAGAAAAATGAGATGTCACAACTTTGGGTCTACAATGTATCTATATAAACAAGAAAGAATTTCTTGTGTTTCCGAGCCTCCCACGAATATTGAAAGGTTTACTTTTGTTAAATGGTTTGGTCCGTCGGATTTTTTGCTCACTTTGCACCATCCGAACCCTAGGTAGGTGTTCTATATTGATCGACTCGATCAAAGGATGATGGTTCGATATGGGTTAGCGCAGTGCAATCATCGGGTTTGTCCTCCGTATCTGATCGGGATGTATCGGACTCGATCAAAGCTGTCTTGTTGACGAACGCCCTGGAGGAGGAAGGGGACGGTCACCTGGGACGCTTGACCTCTTTTGTCAGGTAATCGTCTTTGAACTTTTGTCTTTGGTCCGCCCATAAAGGACATGATGTGCGACAAGAAGTAATTGAGCAAAAATCTCGTTGAGTAATGGAACCAGAAGGACCTGGATAGCTCCATGTCCATCTTACACTTCCGGGGGTGCCATATCGAGCAGCAGAACCGATACGCGCGTTATACTTGTATGGTGATTTTGCTGTTCAAGATGGGCACGGAGGTTCCTCCTATAGGTTGTTCCCTTTGGAAGTGTTGCCAGTGTTGGTTGGTGGTGCTAGGCTCCCCTGATCGAGCATGGCGGACACGGTACATGTCCAAGTCGACACTTTTTATTGTCGGAAACAGTGCCACTGCTAGACTGTTTTTGCGATGAGGCTTGTATAGCATAGGGCTCGTTCTGACCGTTTGCGTAATGTGTATGTAATGGAGATCCCGGCCTCCAACGAAGACTCATAGTCTCAACCTTCTTGTGTGGCATCCTTGGAGCTCCTCCTCCTCCTGACCACGAAGTACTGGCCTCGCTTTTTATCCGACTGGTGCCGCGCAGGGTCGTCGCCGAGGTCGAATGGATCCTCGAGTCGATCGTCCGTGTGCTCCGCCTGGAACACCCTCGGTTTCGTCAGGATGTCCCGACGAGGCTCTACCTGTTTGTCTCGTCGAATCGTTCCATTCTTTCCCCGTTTCATCTCGAGATCCAGGAACTCCCTGAGTGATTCCTTGGTGAATTGTCGCTCGGACCTCGCCTCGGCCGTCTCGTCCCGCAAGGCCACCAGCGGCTCTACCCCGGTCGTGTCGACCTTTTGAATCTCCTTGACGAAGTGGACCTGTTGCCGGAGCGTGTCCAACATGCTCGACTCTTCCTGTTCGGTTTTCGGGAGAGGGAGCGCGGAAAGACGGAGGAGGTGGTGTAGTTTCTCGCGCGAGATTTCCGAAGCATCTCCTTGGGCTTCCTGGTGAGTCGAGGCTGGAGGCGGCATCAACGACGAGACTGACCATGTCGGCGTCTTGAGCAAGTCAGAAATTCGTGGGTTGATCTCGATATCCTTGACGACTTTGAGGAGTCGATCTCGTTGAGGACTTCTCTCTGGTCCTACGAGTTCGGCTCGGATGCGGAATGGAGGTACTCGAATACGAGGCATGATTTTTACCTAGACGTAGGGGGCACTGATATTGTGTTCTCCCCTATATCAAGGTGTTTGTATGAGTGGTGATTCACTCCGTATGCGCAGTTCTCCAAAGAAAATAAAACCCGGGCATAAACATCATTATGCGGGGCTACAACGAAGGACCACGCAAGGCTCCATTGTTTGGCGGAGGGACTTCTACTGCATATTGTACTTCCCTGTCTCGTTTATGTTCACTCTCGAACTTCGACATATGACCATCCATTCATCCATCTCTCAACTTTTCAAATCTTTTGCAACTCATAACTGTCCTTCCAAATCCTCCGTGTCAATAATCTCCAACGTCTAGTACTCCCTCGCCGACCAACCTTCTCCTCTCCTGTTCAATCTCCCCTTCAACACCGACCCCACCGTCGCAATGGCCGGCGATCCTAGAGCATTGCTCCAGAAAGCCGACAAGGCCGCTCAAGGAGCGACAGGTGGTTTCAGTCTCTTTGGCGGAAGAGCGGAAAAATGGGAAAATGCAGCCGACCTCTACACACAAGCAGCCAATGCGTTCCGGGTAAACAAGCAAAGTAAGCAGCTCACCAAACTCTCAACCCGTCGCATGCACAAAACCCAAGCAAACCCTCTGGAGTTGTCTTTTTGCTCTTTTGCGTTTGTTTTGTCTCATCACTAACCAAATGTGCCGCGACACGTCCAGACTACGAAGCGGGTCAGGCATTCGAGAAAGCGGCTTCGATACAACAAAGCAAACTGAACGAACCGGACGACATGGCCAACACGCTCACGGAAGCCTTCAAGGTGTACCGCAAGGATTCCCCCAACGACGCGGCGCGAGTTCTCTCGACCGCCATCCAACACTACACGATGAAGGGAAACTTCCGGAGGGCGGCGACTCACCAGCAGAACCTGGCCGAGGTGTACGAGATGGAGATAGGGGACCAAAAAAAGGCCCTCGCGGCCTACGACACTGCCGCGCAGTGGTACGAGAGCGACAACGCCGAGGCCCTGGCCAACAAGCTGTACCTCAAAGTGGCCGACCTCGCGGCCCTCGAGGGAGACTACCAGGACGCCATCTCCAAACTCGAGGCCGTGGCCAAGTCGTCACTCAACAACAACCTCATGCGCTGGAGCGTCAAGGACTACTTTTTGAAGGCCGGGATCTGCCACCTCGCGGCCGGGGACCTGGTCGCCACCAAGCGAGCCCTCGACCAGTACCGGGAACTCGACAACGGCTTCGCGGGCACCCGAGAAAACATGCTCCTCACCGACCTCGTCGCGGCCGTCGAGGAAGGCGACCAAGAAGCATTTGCCGATAAACTGTTCCAGTTCGACCAGCTGAGTAAACTCGACAAGTGGAAGACGACCCTGTTGCTCAGGGTCAAGAATGCCATTGAAAAGGAGGAAGAGGACTTTTCGTAGATTTTTACTGCCGCGACGGATTGTGACACACCCACACACATACAAGCATAGGGACACGAGGGAATGGGAATGAGATACGACGTTGACCGTGTGAATGGCCTGGGCTCCTTTCCTGTCAAAGGTGGCTTGGCATGGGACATGGATAGGCATGGCTTATATGTCTAAAACCTAGGACCTGGGCATCAAGGGGTTCTGGTCGCACCAACAGGGATAAACAATGATGGGGCATGGGAAGTCCTTTGTTTACCGAAGGACCAGTTCCATTATACGAGGACACTCATGATATACTCGATCGTACCTAGGTGAGAAGCATGACGGGGGGTTCGAATGGCGTTACGGTCTCAAGCTCGGTAGTTCATGGGGCTTCGAGGGTACTTGAATAGATGCTTTGTTATAACCGAGAATCACCTGTAGACGTGGCGAATGTGAGATTTTACACGGCCAGAGAACCAGTTCTCTATACATACAAATCAGCATGATATATATTCCAAACCCCATACTGTCACCAACGACACGAAGCGTGAGGGTTCTGAATGTTTTTCGTCGCCAGTCGACTTTCAGCGACACAGCACCAAGTTCTATCAGGAGTATATGGTAGGGTAGGTAGGTAGTACTCCGTACATATGTATATATTTAAAATCCCCGAACAGTCGACGCCGAGGGTCATTTCACTGACTCATCCCGCGCCGCTTTGCTCCCCCGCTAACCACTATTTATTTTTATTAGTCGGATTCGCTCCCTCGCATCGACTCAAGTAACCATAGCATGAGGTACTTGGTAAGTTCCTTTAATCAGGAATGTTGCGCTTTTCATCCATTACCCAGAGAAGAAGGTAAATGTTTTCATGGTCACATGTCTGCATGAGGGCGCCCGGCCTGTCTTGGAACTATCAGATTCGGCTGCTGCTAGCTGAGATCTTTCGCCCCTCGAGTCAGCGGGCATGGGGGGCCAGCTGATAGTTTATGTCTCATTATTAGACGAGGTGTTGGCGAGGCGTCAAGGACATTCCTTGAGACTCATGAATCCCATCATCATCTGCACACCGGCCAGATTCGATGTTCAGCCTGATCGCGCATTCTAACATCCGAATCCGTGGAGAGTCTATAACGCGATTGTGCAACTCATTGCCTCCTGCATGCCGTCTGCTTGCCCAAGCTTCCTTCAGAACTTGCCAATATTTGGGCGGACATGATATCCTCACCTCCCAAAATTGAAGCGTGTAGACAAGCGCCATTCGCGAGCCAGAAATACAGAGTTGAAGTTCGAACAACGCGGGGCCATCGAAGCCTTGCAAGGTGCCATGAATCCTTCAACAGTCCATTCTCCGGGTTCACAGGCGGCTCCATCCTCGACCCTGTGTCAATCATGTGCGTCCATGCGCTGGAAGCTTCAAAAAGTGAAGTATCACCCGAGAGGCAAAGGTTTTAAAGTAGAGCTCCAACGTCCTGAAACCTCGCAGCTCAAGTTGCGAGATGTCGTTATCGGTAAAAACCGATGTGACTTTTGTGCGCTGCTATACAACTTTATAACCGGAGCTGGCGCAATGCAGGATGAGCTACTCGATAAGCGGATCGTTCTGTCCAGCTATCGGGATGATCGAGTCCGTGATGACTTCGAAATGGAATTAGCGATTAACGGCATCCGTGTTGCTTTCCAGGATCACGACCAAATTGAGCTGGAGACCAAGTACCCTGTATTATGTCAATACCTACCCCTAACGAAGGTACCAGGTGAGGAGTCTCGACCCATCATCGGAGGACTAGTACAATCTGACATGCAGGTTTGCAGGTCCATCTGGATTCCAATTCTCAGACGACGCATCTCACGCGCCCTCGCCAACGGACATTGTCAAAAGAATTAAACTCGAGAAATCCTGCGATGGCGCTGACCTCGCACATTTCATACCCGGCGAGGCCCCCACGCCGCCAGAGGAACAGGTAGTGTATGCAAAAGCAAGAGCCTGGCTTGATTGTTGCAAAAAGAAGCATCGGTCTTGTCGGCGTGGGCTTCCGGGGAGGTTATATGGAAGCATCAAGGACGTCCAGGACAAATCCGCTTTGCCCTTCCGGGCCGTCTTTGTAGGTGCTGCCGAGGGTGGCGCGCCGTACTTGATCGAGACTGGAGGAATATGCGCAGAATATGCTACCTTGAGCTACTGTTGGGGCGAAGCACTAGGTGCCGCGGGATCTGGTGCTGCGGGATGGCCTCACGTTACTTTAACCTCGAACCTCGAGGAACGACTCGGCGGTGCACCACTGGACGCTATGCCGCGAACGATCCAACATGCGATATTGATATGTCAGAGGCTAGGCCTGCAGTACCTCTGGGTCGACTGTCTCTGTATCGTACAGGACGACCGCGCAGATTGGAACAGAGAATCAAGCAAAATGCGTGAGATCTACGAGCAATCTACCGTCACGATTGTCGCCCTTGGAGCCAAGGATATCTACCAAGGATGCTTCTTCCCCCGACCGCCAACTCACGTCTCGGACTCGCGAGGTGAACACCCTGGAACTGGAGCCGTTAGTTTGCCGTTCATTGTGGATGATACGTACCTGGGCACGGTCTATGCTTATCCTCCACCCCATGGTCCCGACTTCCATGAAGTTCTCGACAGTGTTTGGAATACCCGTGGATGGACCTTCCAAGAACGCGCCCTCTCGCGCCGTCTTCTCTACTTCGGCAGACACCAATTGCTTTGGGAGTGCCAGAAATGCCGATGGACAGAGGACAACACACACAATTTCAACATGAACTCGCCGGGGAGAGCTGACAATGAATTGGAAGACGAGGGCGGTCTGAAAAAATCCATCTCTGCCGCCGTGATGGCCGTGAACTTTGTTGGAGGGTCTCAAGACCTCGCGGACGACTTGCAAGCTATGGGGCACAAGGTAACCGTCAGCTTGTATCGGGCCGCCATTCTGCTCATAGCATGGCCCGTGAAGAAAGGGCGGGCCTATGTGGATGCCGTTCGCAGATGTGTGGGATGTGGCTGTTACCGAGTACAGCGCACGGGCTCTGACGGAACCCAACGACAAACTACTCGCCCTGCAGGGTCTCGCAGAAGCATTCTCTCTGGCGAAGACGATGGTCTTATTCCTATGGTCTGTATCTGGCAAACATTGCATGTTGCCTACTTTGGTTTTCGACGGGCGAGCCTTTGAGAAAACCGCCTTTCGAAAGAGGTAAGGTAGAGCCCATGCCCAAACCGTCCTGTCCGTCTGACACTCCGTGACACAGCGCCGTCTTGGAGCTGGATCGCCTGGGATGGGCAGGTGACGATGCCAGCCATCTTTCACGTGCCGATCGTCTCGTTGAAGACCGGAGCTGGTTGCCTCCAGGAGATTGAGTTTGACAGCCCAACTTTGGACGAGCCCTCACCCTTTCACACGAACGGCGTTCTGAGTCTGTTTGGGCGCCTCCTGGAGGCCAAAAGATCGACGCAGACAATCGCTGACGACCCCTCCTGGGTCCACACCGAAGGCAAGTTGGGCATCTGGAGGAGTGGATCGCCTGGGTTCCAAGAACCGCCTCGTCCGCCTTCGCACTGCTTCGTCCTACGGGACGAGCAAACCTCCGAGCCCATTGGCAAAGTGCAGTTTGACGACCTCTCCGATACACCGGAAGTGTTCACGTGCTTGCTGGTGGAGGACGAGAAGTTGACGGGTCAGGAAGACTTCGACGTTGGCAGCGTTCGGAGCTTGGTCTGCTGCGTAGGGGAGATGGTGACCAGACGTTGCATCCGAAAGTACTGGATCCTGGCGCTGAAGCCCTGCGGGCAACTCCCGCGGACTTATCGACGGGTGGGCGTCGCCGTCGCGGCGCACCGCAAGATCGACGGGACGAAATGCATAGGCCTCCCCATGCACAAACTGGGTCGGCAGACTCGAATCCGGCTGATCTGAAGTCAAGGTGAAGCTCGAACCAGCGGCGCCAATCGACAGAAGGCGCCGACCAGGATGCACGGTGCCGGAATCAGACTCTGTTCATTCACCGTGTACTGTGAGTTCTCAAAGTTACTTGGCTCTGGCGAAAAAGGAAACGTTTGCTCGAGTGCGCAGGTCCCGTGTGCCATGGTGCGGGCGTATCCTACGCAGTACCCTCAAGAATACATCGCAAGTCAGCTTGATTCCTCGGCCCGCACGGTGATGCAGTGACTTGATCACTTCTCCTCCGCGCCGACCCGCCCAAGGCGCTCAGATCCTTCAGCCGGAACCAAGATGGCATCCCGCGTGTGTCTCGATTTTGCGCTTCGGTCGGGACACAAGGGAGCCTGGGAGGCTATCGTACGGGCCACCAGGTTCCTGACGCCCATCTAAAACAAACGCATGGCTCCCACGACGCTCCTTGATACTCCGTCACGTGTCCGATTAGAGCGGCCTCGCTTCTTTTCCTAAACAGAAATGGAAAGGGACAAAGCATAAAACATTTATATATATATATATATATATAATCCCCAAACAGTCATCCTTCACACACATTTAGCTGACTCATCCCTCGCCGCTTTGCTCTCCCGCTAACGACTATTTAGTCAATTCGCTCCCTCGTTTACTCTCTTCTACTCCCTTCCTCTCTTTCGCGCTCCCCTTTCACCCCCTTTTACTCCCTTATAGCTTTAGTACGCTTCTACTATACTCTCTTATGTGCTAGTGAGATATTTATTTAGGCTTTAGTGTTATAGATACTAATATTATATATATTCTAGCCTTATAATAACTTTATTTAATTATATTTATAAGAGCTTATTTTAGCTTTAATAAAAGATAAAATTCTTAAGAGAATCTTTAAGAGAATACTTTACTATAGTACATTACTAAATAGAGTTAACTAAATTTCTTAGCTCTATAGAATAATACTTCTCTTCCTTTTTTCTCTTTATTATTCTCTCTTTCTCTCTCTTTTTTAGTTCTTATATTTTCTTTTATTCTCTCTTTATTTCTTATATAAATTAATTTTTTTATTTAGTTTTCTTACTATTTAAATATATTTTCTTTATGTTTTAATATACTTTAATCTCTTTACTCTAGTTATTTACTTTTCTTTTTCTTTTAGTACTTATCTTTTCTTAATTTCTTACTATATTTTAGTGCTCACTATCTTACTCATTATTTTTCTATACTAAAGAGAAAGAAAACCACAATAAAAGTCTTTAATAAAGTAAAGAAAAATAGTTAGTAACTAATTATAAATACTAATATAAATGGTAATTAGATTAGTAAGTTTATTAAACTTAGAACTAAACTAAACTATAACTAAATAATAGCCCTTTAAAATAAGTAAGTTCTTTACTTACTTAAGAGTTATATTAATCTATATTAATAAAGATTAAAACTAGTAAGTAAGTATAAATAATAAAATCTTAATATTAATCTCTATAATTTATAGCTTATAAAGTATTTTATAAAGAGTATTATAAAGGTAAATTTAAGTTTATTTTATATAAAGTAATAGTGAATAAACTTTAAAGCTAGTTAAAAGCGATAATTTAATAACTAGAAAATCTTTTATAAGGTATTAAAGTTAGTATACTATATTTAATTTTATATCTTACTTTACTTTTATTAATAAAGCTAAGATTTTATTTTAGTATATTAAAATAGTGTTAAAGAAAAGGTTTAATCTCTTAACTAAATAATAATAGTTATATTTTATAATAGTGCCTTATTTTATTATATTAATAAAATATAAATAATAAAAGGATTAGTATTATTATATCTATTTAAGAAGTTTAGTTTAGAATTATATAGCCTATACTCTCTTTATTTATACGCTATTAAGAGTGAGAGAGATCTTTAAATTTAATATATATTATGTTAAGAGGACTAGGTCATATCGTAATAGGGAAGGGTATAGCGTAATAGGCCTTTATTAATGAATGACTAGCTAAGTGATAGCTAAATAAGGACTTAGAGAGCTTAAGGAGTGAAAGCCCGTGAAGGGGAGTAAAGACCTCCTTATATAGATGTTAAGGAGAGCCTATATAGAAGGCTTTAGAACAGAATAGACTATTGATTATAAATTAATAGTCTTACCATACTTAGCCTTACGCAGTGTACTCAGCCTAACGCGGGTCAACTGGTCAACATTTTTAACTTTGAATAGTTAATATAGTTAACATATTATAGCTTTAGTTAAGAGTTACTATATAAGGTAAGAATATAGCTACCTAATCTAAGATAAATCTATACTAATAATTTAGACATAAAATATTATCTTCATTATCTTTAAGAATAAGAAAGAAGAGATAGAACTTACTATATAGACTATACACAACATAAAAGGCTTCACTAATAAGCTATATAAAAGGTAAATTAACTGAAAACTTTCTTATCTCCGCTTTTAATGAGTATCCTTTCTAATATTACACTTTCACTAGGCTATAGCATAATATATATAAGAATATATAGTTACTATACGCGAACTTAGTCCTATCTTTACTAGCTATTACTCTCGTTAATAGCGCCTTCTAAAATTACCTTATCTTTAAAGAAATTAAGGTAATTCTAGCCCCTATTAATAAGTCCTTATATTATCTTTAAATTCAAAAAGAGTTATACTAAGTACTCTTTTTTTAGACTATATCTTCTAAAGGCCTAATAGAAAAGATTTAATCTATAGTTTCCTTTAGTAATAAGCTAGTTAGCTTAGACTATTAAGCTAGGTATAAAGAAAATATTTAGGTTTATAATTTTAGAAGAGAGGTTCTAATAAAGGCTAATAATAAATTCTACTTAATAAGATTACTAGTATAGAAAGTACTAACTTTAGGCATAAATAATAGCTATTTAATTATTAAGAGAATAAAGTTTATTAGTTATAAGAATTCTAATATATTCTTTAGTTTATATATACCTTAAATTAATACTATTAATAGATAATTTAGTTACTAAGGTAAAGTGCGCCACACTATTTACCTTAAGGGCTTTTATAGCCTCTCACTATAGTACTACTTATAAATACTATAATTACTATTAGCGAAGATAGAGATAAATTTAAAAGAGTGAGCTAACTTTATTACACTTAATAAGGAGATTAAGTCCCTTAAAGAATGAATTTAATACCTTTTAGTTAGGCATAATAGTAAGTAAGAATAAATTTATTAAGAGAAACTATACTAGTAAAAACACTAAATAATGTTAAAAGAGCTTAGTAAGTAATAAGAGATTTAACCCTAAAAGGTTAATTAAGACATAGAAACTAAGGTATTATTAGTTACATTATTACTTAGCTTCTTTAGTTATGTCTAGTAGCTAAATCTGTCTTATAACTATTTAGCCTTCTCTCTTTTCCTTAATATCTCTCTCTAGAGTTTAGAGGGGTATATAACTCTCTAGGACATAATTACTCTATATTAAGAGAACTCTAAGGTAGCCTATCGCCTAAGTCTACGTCTAAAGAGTAGCTATTACCTAGTATTAATATACGCGATAGAGATAGAAAGGTAAGTAACTCCTTTAAACTTATTCTTAGAACTTCTTTAATTTCTATTTAGTAAATAGTACCTAGCTAACTAACTTAACTTTAATAGCCTCTATCTTATGACCTAATAGAATTATATTTACTAATATTATAAAGCTAGTCTTAAAGCTAAATATAGTATAGCTAAGTTATACTTTCACTATAATAAGTGAGTTACTAATAAGTAGGGCTAATATAAGTATTACTAACGCTATTTAAATAAGCTTAAGTTACTCTTAGTTTAGTGAAATCCCTTAATCTTTTATTAGACCTTAGCTATAGCTAGTTAATACTCTTTCTATTTATTTAACACACTTTTTCTACTTAATGAGTAGTTCTATTAATTCATAAAAAAGCTACCCTAGTAGTAATATCTAGATAGGTATTTTAATAGGCTTAAGAAGAAGAATAAGCTCGCTTTCGTATTAGATAAGATAAAGGTAACGTTATGTCCTAACCCATAATGCGCGCTCTCCTTTAACACTATTATAGATCTCTAATATTATACTTAGAATACCCACTATTATAAGCGAACTAAGGCTAGCATAAGTAAGTGATATTATCACACTAATTAATCGCGTTTAAAAGCTAAAGATAGCTTTATTATATTTACCTAGCTTATTTACTCTTCTAATTCTCTAGGGGGTAATTACTAATTCTACTTTATTAAGAAAGCCATAGCGATATCTAATTCTGATATCACTAATCCTACTATCTTATTAAGAGACTACTTTAATGCTTAGCTTTCACTAACTAACCCGTAGCTAATAGAAGTAACTAGTTTCATTGAATCCTATAGCGACCTATATCTAGGCCTAATTAACCTAAGTCTTTCTAATCTAAAGATAATGAATCTCGCCTTATTAATAAGCCTAAGGACTTTAAACCTTACCTCTAAACGTAAGTATAGTCTAACTAGTCATAGTTCACTAGGATTAGAACCTTATAAGTTAGAGGTAGTAAAAGCACTATAGCCTATTAAGATACTAATCTTACTAAGCTAGGTAGTTATAGATATAATAGCTCTAACTCCATTATTAGTGGGATCCTAGTAAATAATTTATATTATAGTTAGTAAGGTAATAAATACTATTATAATATAAACACTCCTAAAGCCTTATCATATAGTAAGATAGTGACTAAATTACTAGGCAGGAAATCTTCTACCTAAGGGAGTAAATAAAGTGAACGTTTAGATAGCGAAGAATACTTTAGTGTTTAGCGGCGATAAATATACTAACCTTAACTGTGATTTACTTCTATCTTATTACTTAACCCCTAATGATACGATTAATTCTCTTAAGCTAAGAGACATTAATATTAACGCTATATTTAGTTAGTATTTATGCTTACCTTCGCTCTCGCCCTTACCCTTACCTTCGCTAATACCCACACTAATACCCGCCCCTTCGTTAGATAATATAGCTAGCGAATAAAGTAGAGTAAC